CTGACCAATTATCTACTGATTTCTAGTTGGAGTTGAAAGGGCATTCTCAATCCGAATTTCTCAAGCTTTTGCTGTCGTTAGAAGACCGAGGGAGCCAAGCGATCAGGAACACCAAACGGATGAATCTTGACTGTCTTAGGCGAGAGCTGATTTCTGCAGAGACAGCTTCTAGGCCCATCATAGGGCCAATCCATTTGCATTTTTTAGATGGAGAAATATCACATAAAAACAGAAATAATTATGGCACCGATTAAGGATTTCATTCAATCATAATACTGAATCTTTCTGTTAAATCTCAACTTGTACCTCTGGACTTACGGTTATATGCCTAATCTCTCGCTGGCTAGTTTAGCACCTTTAACACGGCTCGAGATCTTTTGGAAGGCAATGTCCCTGGCAAAATCTGGGCTACCATGGCTAGGCTTATCGTCGATAGAGAAAGGGGAGAAGCCTATTAACATCAACCCACATTAGTCGAGTGTAAGTGACAATCCATTCATGGATAGAGACGAATCTTACCGCAATCATCTGTTGCTCCCAGTTGGTCGACAGGAATGTATTTGCTTGCAAGCACCAACTGCTCGGCAATTTGCTCTGGTTCCTCTATAGCAGGATTGAGAGTGTTGATGACTCCAATGAAGGCAACCTAGTTTAAGAGATTTAGCGTCAGGTCGTTGTATTTGTCTTTTGAAAGCATAAGTAACTCACCTGCTTGATACCGTTGGCATCCCTGCGGATGTGTTGCCCAATCGATTTATACACAGCCTCGCGATTCTTCTCAGACGAGAGCTCGATCAAGAAGTAACCCGCATGGATCTGAAAAAGTGACGGTAGTAGCTTGCTGTAATCGACATCCATTGAGTGCACAGAGTCGCAGTCGCCGCCGGGGCAGGTGTGTAGTCCAATGTTGACTCGCTCCTCGGGAGTGAAGCGATCAAGGACTCTGGATATATATGTCAGAAAGGGCTATGCATTTTCTCTCTCATGTATACATACTGGTTGATCAATTTGACGAATGTTTCGAGAAGCTCGGCATTTGTCCATGGGTTCCTAGGATCGTGTTTTAAAGCGAGACGACCTGGTGGATAGCGTAAGATATCAGTTATTTGGCCGTTATTGAACCTTAAGAGCGTTGGTACCTTCTGTGAAGTCAATTGAGACCCTTTTTGCACCTGTTTCAAAGCATCCTCGAATATCTTTCTCGCACTATAAGTGGTGCCTTAGTATTTTACCCCAGAAGAAGTGGGAAAGGTATGTTTTGCTGGCTTACCTCATTAACCAAGTCTTTGACGAACTCATCGCGGGTATAGCCTTCGAGTTCGCTCTGAAGGGGATATAGAAGATACATCATACTCGGCGCAATGACGGCTTGCTTCATTGGATGAGAGGCATAGGGTTTGGACTGTTTGAGATTCTGCCACGCATAGGTCGCGTATCTGGTTCGGATTAGTTAGCAGAGCTTCATTTGCATTGGACAAACAAGGTAAACGCACTTGAAAGGTCCTTTGACAAGACGCGGCAGCTGGCGGTGATGGCCGTCATCAAAAATAGCCTGCAGAACCAGACATCAGCCACGTCCTGCTATTTACTTCTCAGTATAACCTACAAAGAATTGACCATCAGCGGCAAAGTTGCTAGGCAGACCTGCGCCTTTGAGAGTCCTGTAATCATATCTGGTAAGAAACAGTATCTTGTGACCGAGTTCACTTGTCGCCAAAACTCACTCCACAATGGGATATGTTGCGAAACTAAAATCTCACATCAGTAACTCTCAGAATTGATGAGATGGAGGCTTTTCAACTCACGAGCTGGCACGCTGCTCTCCGTCTGTTACGTAGGTTTCTCCGGCAGCCTCCATTCTCTCCACAGAGTCTTTGGCGGCCTTGTCCTGCGCTGCGACAAGGGCATCGTGGGTAATTTTCCCAGCATCATAGTCGGCGAAAGCCTGTTGTAGGTCTATTTCTCTGTTTAGTCAAAACCTTGCTTGGGCCAATCTTTGTCGGATTGTCTTACACGTTGGGCGGGGCAACGAGCCCACGACTTCAGTTGGAATAGGCATTTTGCTGAACAATTCTTTGTCTTTTCAACAAGAAATCACAATAACAGTTTTGTATGTAAAAAGAGTAAACATCGGTGGCAAAAGCGAGAAAGACATTTATTTAGCAGATCTCCGACCCTTTATAAACGCCGAGTATTTTGACAGATTCATCCAACCCCGCATCAGCAACGTCAGATCCCGCCAGAGTGGGAATTTGTTCTCAGGGATGGGTTGCATATAGGCTCCATTTAGTGGCTCAAGAGAGACGAATGGGCTTGTCATTTGATGACACTAATCCGGTCTGTTGTGGAAAAGTCCGGAAAAGTAAATAATATGCTTTGAGCCCGTCAAGGAATGAGTTCGTGAGCTCTGCAGACAAATTAAGTTTGCCTAGTCATCGGGAGATCTTCAGCTACAGAGAAGCCTTGCCCGAATATGTTGAGAATTCCAGATGAGAAGGAAGGATGATACTGGATGTGTTTTCATAGTCAAAACTTGTGTGGACAAGAGCTCTCTACCCACGAAATATTCACCACGGCATGGGGTTTGTGACATGTCAGCTTGGCAATTGATTGACCAATAGTCAGTGCTTCTGCAACTTTTGATCATCTTTACCCCAGCTACCAAATGCTTGAACTGAATTAGCGCATAGCTTCGAAGTCCATCGGGGTTTTTGATTCAGTCTATTGCCCAAAGATACGAGTAACAGTCACCGCTAATATTAACACCCGTGTATCAATGGCCATGTGAGTATCCGCAGTCTTGCAAGTCCGCATTATTTCCGGGGATTAGGAAGTCAACTCGCTCACATTGGCGAAGTTGACATCTTTCTTCATGCTGTCCATGCTCAATACAAATGGGAACAAGTAATTGTGCTTAGCCAACATTTCTCAATGGGGTGCCTCACCGTCAGTCCAACGACAATTCTGTCTCATGCGTTATGCTGCCTTATGTCCCACTCTGTCTTACATAATCTTCTGCCTGAACCTCGTATAGGCTGGATATAATCGCTCAGTTTCTTCCGTCTCGGTACCTATGTGATTTATCATATCTTTTAAAAATTAGCTCTTACCCCTTGTACCTACTACTATTGGTTATTGCGCCGGCCTTGGAAAGTTTTCCCCTCGTACAGGAGCTTTCAGCCTAAGAGCTAACCAATGCTTGAAGTTGGTTTCGCAATTCAACATATATATAGAGTACATGCATTGGATGATAATCCGTTTCACGGATCAAAGGGAAAATGTGCTGCCGCTGTAACTAAAACAAACTAGCACACACTACTATTTTGAGCAGCCTCAGCTATTGAATGTAGTCTCTATGGGCTCAGTGTTTTTCAATGCCCTTTCTAGCTCAATGGCTACAGATCTGGTCGCTGGCAGTTGTGTACTTTTGGCATATAGAATGCGGCCTGAACTCCATGCTCATATTTTATTAACGACTGATCTTTCGATAGTCTAAAAGAGTCTGATAAAGTAAATTCTATATCCAATCGTCTTTGAAGGCTTACTCCAACAGCCGTGATCCCACAATGGGGCCTCATGGTTGAACAGCTGAGTTGAGGCGACCCTCCTGCTTTGATCATTTGTCGACCGTCCCATCCTTCGAAGACACAAACTTTTTTACTTGTGTTGGTCTGTGGTACCATTATTGCAAGCCACAGGATAGGTAGAAACATCTGCATCCCTAAGCTCAGGACTTTTTCCCAATTTTGGCACATCAAAAGCTGGTGTCAGAATTGATGGATCGTCTATATTCGCACAGACAAGTTTAACTCCACCAGAGTCTTAATTTTGAGCTTTGATACTAGAGATATTGCGGGTGGGGGGGCACGAACACGCCAGCCGGGCTCGGATCAAAACGTATTCACCACAGGACCGCCCTGGTAGCTACTAGCCAGTGGCGCCAACAACGACGATGAGCTCTCCGGAAGATATGTTATGTTTAAATAAACCGCAATTGATTCCTATATACTCCGATATTCCCAAAGACTGAAAGTCTGCTACCCCTTTTGGATTTCGTACGTGGGTCTCGCGGTAACGTTTTCTTGGTCTTGAAAGCACTTGGGACTACAGTTACAGGCATAACCCACCACAACATGTTGTAAAATATTAATTTTATTCACAGTTGACAACTAAGGTTCATTATTGATTTATGTGATTCTGTAGTGTGATCGTGATACCTTATCTTTCCCTTATATCGACCAACCGATGTCGGAGTTCGCGTATGAACTTCTATCCACCTGAAACTCGAGACGCAGGGAATTCGAGGAGAATCTTTTGGTACTGTCAGTGAGTAAGGGTAACATTTGCATGAAATTACAGGTGATTTTATCCATGATCTAGTCTTCTGACTTTAAAGCTAGGAGTCAGTGTAAGCCTTCTTGAATCCTGATCAACTTTCCTTTGTGCTCTCATTAGCTGTCTAGTTAATTTATAATGTTTCGATCCATAGCATGCCGTTGAACCGAAGAATAAAACTCAAGAATCATTGAAAGACCAGAGAGAAAAGCTGTAACAAGCAACTCAAGTTTAGGATGGCAGTACCAATTTCACTATAAGAGACGAAAGTCCAATCTCATCAAGCAACTCATCTCAAATGAGAAAACATGCATATTCCTAAATGGGTATGTGTGGGGTTTAGCGGGGAGGATTATCTGCAACGTGAAGATTCATCCCACTGACGTCGTTATGGCGGAAATAAAGAATGATTATTGGACCGAAGTCTGAGCGAACTCGGTTGCTATCTTGAACTCCCGCTCTAAGTGACACAGGCCGTGAGATCTTGCAGCCGACCAAGCCGAACATGGCAAAGTAAGAGCCCTTTGATGATTTGATCCACTCCTTATGTCGCTAAGGGCGTATCGGTCTAAGAATAATAAATTGCAGCAAGCAACTCTATCTACATTCATCCTACTATTGTATACAGCGAAATGTTTCGCTGTCTTTTTGGTTCAATTCGCAAAATGCATCACAAAATTGTTGCTCTAGATGCATGGCACGTCCCTATCCCCCCGAATCTACTTAACCTGCCACCCCCACACACCTACGAGTTGATAATCTGCGAGACACAACTTATTTCAAACGATGATATTCAGGAGGCTGTAAAAGATGCCACTATAATTGCTCTTACACTTACACGCCTTGATGCTTCAACTCTCTCGGCAACCAAAACTCCAAACCTTCGTTTGATCGCGGCGTTGGCGTCCGGGACTGATAGCATTGACAAACAAGAGTGTAAAAGGAGGAGGATCATGGTTCTCAATGCGCCGGATGCGAATGGCGATAGCGTTGCAAATCATGTCCTGGCGATGTACTTTGCTTGCCGCCGACGTCTTTTGTTGATGCAAAAAGTCATCTTAGGAACCGATGAATGGGTAAGACGGGGTACAATCACCAACCGATTAAACTCTAGGGACAATAATCTACCACTATCATGCAAAGAAGAAATCGTCGGCATTATAGGCCATGGTGCAATAGGTAAGAAATAGGCATGATGAGTACAGAACGGGCGATAGCTAACATCTCGTCACTTTATAGGCCGGCGTGTTGCTCAGCTTTGCCGTGGTCTCGGGATGACTGTTCTTATTGCTTCTCGAAAAGGCGCAGTGCCGGGTGCTGTTACAACTGCTTCTACAAGAGATACGATGGGCACAGAAGCTGGTGATAGTCAAACACCGTTTGTGGACGTTCTACGTCGATCAACGGTGCTTGTTTTATGTCTGCCCCGCAATCCAGCGACGCTTAATCTCATATCCCATGATGAGTTCCAAATGATGTCTCAAAAGACCATCATGATCAATGTCTCGCGTGGAGGTATTGTCGATGAACCAGCACTCATTCAGGCTTTGAGAGGAGGCGTGATCGATGGGTGCGCAACAGATGTTTTCATGAAAGAGCCCTCTGGTGCTGGCGATCACTGGAAGGAAGGCGATAGCCCCATTCTCAAGCTCAGTCAAGATGAAGCGGAAGAATTGAACTTACTAGTTACGCCCCATGTGGCATGGTATGCAAGGGCAACGATAGATGGCTACTGAGGGGCATACAAGGAAAATGTTGAAGATTGGTGTGCTGGAAAGCCAAAGAATATTGTTGTATGACAAAAAGCAGGAATTCAAGTATAATAAGTCGGCACTTGTAGTTATGTATTATTACGAAGAGCTATCAAGTTGCAGATAAACTGTCATGGATGGATATAGTTTTGGTGTATATGAAGGCTGTGGTAGTGTAGAGTAGAGGGTGTCATCAAAGCTCGTGGCGCTTCCCAACCCATACGGCAATTACTAACTACAAACTGCAACTTTATCCATTATCAGCACGAATAAGATCTTTCCAGCGGTTAAATTAATTGTAAAATAGATGACGCTCAGGTTCTACAAGTGAGGTGACCTTCCATCATCTTACATCACGCTGGTGGCGCCGTCCGCAACAGACGCTTCAACCTCTTAGGAAATCGCCAATTTCCTAGTTTGAAACCCCCACTAGCCCAACTGCCGCAGCAATGCCTCTATACAGAGTAGTTCAGCCCAGTGTTTGTATTTGATAGTATCAGGTGCATGTCGTTGGCATCAAGGTTCCGTTTTTACAACCTGGGCCCACTCAAGGCAAATGGAAGAACCGCCGGTTCCGGGCCAATTTGCTGATTTAAACATAAAGAGGATCAGAATTTTGCTGCAAAGATAGAAATTGTATATATGCTGGTTTGAGTGAAGATGAGCTGTGCGAGCCAGAAGTTACTCTAACCAACTAACAAGTCTATCTTGCGGAAATATGCAAAGCCCTGAACTCAGCGACGTAAAGTGACAGCCCCTGCCGCAAGACAGACAGCGACAGTCTATTTTGAATACAAGTCCGAACGATGCGTCCAAATCCTCCAACGCCAAAATCGTTCGCTTGCATGCGGCGAAAGAGGGTCATTATCGCCAGCGGGAAAGACGTCGGGGCCACCTAGAGGTCCGGCAATATCAACCGACTGGTCCGTCCAAGAAACACAAACTCCATACATCAGAAAGAGATAATGGAACACAGACCCAGATCAGACCTCAAACCACCAGCAATCCTGAAGCGCAAAATTCTCTTTCACGTTATCAGAGAGATCCTTTCCAATGTTATTCTAGGACAACTTCACAAGTGGAAAACGAGCTGATTGATCATTGCAAGTCACTTACAACTAGAGAGAATTAGGAAAGTTTGATTAAGGTCATACTAATGTGTCTTAGACATCAGATGCGTTGTCGATAATAGTAATGTAAACTGTGGTGCCTGTAGTAGCCGTGGAGAGTCATTTATATAGCGGGTTAATCCGTGTTGGGTCCCATGGTTACTTACGAACGACGACCTCCTTGCCGTTCTTCTCATGACAGCATGTTACAGCCTCATATCTTTCAGACAAAAAACAAATTACACGCGACCTTACTTCACCGATTTAAAAACGAGCGTGTCGAAATGATTCGCACTGCGTTATCCAGCACAGAGATCAGTGATCAGACTATATCGCATTAGCTCTAGTCTTGGCAGCTGAGGAGGTGCGTTTGTCTAAATCCATACTTGTTCTACTGATATATGATCTAGGGACTAAACCGTTGACAGTTAATGGCCAGAAACCTCACAGAATATTGTTTACACGGCACCGGGATTATTAAGAAGGTCAGCATCCGAGGTGGCATTAACAATCTGGGACATGGCTTTTTGGGGCTTCTTTTATATAACCCAACGTTAGAGATGGTGCAAGGCTGAGATCTACCACCGCTGAGGACGTAATGATCGTAGAATGAATTCTTTTTAGGTGAAGACTTGGGGCATTATGTCACAAGATACCAAACAGTCTACTCAGAAATCTGTCCTAAGTTGCAGTTGTAACATGCCTGTCTGTTATACACTATATACATGGGTTTGGTGACACATGATACTGTACAATCCCATCTTTATAAATACACAATACTGTGAAACAATATCTCTATCCGACGCAATAAATCTGTCCAATTACCCAACATTGCGATAGCACTGCATGCTTCAAAGCTCAATTACGGAAAGGAGTTCTCGAGCATATGCTGCTGCTGTTGCTGCTGCATAATAATGCCACTCATCATTCTTGTGCAAGTCGCAATAGTCGCAAATGCCCCGGATCACAAGACAGGGGGAGTCATTCATAAGGCCCGCAGCTTCCATCTCGAAGCAGAGTACTTTCAGCTCCGGGTCATGAGCGTAAGAGTCCCTTGCTCTAGCGTCTTTCATGAGCGTGTTGGAGGATGCGATTGTGCCATAAAAGACATCAATGGCTCTGGACGATGTGCGAGGCGGACGCGCAACGAGCTCGCTCAAGTCGCATCCTGCACAAGATTTTCCACCTGTGTGTTTGCTATCAGAGCGGAATAACCGATCTACATCAGGTCGGTGGAAGCGAGGGTCGTTGTTGAATCTCTTCAGATGTTCATCCACGCCTCCATATTGGTCAGGAAATTGATGTCTTCGCTTAATTTCTGGAAGGATGTTGAGTATTTGGGCCGGAGGAGAATTCAGATGGCCAGTTCGTTGAAATCTGCCATCAATTTGTTTCCCCATATCGAACTGGACAACTCCCCCAATGTTCTTATAAGGCACACTGACGACAACATCGCCGAGACGGATGTCCTGTTCTGAAGTAGGGGCACCCCCTGCTATGCCAACCATTAAGACAAGTCGTAACTTGTAAAAAGTACGTGTCATGTCCGTCGCAACACGAGCAGCCGCCGTGACGCCGTAGCGACCTGAAGGAAGGGATCCGATAACAATACGGTGCCCGCCGATGCGACCAAAGCAGTATGTGTTGTTATCGCCTGGCTCTTGATATTTTGGGCCTTCGATCTCTTCGTCTAGCATAGCACATGCGGCCTCATATTCCTCTTGGAGAGCGCAAACCCAGCCTATGTTGAAACTCTCTCGGGACGACATGATGATATAATAAACAATAACAAACAATTGACGAGTAATTAATTAATATGAGAGGACGTTTGAGTAACAGAATCATAAGTCAAAATTGGGATGAATGTAGAATTGTCTTGTTTGAACAACTTGAGGTTATTCCTTGCCTTATATACACACATCTCATTACATTAAACCTATGAATTCCACGTCGTCGACGGCGCTTAACATGAATAGTATACAGAACTAATGAGGATTTGGCCTGTAATTTCGGCTTATGCAGGCCAGGCGCGTACAAATTAGGCAGGCCGACAGGCGCTTAATCCACAGCCTCATTCTTCAGCAACGCGGGATAATGACGCCCCATGTACGAGGCTCAATACTACATAGTGTTGGTTGTCAAGTATATCTTGTTTCACATCACCTCTGTTAGCAGTAAACTTCCTGGTATATCTGGCTCTTGAGTCAGTTTGGTGTATTCTGTATTCATGGCGAGCGCTTAATTGTGCGAACCGATCCAATTTAGGGCGTGTCATACTCCGCAGATAATACTGGATATTCTTGTGTTTTTTAATCAGAGGGTTAGATAAGTGAATTTTGAGTTACACTAAAATCCCTGCGTGATAGACAACCTTGAAGTTGTAGCTGAACTTTATGGGACGAAACGAAACAATGTTGGCCAAGAATACTGGTAGTAGCAGAGATGCCATCGCAGTAGCTATAATGAGCTACTCTATAATACAAGTAATTCCACAATTCATCGCAATTTCGTAAGCCCATCACCGAACTACGTAACTATGTACACAACATTGGCGGGCATCTTTTCCAACATCTTCTCATGCTCCTCACTCCAGCCCCCATCCGTCGTATACGCCAATCCAACTCTTCGAAAAACCAGTTCCGAGACATCTCTATGCGATAAATCCGGGTCGTAGCCCTCGGTATTAGCCTTGTGCCCCACAGGCTCCAGTACCAAGGCGGCAAATACGACCTTTTCCTTTACAGTGGACTTGATAGGTAGGCGCTTAAAACTCGCCATCGGCAGACAGTAAAGCGATTCGGTAATGACGGTGTTCGTGCTGTCCGGGTAAAAGACAAGTTGTGGCATCTTGTTTACCGCAGATTCATTGCTCTCTCCCTCATCCTTGGGGGGCGTGATAATAAGTCTTGTTTGGCGAATCTGTCTCCCGACGACGCTCTCTTGAAGAATCTCGGCCGACATGGCTCCCAAGAAGTAAGTGTACTCCGGATACTCAGTATCTTTAATCGTAAAGAGATGCGGCGCCATAGTAACTTCCGTCTTCCAAAGAGGACCGGCGAGAATGATTGCAGAGGGAGGGACCTCTGTGTACATGTCATCCATCACCCAATCTCGTGGCTCATCGTGATCATCAGGCAGTTTGGGAACATTCATAGCGCCTCCTAGTGATACCACCAAAGTATAATGATTAATCACCTCATCGTCGTGAAACGGGTAGACGATTTCGCATTCGGGATATGCCCAGCTCCATGATATAGGCACCGCGGGTTCGGGAAGATTCTCTCTCCCAGCGTCTTTAGCATAGGCGAGCCTCCATAGCAGATCCAGAGCTGTCTCTGCATGAGGCTCCAAGTTTTCCTCCTCTTCATTTCCTTGAGGCTCATCATACCAGATGCCAGCGAAATACTTTTTACCACCCAATCTTGCATTAAAGTTCTTTGCAAGACCTGCTATGGCGAACAGAGTATCGCTGCGGTATGTGTAGTCAAGCCGCGAATATTCCTCAACGACGAGTCGCCAGGCTTTTCGAAGTTGCTTGTGAGAGGGATTGTTGCCAAGCGTTAGCTGCATGTCTCTTCTGCTACTTGCTGAATGCAGCGGAATGTGAATGTCATCCTCCCATTCTTTCATGAGTTTAGTACTTTGGGTTTCGAGTTCTTCAAGGCCACATTCGCATTTATGGTGGCTGGCGCATTGCCATGAAAGCTCATCAGGTCCGAAAATGAGAAGGCGGCGCGACAAAAGGCGTTCTTGGAATACCCATGCTCTCTTCCAGACTGGAATGTCATCATCTTTGACCATGAACGTGGGATGATAGATGGTGTGTCGATAGTGTAATTCATGATCATTGCCTTCTGCGTCTTGGATAGAGACAGGATTTGAGTTCAACCTGGCAGAAGAGTCTTGGAACAATCTCTTCTCTGTATGAAGTCCGTGGCTCTCTACCAAGGTGATGGAGGAGTTGGAATATATGTCGCTCATTTTGAGAGAATGTTTCTTCCAGTCGCTCTTGGAATCTTGGATAATGCACAAGCTGTCGATCCATATATAGCGTATCTCCTCTCCGTATTGTTCTTGGTGCCATTTTGAGAATTTTCTCAGAAATGTTATAGAGTCTTGATAGGTAGGCGAGAGGTAATCCCATGGAACTTCGCTGCACAGCGATTCAAAATTCTGCTTCGTAGCTTGAGACGTTCCCTTCCCCCATCGATGGCTTAAACAAGCGTATCTAGCCTTCTTACCGTTCGTTTGAACCAACTTGACACCGGACGCAGTGCCTTCAGCAGCGATGTCGAGAACTCGTTCAGGCATCTCTGGGATCTCTCCAACCAGGCAATCTTCATGGGTGTCGTTGCATTCACGGAACCAATTCGTAGCCTTTTGGAACGCTTCATCAGACGCAGTATTTCCAGATGGCACTGTCCGCTCGAATACTGTTAATCCACGGTCTGGAAACCAAGGCTGTCTCCAAGGGGACGGGATCTCTGCAAACATATTTGTTAGATACCTGGTGTTGATATATCTGTCATTCCCAATTTCACACATACCTGTCTTGAGAAAGCTCTCTATACCCCACGCATGCGCTGGTAGCTCTCCAGCACCCAAGTGGCCAATTCGAAGACAATGAGAAGCCGAACTTCCTCCTGTAGTAACAAATCCCAATTCGGGCATTATCTCCTGCCGTTCCGCATATCCCGGACTGGTTGCCATCATATAGTCATGGAGGCCACGTCTTAAGGCCACACAAGGTGCAACCTGGTCTCCAGCATTGCGATGTGAGGGACAAGGCTGCTCAATCCAATATTTGAACGGAATAGACTTATTCTTAATGAGCTCCGCCTTGACAAAGGATTGTGCCTCTTCGTGGCCACCTTTCTCGAAATCTGGCTCTTGGCCCTCAAGAAGGTCATATACTCTGGTATCGACTATCTCGTTATCAATTGGCATCGTATAAATTGGCTCAATTTTATTCTCATATTTATGCCTCATAGTTTCCGTTTTGGTCAGCAAATGCATGGAAGGGCGTATTTTACTCGTTGTCGGGCCGTTTCGAGGTGCTTCTGGAGTTGACGGTTTAGGAGGGCTACCTGGTGTAGCTTTGGCATTTCCATCATCACTGTGTTCGCTTTTGGGACTCGATGGCCTAGAATCGGCGCTTTCTGGAGCATCATCTTCCACGTTGCCACGAAACGCAGTTTGCGGAAAGCCAAAGTCGAAACAGATTGGACACACCAGATCAACTTGTTTCGACCGGGTTGCAGAGGTTGTGAGAAGCCGCCGAGCCCCACGTTGAAGACCAAATCGTAGCATATTGAATTGACTTGAAAGGACTGCTTACTGAGTGGCCAACTGTAGTAGATGATGTTGCCTGGTTTTTATGATTGACGATCCAGTTACTGTAGGATCATTCGGGCTGACTGCTGCTCTGCCTCGCCCCGCTTCCATCTTACCGATCCCTGACACTTGAGATTTAGCGTCCTGAGTCTGGACGCATGAGACAGAAGATATCTCGGACATGCTCATCAGACCATTAATTTTATAACAAAGTGGAATATCAAATCAGGCATTCGTATGATAAGTATAATCCATACAGAAAGTATATGTAATGTCTGGGTTTCTTCGTCGTGGGCGGGCTACACTCCGCCATTTTGTAAAGAATCCTTAGAATGAGGCTGTGTGTCTAGGTTGCAGTTGTCTTCTGCCTTGAGGCCTATCTTAACATTTCGAAATAACAATAATACAGGTAGTGTTGCTTAGGGGCTGTGGATAGTATGAAGTTATTCGTTGATTCTATATGTAAAGCCGCATCTATTCGTAATAAAGCGTCATTCTGAGTGTTTTTTCTACCTACCCTATTAGGATCGTGTATTATGTTGCATGAACTTGAACGATGAATAAATCAAACCTGTCTCAAATTCGGGAAGAAAGCATAGAATAATTAGGAAATACAACTGTCCGAGAGGTATAGTGGTATATTTCTGAAACAGTTCCGAAATGTGCGGTGAATATGTATATTGGGATGGTCAACCATGTATTCAGTGTTGATGTGGAAGTTGATGTTGTAGTGTAGTAGACAACAAGCGACTCCTGAATCCAGTTGGTGTAACTCGTCCAACAACCATTCAGTAAAAGTCTGCAACACGGCCAACAACGACTCATCCATGGAAGGATTCTGCCTCCGCAAGTGTGTGTGGAGCAAGGCGACCCCCAAGGCTCTGGGATCGCCATCGGATTATCGCACACCTGTTCAGATGTCGAAGGATTCTTGAAGGATTCGTGAGAGTGCATATATGACCAACTAGCAATCCATAAAGTAGATGCTGGTCTGCTGCTCTTTGGCACCACTATTTCCCTCCTAAATGCTAATATACCTGTCCTCGATTTTCCTTTGTCTCTTATATGTACTGCTATTGCCACAATCGCCGCAATTAACACAGTCCCCAAGAGAGACCACAGCCATGGTGAGCATAATCCGCGATCAGACGCCGGGGTGCTACGTAAACGCCGTCTCGGAATTGTTCACCGCGAAAATACAACTGGGCGAATTCTTCAAACGATGCCTGGCGCATTTCGGGCCGGTAGAGCAACGAGTTCATCATTTGCCTGATGACAACTTGGCGAGCGACTTTGTGCGCCCGCTTATGTGGAATGGGAAGCGATTTGGTCACATGGCCAGTGCAATTAAAATCTGCGAAACGGATCCTATAATTGCTTCTTTTCCTGGTAAGAGAGTTTCTGAAGTTTCACATTAATATCTCGAGTGCATGGATTGACTTGCGGCATGGGAACCAACCAGGTGAGAAACTGGAGCCTTTCTTCTCGGCTTGTGCATCCGGACAAGCGGATATGGCTTTACTCCGATCAGGCAGCTCTACCGTGAGTGAAGCCGATGCCGACCGCCTCTTGGCTCTGCCTCTATTCCGCCAAGCCATGTTCTTCACGGCGTTGAACACCGGTAATCCTGCTCTAGCTATAAAGATCGCGGATGAAAAGCCCTTGGAATCTCCTCCGCCGCCCGATAAATGGCTTTTGGGAGGACACGTCAAGTTGTTTCATTACCCAGACGAGGAGCAAGAAAAGATGCCACTCCGTGTTTGGGCTGCAGCTCTCCGGAACAAATGGACCCCGGTAGATAAAATGTTGCTATTCCTTGCTGCACGTGGGGAGAGCTCGGAAGAAAGCATCGATCTGTTAGACAGTATTGTCAAAGTAGATCCGAATTTCCTCGTCTCCGAAGATTGGTTCAAAAAGACCTCTCTTGAATTTGCCATCCAATCTGGTACTCCGCAGGTACTCCAGCATCTATGGAAGTTGTACAAGGTGCCAGAAGCAGAGAGACTTAAACACGATCTGTTGATTGTGAACGCGGAAGGCAACAACACTGGGGGACTGGCGATGCTGGGGTGGCTCCTGGATCAGGGACTAGACGTGAATTACAGAAGAGTCACGGAATCGGACGAGGAGGTACCTTATTCAGGAGATCCACGAGAGACTGCTGAACGATGGTATGCGCACAACCAGAGGCCTCTTTCCCAACGAAAGACTGCGCTTCATGCAGCTACCGCTATGAAGAACGCCGAGGCCGTGAGGTATCTCTTGTCAAGGGGAGCCAACGTGGATGCCCAAGATGGTCTGGGGCAGACGGCTAGGTTTATCGCTGAGCGAGATGGCCATGCGGAAGTAGTCAAAGTTATTGATGAGTTTGTCAAGGGGACGCGCCTATGATGAGAAAGATGGATGCAGCAAATATCCAATGTCTTCACCACCACCTAATACTGGCTGCTATATTGGTCTTACAATTACTCAAGAGCGTCTACCCAGTAGGCCTATCATGGTGATCACGAAAAGCAAGTCGTGATATTGCCTTGCCAAATGAATCAACCTCTTTACTCATGGGGCCCAAATGTATAAATGGTGCCCATATAAGCGGTTCATCCAGGTACTCCTTCTTCAATTCCGAGATTGCATGGTGCAAAGCCCAGGCAATAGCGTCGTTACCCATTCCCCCGTGCTCAACCGTGTGATCGTTTATGAATGTGTAAAAGTCGCGTGCAATAACTGGACAGATGAAGTTATAAACTGGCCAGAGCGAAGCAATGACGTGGGGAAATCCAGCTAGCTGAAATGCGTTGCCAATTTGGAGACCCTCGTCAAGAAGTTCAGGAACAGATCCATACGCTGTTGAGCAGGCGGCAAGGAAAGCCAAGATGGACTTATCGGCCACAGTGCTAGACATCTCTTTAACGCTGAGCCTTGTGATAACAGGTTCAGATTCTGTAGCAGCCTCATCGAGCAGGATCAGATGACTGAGCGATGGATCTGCTACATTTGTCTCGGCGTGGGAGTTGACATGCAAATAGTTGCACCTGGGAAGGACGTCAAGCAATTGTGCCTTTACAGTTCGTGGCATTTGAGCCCACTCGATAAACTGGGCAGCGTTCATGACACCCGCAGCTTCTATATATATGGAAGGCAAGAAGTATTTTCTGATACCCGCAGGAAGTGAGGCCCAGGATTTTGATGTCATACTCACGACCACGCCTTTGTTACCTGCAGTTTGAATGCTGCGGCTTCGTGAGCGCACATGCTGCAGCCTTCGGAAGCTTGCAATGTACGAAGAAGTTATTCTTGCAGTTGCTGAGTCTTCAAGATTCCCACTGCTGTAATCCCCAGCGGCATGCAATGGAACTTGGGCAAATATCCCCGTGGGAATCCATAGAACTCGTGGCGGAAATGGACAATTGCGGGTAAAAGTGTGTTCTTTTAGACCAAGGGCATTACAGATTGGCTCCACAATGAATCTCCAAATCATCTTGAGCATCCTCGCCAGCGTTTGGTTTCGGACGTGGGCATCTATACTTGAGTTGTGGATGATCTTCAAGGGCGATTTGAAGAGATGGTCGATCAGTTGTGATCTACGCCCACCGACTGAAATTGGCTCAAGCGCAAATAATTGTATGGCATCAACCAGGCCATTCTTAATGACGATGGCGTCTGTGCGAAAAATACTTGTGTTGAGAACTATGATGTAGTCTTCATCAGAAGTTCAGTAATTTGGTGAGGCCGGAGTATAGTAATAAATTGGCGAAATCCTGGAACACTTTCGCGGATCAACTTGACAACGTCATTGAGGTCTCTGATTGCTCTCTCGCGAGGATCCGTCCAGGCTTTCTGTGATAAATCTAGCGGATCAACGAGCTTGACATACTGCTCTGATGGCTTCATGACTTGTTGCCTGAAGTTTTCGAAATTCATTGTATAAATCTGGGGCTTTGCATTTTAGGTCGTCAAGTTCTCCGGAGCCACCGTGCAAATTGTAGTCAATATCCCGCTTGCTTGTTCCAATACGTAGAGCGCACGGAGAGGATGTGCGCCAGCCGCCATGCCAGCCGAGCATGCTTCTGACCCGAGGCCTGACAGTTGGGATATAATGTGTTGTTGCTCTTCGGGGTTACAATAGACTCCTGCAGCTGAGGGTATATGTCCTACGGCTTCTCTGAGACAGTCCCATGCCTCCTGATACCGATGAAGGTCATATAAAATAACGCCAGCTTCTCTTGCAGCTCTTATCATTTCTAGAGGTTGGATAACTGGTGACTGGGCACATTTGAGAAGACATTGTATGGCAAACTCGATATCCGAAGTATGTCTGACTCCTTCGAACGTGTATGACGGTGACTTGTAAAATTTTCGAGCAAAGATTCTTCCCAATCGAGGTAAGAATTACGCCTTGTTCATACGGCTGGAGATCATTTGAACTAGCGGCTTCGCAAGCAAGGTCAGCAGCCTTATTTATATATTCGTCTTTTATGTCACCGGTTGCGTTGAACAACTGATCAAATTTGTTTGCCAGATGAATAAGATTGGAACTGCTCCTCTCAATGTCCACAGACTGTTGGCCGTATGATATTGCCTCTTCAAGATATTTGATTGCGAGGCCGTGCTTGGTTGATTTCCGAATACATACATAATAGGAATGCAAGCCGTTACTCAACTGGTCTGGTAAAATTGCCTTTTTGGAATCTCTTTTAGGATAAAGACGAACAGCTTCTCTGTGCGCCGGTAATGCGACTTCTAAGTCTTGTAGGTGGCGTTCCCGATCATATCTCAATTTAGAGTGTAACCCAAGGTCGCTGAAGAATATGGCCATCTGGTTGGTGAAACGGAGGTTGCCTCCGTAGCCTTCTTTGTATATGCAATGGCCTTGTCGAGCCTCTCCAATCTCAGGGTGCTGAAGTATGATTCACGTAGGAGATCGATGATAGACCGATAGATATGATAGAAGCTCGGACAATAGATATTCACAAGCTTCTCTGCCTCCGTCAAATATCCCAGACCGCTTTGGAAATCCTCCTCATCCTCGACTTTGTGTTGCTGAGACCACAGCCAAAGCCGATCGGCCCGCTTAGCTTCTGGAGAATTGACGTTTGCACCAGGATTATTGTCTTGAGCACGACGGAGAAGTACATCATATGGCATTTCTCTATGATGCTTATAGTCTGCAGATAGCCGTGCACTCAGGTCTGTAGTCCGCTCGCTGGTTCCATTATAGAAGTAATGCAGCTTTCGCGTTTGTGACAGGCAGTGTAAGATATTCATACCGCCGGCACGATATCGAAGCTCCGATATGCTACCAGACATCCTGATATTTTCGACTAGGCTCATACTCTCGTTGAGAAATGCTTCATTGTGGTCGTGCGTGAAACGTTTATTGAGAGACAGTATGAGCTGGAGTTTTGGCATGATGCCGTCCTTGTGCGCGACAACATATCGCCCATAATAAACTGCCCTCGCAATGTCATGGAGCTTGCCAGTTACTTCATACTGTTCACGGAAGAGGATCCCACACTTTGATGCTGTGGCAAAGTGTTCGGGGTTTGTCCATGGCAGCCGATTCAGCTCAGCGGCCAAGCTGCAGGGCCTCTTGTCCGATGCTTGTAGTGAGCTCAATTGAGAGGTTTGAGACATTTTAAACGTAGGAGAAGCGGCGGATATTTCACTGCATTGCTATAAACGATGAAACTTCTGTACACTTCTCCACCAATGTAGGGCCGTGATGAAGTTCTGCCGAAAGCATCCGCGACTGATGAGAATATTGAGAGCATGAAATGGCTTTACGGTCTCATTTTCAAATTGTTACTTGATTTGAAGAACTATACCAGAGTAATATCTGGTTTGGGAGAAAATTGAGCCTCAGCTGGGCATTTTGAGCAAGGGTTGATTGGTTCGCCGTCTGTTCAGCTGCTGCTCCTCCTCGAGTAACCTTTAGCCACGCATTCAGCTACAATACTGGAATGAGGGCCATGGGTGGCTGGCCATACAATAAGCCTCAAGTTAGCTTATTTTGATAATCATAGCCATGGCGCTTGCATTTCCTAAATGCCATTTGCTTGGTCAAGTGGAGTGATGTAAGTGTAGAGGCTATTATGACTTCCTCCGCAAATGGTTGAATGATCTTTAAGTTTCAATTACGGGATGTTATATGTTGATATCCCAGGCCGGGTATTCCAACAGCCTAATTAAATGCCAGACTTCTGCCCAAAAGATTTCGAGGCCTTCAATCACTCCACGCAGTGAAAGAGATACATTCAGTCGCCAACGCACATTGACAAGCTCGAGCTCATCGAGATTAGTTTCTTTGCAATCCTCGGCTAACTATACAAACATGGGGAAGAGTCTGATTTCTCTGATGTCGTTTCCTTTGCCGCTGGACACTGTTGGTCTAGGTGATCTCATCAATGACCGAAAGGATCCCAGAAAAAGCTTCTTCGATCACACGACACTTCCAACTAAGCCCAACCCTTCCGTCAGTCTTAGCGATATACAGAATTTTTCTGACATGGTCAAGTCGACCCAGGCTGTGGATTTGGAGGCTTCTCTGACACGGTTTGCCTCAGCGTTCCTGCGTACGAAGGCCAAGAGCTTCGATGAACTGAAATCATGCCTCGTAAAGGAATACACGCTTTCCAATACCGACTCGTGGTACGACACCATCATCAAAGAAGACGGAGCGCGGCAATGGATTGAGCGCGCCAAGATGCGTGGCAAAGATATCTACCTCATCACAGGATTTCGAACGCTACTAGACGCGACGCTCAAATCGAGCAATGGAACAGGGAGATACGGCGGCGCAACAGCCCATGTCCCTGTAGGAGCGTTGACAGGAAATTCAGATGACGGTTTTGATGTGAAAGGGAAAGTTGAGGTGAATTCAACCAAGTCTCACATCACATCCATGCTCGTTCCCGGGGAAAAGGTCTTTGCAATGCAGTACCTCAAAAGTAAATTTAGGCCTTTCTCTAGCGACAAGGTAGATTCTTCGTATCTGGCGCCTCACAATGGCTGGATTGAAATGCTGATTGTTCGCAGCGAAGAGGCTGAAAACGACGGACTTGAAGCCGAGTTGGTTAAAGATGTCGATAGCGGTGATGATACCTGTGACACGTTTTAGAGACAACAGCACAAGAGCATTTGACTGTATTTTCTCTACTGGGAAACATCAATTTAATTTAATCCAAAACGCTTGTAGGAAGAGAGTTGAGTGAATCGATTAAAATACTAGCAAAACCAACAGTCAATGTCTGATCCGGAGGGGATTATTATACAGACTCTAGGATGACAGTAACATCTGCCATAAAAATTCCCATTGGAACAACGACGGTGAATCGCGGACACGCTACACACACACACACACACATGTATATTCATCTACTATCAACTCATCCGTTTTTACGAGTCCAAAAAACTCACAATGATAAGACGTCGTAACCCACCACTCGCAGCACTCTGCGTCTAATAAGTGATCTAGAAAAGCTCAATCAGAATATCCCGAGCTGCTTGTGTTCCCATGTCCCGAACCAGTGATGCTTCATATTTCTTCACCTGGAGATAGTGTCGGATTATTTTGCTTTCCATCATAACCTCAAGCTCTTCAAACGTCATTTCCAGCCGGCCAAGGGCTTCATCAATGCTTTGTGGCAACATTTCGCCGAATTTACCATCCGCTTCAGTATTGATCCCGGAGTCCTTTAGCAACAGAGGCTCCTTTTTAACACATCCAATCATGCCAGCGCTCAGTATTGCTGCTAAAGCAAGATACATATTGGCCGTGGCATCAAGGGAACGAAATTCCCAGTGGCCGGCCTTGACTTTCCGTATAGGTACTGTGCGGTCTTCGGTGCCCCAAGACACCATGTTGCCGGCAAATACAGGCTTCACGCGTTCATAGGATATTTCGTAAGGAAGACCAAAGGCACAAAGCTGTGGAAGCCTCTGCAGCATACCGGCCAAGAAAGATTCCTCATCATGCGGCGGATTGATGCTGATATGGGCATGTTGTCCCGACGATTGCCGTCGCGATGGCAAAGGGCGTGGTGACATGGTGGCTACCAGTCCGTGACGGGCAAATATGTGCTTGAGGGTATCATGGACCAGGATTAACTGGTCAACAGCTTGCACAGGATGGAGCGGCCCCAGCGTGATTTCGTATTGCCCCCGTTTACCCTCGCTCTGGAATGCGTCGATTTTGGCCCCAGCATCCATCAGTGCCACAACAGCTTCCTCTATATATGCGAAGCAAGGATCACGATACGAGGATACCACAAAGTTGCCTAGGCTTTTGGCATAAGGAATATACCCTCCTTCGTCCGTGGCTTTCATGATTTCAAACTCAACCTCGAACCCGACAAGGAAGTCAACATGGAGCGTCCGCTTTGCTTTTTCCACGACCGCCTCCAAGGCCCGCCGTGGACAGAGATCCCAGTTTGGCTGAGGCAGGTAGGGGACGTGCTTGACAACCTGACACATGACGCTGGCATACAAGGGATCTAGTCGTTGCCGTGTCCGTAGCGATGTCCAATCGGTCACAAGCACATCGTTGCCCTTGAAATCGGTGCTCGGCAGCAGACTGTTGTCTACGACGCCGTGGAAGGCCACTGGTCCCACGCGTAACGGCCGTTCTCCTGCTGCTATCGCAAGTGCATGCTCAAGAGGAATTATGCGACCTCGCAAGAGACCAGAATGATCTTGCCACTGAAAACGAACAAAGCGGATATTGGGGTGATCACTGAAGAATTTGGCGGCGGCTGCCGCGATCTTTGTGTTGGGTTCACTGTTGGGTGAGCCGTTCAGGTTTGGTTTGGTGTCGTTGGGATCCATGTTATCAGATTCGATGGAAAAAGAGATTTAACTGATAGAAGCGAGTTAGAGAATTATTCAAAAACGAAACATGTTGTTTGTTCACCTTTTGTGATGTTTCGTTTTGTAAAGGGCTTTTAGACCGGCCAGTGTTGGAATGACCGTGATGACATCCAAGCAGGGAGGCTTAGGAGGATATCGACGAGGCCACATGTACTTCCATGGCATAAGAAGCCCTCTCTCCTGGTGCCGATGTACAAAGCGCTGGAAAGGGCGTAATGTCATGTTAAAAGCTTCAATCTCGCCATTTCATAAAATGCATGACACGTCACTCGGCTAAGGTATTCAATCGACTCAGACGTCTATGTGAAACAGACCGGCTGCAGGTCGGATGCACCACCGTCCTTGCATAGATTTACGTGACCACTCATGTACGAGATGCCCTGTACTTCGACATTTTCCCATGCCGTAATACTCGAAACAACACGGAAACAATGTATATGTTTCGGTGGGACTGTGTAACTGTCCCTGCATTGTTGAACGCTCAGCATGCCGGCCAAGATAGTTAATATACATTCGGCCTATGACGATGCCCGGATATTGCCACGCATGCAAATGAGCCGTAGCGCTATCATCTTCCGAAAAAATGGATTCCGATACCTCTTTATTCGCTTCAGGCAAGGTTACGATAATGACGTAAATACGGGTTTATTGAAATAGGGAGAAGCTATCCCGCTCCTTCTCGCATCAATGGTATCACACCCAGAGTTACCAGAAAGGTAAGTATCTTTATAGAGCAATGGCACCGGCACGTTCATTTCTTTTCTTTTGTCAAACAGTCTCTATCATACGATCGTGCTAATCCTCATCTTTCATTTTCCCTTAACAAGATGGGTTCTGTCATAGAAGACGTTAACCTGCTAATCAGGCAGTTCAACACTACGAGTGACCCAGAGACACTTGGGCATACTTTACATGGACTCATCGAATATGCAGCGAGCCGCCATATGAATAAAACAGCCTTGATATGTGCCGACTCGGAGTTGACCTTCAAAGAGGTCAACGAGCGCGCTAATTGTTACGGCAACTCTTTGATCAAACAGGGAATTGAACGCGGCGATATTGTCGGCGTTGCCCTGGATCGGTCAATTGATCTTGTACCTATGCTTTTGGCAGTATTGAAAGCCGGAGCAGTCTATATACCTATCGATCCTTCTTTACCTCCACAAAGGATCTGCCAGCTGCTGGCTGATTCACACTCGAAACTTGTCATCGCCGATGCCAGTTCTCTCGATGCTTTGGCATCCTGGCAAGGAGCCTGCTTGACAATCAATCAAATACGAGACATGGCGGTCTCGGGGTGCAATGGCTGCAATCTCAATGTGGATGTACAGCCACAGGATTTTGCCTATATCATATATACGTCTGGATCGACGGGTAAGCCCAAGGGCGTGAAAATTAGCCACGAGGCTGTATGCAACACTCTGCTATCCACGAAGCGAGAACCAGGATGCCATGATACAGACCGAATATTGGCAATGAGCACTATTTGTTTTGACATGGCCATTCTAGAATTGTTTCTTCCACTAATCAGTGGCGCCACAGCTATTATTGCTCAGAGAAGCGAGGTCAGAGATGCGGAAGCTCTTAAACATCTTCTGAGGCGTTACTCGGTGACCATGATGTATGGAACACCGGCAATCTGGCAGATACTATTGGATTCTGGCTGGCGAGGCGAACCGCGTCTCAAAAAGATGGTCTCCACTGGCGAAGCCCTTTCCAACGACCTTGCTAAGCGTCTGCTCACTTGCGGAGACGGCCTGTGGAACTTGTACGGCGCAACAGAAGCCGCGATATATACAACCGTCTGGAAAGTGTGCCGAGGAGAAGATGTCATAATTGGAAGCCCCATCCTGAACAACCAGATTTACATACTCGATGAGAACTTATCACCAGTGCCACTTGGGGGCTCTGGCGAAGTGTATATCGGGGGCGTTGGTGTAGGCCGCGGCTATCACAACAATCCTACGCTCACGGAGTCTTGTTTTCTAAATAGCCCGTTCAATAAGGGGCTGCTATACCGTACCGGCGACTTGGGTCGCTTTATTGCGCCTGGGAAGATGTGCATTCTAGGTCGTCGCGATGGCCAAGTCAAGATCCGGGGCTATCGTATCGAAGTTGGAGATATCGAAGCATGTATTAGCAGTCATGACGATATTTCTGGTGCTGCCGTAATCAGCCGCGATGACCGTCTGATTGCCTACTGCGTGCGGAGGTTGGATTCCAACTCCCATGGGCCGATTAATGCAGCCGCTCCGGCACTCGATGGTGTTCTTAGGCCATGGATAGCAGAACGTCTACCAGGTTATATGATTCCAGCATTTTTCGTCGAACTCGACTCGTTTCCACTGACTCCAAACGGGAAAATTGACCGCAAGGCTCTTCCTGAAAATGAAAATGGGGAAACGGTCGAGGCTACGGCACAGACGAAGTCCGGTAATGAGCTTGAGAGGAGTATTTTGGCCATTTGGTCCAAAGTGCTTGGCCATGACAATATCAGCCTAGATGTCAACTTCTTTCACATAGGAGGTGACTCTCTGCGAGTTGTCCGCGTTCAGAAAGAGCTAGAACGGCTCTTGGGACGATGGATATCCTCAGCCAAGATATTTGAGCACAACACCATCAAGACATTAGCAGAGTATCTTGGCGGCATCAATGAGCCCGTACAGGGGGCGCCGGTGGCCGGATTGACTAACACATGCCAGAATGGCGTCAGATATAGTCACGGCAACGAAGATATTGCAATCATCTCCATGGCATGCCGACTACCTGGTGGCATCGCTACCCCTGAAGATTACTGGGAGCTGCTTGTCAACGGAAGAGACGCCACCACAGATGTGCCTAAAGACCGGTGGGATGCTGATGCCATATACGATGCGGACCCAAACGCTAGTGGCAAATCATATTGCCGAAGAGGCGGGTTTATAACCTCTCCAGCAATCAATTCCTTTGACGCCTCCTTTTTCGGCATATCGCCGCGAGAGGCTCAGGCGATGGATCCAACTCAAGCCGTGATGCTAGAGACTTGCTGGGAAGGTTTTGAGCGGGCTGGTTACACGACTGAGCAGCTACGTGGCAGCCGAACCGGCGTCTTCATTGGCTCTAGCACTATTGGGGCTCATTCTAGCCTACGCCAGAACTGTGATCTGGAAGCTCTTGATGGATACGCGACTACCGGGACGGCTGGTAGCGTCTTGTCGGGAAGAGTATCGTACGTACTCGGCCTTGAAGGTCCAAACCTCACAGTTGATACCGCATGCTCATCATCGTTGGTTGCGACACACCTGGCCTGTAATGCACTGCGTCAAAGGGAATGTGATATGGCTATATCTGGTGGCGTGAGTCTTCTGCTCGGACCTGGGCTCTACGTCGAGTTCAGCCGGCTCAGGGGCATGTCTGCAGACGGCTGTTGCAGGGCATTTGCGGCTGACACGCAAGGTACAGGGTGGGCCGAAGGATGTGCCGTCGTTGTTCTCAAACGCCTGTCTGATGCTCAACGTGATGGTGATATAGTCCATGCTATATTACGGGGCACTGCTGTCAATCATGACGGACAGAGCGCCAGTTTGACGACGCCAAGTGGCCCGGCTCAGAAGCGTCTTATACACGATGCCCTTGCGGTTTCAGGTTTGCAGCCGCCTGACATTGACTATATCGAGGCTCACGGCACAGCTACAAAGTTGGGTGACCCTATTGAAGGAACGGCATTGGCTGAAGTCTTCAAAGATAGCCGAATCGATACCACAGAGCCGCTGTGGATCGGTTCAGCCAAATCGAATATTGGTCATACACAGGCGGCTGCTGGTCTTGCTGGTCTGTTAAAGGTGGTGCTATCAATGCAGAACCAGACACTCCCACAATCGCTGCACGTAAATGAGCCAACTCCGGAGATAGATTGGAAAGGTGCAAATATGTTACCGGTGCAAACAAAACGTCCTTGGCTTCTTCATGGCGGTAACAGACCGCGGCGGGCGGGCGTCAGCGCCTTTGGAATTGGTGGCACAAACGCCCATGCCATTGTTGAGGAAGCTCCAGTGAGGAATATTTCTGAACATGATCCTCTCACTCCGTTGCCTCACGAAATGCCGTTTCTACTATCGGGCCAAAGTGATGGTGCACTTAGAGAACAGGCAGACAACCTACATCGATTCCTCTCTGATACTACACAGGGGCTTCAAGACGTGGCTTTTTCTCTGGCAACTACTCGAAACCATTTCAGGCAGCGGCTTGCAATAATGGCGAGAGACAAAGCAGAACTATTGGAGAAGATCTCCCGTGTCGCCCACCCCCTTGACGATTCGTCTGTTTCTTTCAGCGATTCTCCAACGACTGCGAAGCCTTGCCTAGCGATGCTGTTTACCGGACAGGGCAGCCAGTTACTGGGTATAAGTCAGGCTCTCTACGATACCTTTCCCGTGTTTCGTGAGGCATTGGATGAAATCGCAGCCATGTTCGCCCCGATGCTTGATAAGCCACTGCTAGACATTCTACTTGCAGATAAAAACAGCAATGAGGCGGCTGGGTTGTTAAAGCGCACCGACTTTGCCCAGCCTTGCCTCTTTGCGCTCGAGGTATCTTTATGGCGTCTGTGGCAGAGCTGGGGAGTTGAGCCAGACTTCCTGCTGGGTCACAGCGCAGGCGAGCTCTCCATTGCTCATGTTGCAGGCATTCTGGATCTAGCGGATGCTTGTCGGTTGGTGGCAGCTCGAGGCCGCTTGATGCAATCTCTGCCGTCTCGTGGAAGCATGATCTCCCTCGAAGTTGGTGCCATGGATGTAACAGCAGCCATCGTCGAGTTATGCCTTGACGGCAAGGTTGACATCGCTTGTGAAAACACGCCACAGCAGACGGTGGCATCGGGTGACCCCGAGGCTATCAATAGTATGGAAGCTTACTTCACGCAGCGAAATCGCAAGACAAACATCCTTGGAGTGTCACATGCCTTCCACTCATTCCAAATGGACGAGATGCTGGAGGAGTTTCGAGCTGTTGCAGAGATGATACAGTTTCACCCTGCCAAGATACCCATCGTCAGCAGCCTCACTGGTGAAGTATCTCGTCAAGGAGAACTTGAAACATCGGATTATTGGGTTCAGCAAGTTCGCAAGACTGTACTCTTTAGCAGCGCCGTGGAAACGCTCACAAGAGAGGGGGCCAACATTTTCCTAGAATTAGGCCCTCAACCAGTTCTATGTGGCATGGCAGCCGCGTGTCTCTCTGATCGTGGAAGCAGTATCAAGTCAATGACATGGCTGCCGTCGCTTGTTCCCGATAAAGACGCCGTGGAAACTCTCCACAAGAGCCTTTCCGAGTTGCATTTGCTTCATGTTCCCGTCAGGTGGTCCGGCTACTTTGAGCCTTTTAGTTGTCGTAAGATTGGCCTCCCGACATATGCCTTCCAACGACAGCAAATCATGCCAGTGAAAGCACCGCTTGTCGATGACATTTCCGTTGCCAATGGCACAAATCACAAACAAGCAATGAGAGTTCGGGATATAGAGCAGTTTCTGTTCCAGGTCGACTGGCATCCAGCCGGTAGTAATACGTTCAAACCAGGCGGCTCATGGGGCATACTGATTCCGCATGGCGAATTAGCTTGGATGCAGGACGTTACAGAAGCATTATCACAAAGTGGAATGACGCTGGTACCGGTCAATGGCATCAGAGACACGAAAGCACTGGCCGGCCTTGTTTGTTTATGGGGTTCCGGTGATGATGTCTTGCAGGCAACACGAGAATTTACTGCTGAGGCGCTCTCCCAACTTCAAGACGCCGTTGATATGGGATTCTCTCTTCCAATATTATGGATAACTCGACATGCAATTGGGATTAACCCTGAGGACCAAGTTGATGGTTTGGGTGCAGCAGCTCTATGGGGTTTGATGCGTACGGCCCGTAGTGAACATCCAGAGCTACTTCTACGTCTCGTAGATATAGATGACCAAGACATCACACCAGAGACGTTATCGTGCGCTCTGATGCTCGAAAATGAGCCAGAGTGTGCTTTACGCCAGGGCAATGTGATTGTGCCACGCATACATCACGTAAAGCCACGGATAACAAGAGAGAAGCCGTTCAATAAGCCATTGCTACGTTCAGATGGTGCAGTGCTGATAACAGGCGGCATGGGAGGTATCGGTCAGCATATAGTGAAGTGGCTGGCCGGCGCTCACGGCATCCGAGACATTGTGTTGCTGTCCCGTCGAGGCATGGCATCTCCTGGTGCTGAGACGATTGTGAGCGAACTATCACGATTAGGTGCCAAGGTAACTGTGGTAGCCGGAGATGTGGGAGACGCAAATTGCGTTGAGAAGACCTTGGCTTTGTTCAATGACGATCGACCTCTACGCGGTGTTTTCCATGCTGCTGGCGTTCTCGACGATGGCCTTCTCTCGGCACTCACACCATTGCGATGTGATGCTGTCTTTGGCCCAAAGGTAGATGGCGCCTGGAATTTACACCGCTTTACCCGAGGCATGGATTTAGATGTCTTCATCATGTTTTCCTCCATCTCTGGTGTCATTGGCACGATAGGGCAGGCCAACTATGCTGCTGCCAACACTTTTCTTGATGCTCTTGCCCACCTCCGGCACGCCGAAAACCTACCGGCCACTTCGATGGCATGGGGCTCTTGGTCCGGGGATGGTATGGCAGCTGAGTTGAAGGACATGTGCCTTGCTTACCACGCGCAACTCGGCCTTGGAGCCCTTTCGCCGGAACAAGGTTTAGATCTGCTTGACATGGCAGTACGTGGCAAGAATCCATTTACTATAGCGGCTAAATATGACTTGGAACGACTGTGGAGGTATTATGAAGATGCAGACGGGATACCACCTTTGTTTCAGTTGTTGTTGGGCCAAGACAGCAAGCAGGATAGGGAAAGGAGAGGCTACGGCTTAGAATTGCGAAATTCTCTGAAAGGTGCCTCACCAGATAAGCAAGAGAATATCATTCTGAGAGTGGTGCGGACAGCGGTAGCCAAGACACTGGGATTTGCCTCACCAGATCATGTCGATGTTGATGTTCCTTTGCAGAAGCTTGGGATCGACTCCTTGGCCACAGTCTTGATACGCAATCAGCTGACTGCCACTCTATCACCATCTGCGAACATCTCATTTAATCATGAGAATCTAAGGGCACTCAGCCAGTCTCTCCTGCCTCATGTACGAGGGAACAGGACAAGTGGCCACGAGGCTATATCCGGCACAGTCATTGATACAACCACAAACTCTCACAGCAACACCCGAGAGGCAAGCGGACCTAAGCAACTTGTCATTGACAACCGATCGGTACATCAAACTCTTCCCTCTGAGCTCGCCGTTTCGGATCCAACCCTTGTCTCTTCGTTAAACTATTTCTCAAGCTTACGCTGGTGCTCTTCTTTAATCAACGATTATTCGCCATCGTCAGGTCTTTTACCTGGCTACGGTCAGGCAATCACGTTCACACCACGCTGCTTTAGCCCTCCCAGCCCCGAACATGACCAATTCTTCAGGAATACTCTTTATGAACAGAACAACAACGGAGCTATCCGTCATGCCCTCTCCCTATTCAGGCCATCGGATACTTATCACTTGGAAGACACGTCACGCCCAATTGTCCGCGTGGCCACCCTTTTCGCCTTGGGTCGCTACACGTCTGGCCACAAAGGAATTGTCCACGGTGGCCTTATTGCCACACTCCTGGACGAAAGTCTGGGCATCGTCAGCCAGGTCAATACGGCGTTTAAAAAATCAGGCTTCCACTCTACCGATATTTACGTCACCGGATCTTTGAACATCAGATTCTTAGCCCCGCTGACGACGCATGAGGATGTTGTATGCTTGACGGCATGGGTCGAGAATATCCAAAGTCGTAACATTGCATTGAAGGCGAACATGACAAACTCAAGTGGGAAGACTTTTGCCGTGGCAGACAGTCTCTGGGTAGCCGTTGATGAGGGACAATCAACTGCGTAAAGCCATCACCAAGAGAATACCACTGATAACGATTAAGGAGTAGGATTTAACACTCGTCCCAGTGACAGTATTTTTACCTCCAAGTGTGATAATTGACTGTCTACGGTAGCGAATTTTATCCCTCAAGTGTTTTATGAATGGTTCCACTAATTCATAAATACTGATCGTGGTTCAATGGTCAATGCAAGGGAAAACGGGCGGTTTTCGCTGACTGCGAAATATGGCACATTGTGTTGAAAGACATGATCGATCTATATATACATATATTGTTACCTATGGATTCCGTGTGTTGAAACTTGGATTTCCATTACAAGTGAAAAAACACACACAGTTCATACAAATGACCATCTTAAGAGGAACAAGTGTTGATGCCTAATACAGTCTCAAGAACACTCCAAATTCAGAACGCGACAAGTCTCCAAGGCCGCAAGATACCAAAGCAAGAGTCCTATGAAGCGTTGAGGGACTTGGAGAGCAGTCGTAGTTGTGCATCAGAAAGACCAATATATTTCATGCAGGCCGATCCACACGGTTCTGGGCGGGGACCAGTGCCGCCACAAGTACCGATTAAGACTGCGTTGAGGTTCATGCAGGCAGGGGGGATGTTGTCGAATTGCACCGCTGGTAGTATTTCATGTTAGCTGGCAATGGTAACCTGCTGATGGTTAGAGTGCCAAACTTACTGCCAGCTGAGACAACTGTGCCAATGACACCGGTACTCTGAGATTGAAGTTGATCATGGCATTGGATGAAGTTGTACATGGGAACATTGCAAGGTCCAACACGGGAGTCAAATAGTCTCAAATTCATGCCAATGCCTCGAGATTCAACACAACCAGGGCCTGGATGATCGGAGCAATATGAAATGACGGAACCCCCGATTGCTCCAGCGCCGAGGCCAATGGTGGCAATAATGTCGGCAATCAAGGCGATGGGCATTCTGACGATGTGAAAAGTGTGACAGCGTGTGACAGCTAGAGATAATGCTTGATGAATGGTGGACGTCAATTGATGAGGTGGAAGTCAAGAGAGATCTTATATTTCATTTATACGTCCACCTTCCATGGAGTGATTAGTTCTAGTGAGCACATGCCATTGAATGGGAATTTAAATATGGTGCTATGCAGCTCGCCGTCCCCGGCTGCATATTTGAATCCTTCGGTCTGGTTTGCTACTATTTTGCATGTAAAATGAGGCTGTCATCCGACGCCACCATCCTACCAGGTGGTTGAGCTTGACCTAATGTGTAGGTTTTTATCATGGAGATTCCTGTGAGCTGGCAGAAAGCTTAGGCAGACATGGTATGACTAACTAATTTATGTATGTATTCATGCATGTTTCCAGAGACCCTAGGAATTTGGCACCCTTGTTCGACGTGATTTCCCATATTTATTGGCTACGAAGCTGCCTTCGCGGGAGTCGGAAAGGAAAAGAGGAAGCAAAGGCTAACACTCACGTATGCTTTAGACTGATTAAAGGATATCTATAAATATGACTATCATAATATATTTTTGTAATCTTGAAAGACAGACATTGCGTGTATCCTTCAGAAAGACCTGAGAGATCAAAACAATGAGACACATTATGGATCCAATTCTAGACTTTCACCCACTTGTCTGGTTCGTTTTTGGAACCATCCTTTTTTATTTGGCTATTCAGCAGCCAAACTCTCTGTCAAGATACCTTCTAAGTGCTTTACACGTTGTCATCACCACGATACCTGTCTCTCCATGGTACAATATGAGCCGCTTTAGCCAAGGCCAGATCCTGGCCCCCTTCATTGTCTACGGCACTATTCATACAGCATCTGTTCTATTTATTGACAGAGAAGTTGTGTACTCGGGTTTCAGTTCTGTCTCCATGGCTCGACGGCTGAGGGACATCTTTCGGCTGTGGAGCAATATCCGCAGACTGAGACTCACAGACAACGGCACGGATAGAAGCATCAAAAGCAAACGGATGACTTTCGCTATGCGACGGATTTACCACGCTGTAGGGGTATGGGCCTTGTATCACCTATGTACCACACTGACCATTCATGCTCTGCAGGGGCTAAATGTAAGCGCTTGGGACTTTACACCTCTCAACCAAAGCATACTGCCGCGGATGAATGCTCGGGATTTATGCGTTCGTGGAGTGATATCTGTGAATTGGGTATGGAGCTCTTATGCAGTCCTTTCGGGAGTACATGACCTCTTAGCAATCTTGTTCGTGTCACTTTTGGATTGTGACCAACCCGAGGACTGGCCACCGTTGTTTGGTAACATTATGCAAGCCTACTCACTTCGACGCTTTTGGGGCAATTTTTGGCATCGGCTGCATATTAAGCTTTATGAGTCCTTCGCGTCACCTCTCTTCCGGCTCACGAGCACATCACAACGAGGGCGATGGGGCTTTGTTCGCAAATCTTCAAGGGCATTTTTGATCTTTTTCTTATCGGCAATTTGCCACGCGTTGTCTAACGGGGCCGCGTTCAAGAAAAGTCACATGGTCCCAGAGATGCATTTTTTTCTAATCAACTATATTCTTTGCCTGATGGAGACTGTGGGAGAAGGGGCAGTGGGGTATAAGATGAAACTTGATCGGAGGTTAAGGCGAGCAATAGGTTACACTTGGGTGCTGCTTGTCTTCATTTGCTTGGTCCCCGGATGGAGATACCCTTTACTTTTAGATGCTGCGTATAGCTCGCCAAGATAAGCAGTTTCATGTGTTATTCAACTTCTTACCTTCTTAATAGACGGCGAAACTATACGATTGAAAGCAACTTTCCCATTCCCATTCACTGAGCGGTTATTCGCCCATCATCACCGGTCAAGTGTCTATCTGGTGAGGCATACAAGGTTGAGGTCATGTTCATTAGCGAAGACTATGGAGCTTGCCTACGGCTTCACGTATCTCACAGAACAAGTATGACGATTGGAGCTTGGTACGGAGTAGAGGATGATTGAATAAAACATTGATCGGTAATGTGTATGTACATGGCGCATAAGTACTCCGGTCTTTTATTGGCCTCAAGCCGGCCTGTGCGAGCTACTTGCTATTTGCTGTCGGCACAATACAGGTACTTTTGTTTCCATGCCGATAACGTGCCATAGTTAACATTCGATTTTTCGGCATACTGCATTTACGTTACCAAATAGTCGTTGTAAAGAGCAAAACAAAAGAAAGAAATGACGCTTGTTCACGAAAATATGACAAAGGGACAAGCCACTCAATACCACACAGACCATTTGGTGGCCCAGCGACAATAACCCATCAGATGGTCGCATATGTGAGCCAACAGCCAAGTGCCACCAACACAGACAGGAGCAGAATAATATCTCAGTTTCAGACTTGATCTTAGTGCGCCAATAATTTTTCGAGTTGCCGGAATTGCAATTTGTCTCTAGACTCTACACGACTTTGGTTCAATCCCCCGTTTCCTGCGAGGTTGTAGTGCTATATCTTTTTCACAACGCTTTGCTTTCATCATCTAAGTGACTTAGTGATGCAGAATACCATGATTGGAAACCACGAAGGCGCCATGACCACTCAAGATGCGTTGGATTCCGAACCTAATCTGCCACCCAACTACTACCATGACCAAAGCGTCCTGAGACCGCCAACATATAGAGCAACAGCACCTTTATGCTATCGCCAATTCCCCTCGATCATGGCAATAAAGGCTGGATGGTCAAGATCGTTTAGTGTATGCGACGCAAGCTCAGAGGAGGTCCTCTACTTGGCGAAGTTCCACCCCTATGGTTGGTCATGTCCAAAACCGCTGGGCGCAAGGGGGGGGTTTGTTTTGCACAACGGAACCCGTCGTGAAGATGCCATTCTCGCTGCCGCGGGCGACATTACGCTTTTCGAGCAAAGGCTCAATGCCTTTAGCAATAAGAGTCACATTCTGCTCCCGCCATTGGCTAAGGAAGATAAGAGACAGGCGTCGCGGGAGGTGACGGAGACGGAGACGATGACCGCAAGGTCAGCGGCAAACAATGGGGTCATATTTCACTTCTTCGTTGAAGCTGGGAGGGCGATGAAGAGAGAAAAATTTGAATGGAGGAGATGCGATGAAGAAGGAGTCGCGTGGAAGCTGGTGAGATGCCCCAGTTCCTCTCGAAGAGTCCCTCCCGAAGGAGAGATCGTCGCCAAACTATCATGGGTGCCTGTTTCGTTGGCAACGGTGCTTGATCCAATGAGCCCCAAATCAATTTTTACGCTCCAGTTTGTAAATAGTCTCGAATCGGGCGCTTTGGGAGAACGATGCGCTCTTACTGTCGTCATGAGTGCGTTGAGATTGTGGCAGCTGCGTACAAAGGGAAAACACAAGAGGTCGTACGTTAGAATTGGTGAGAGAATGGGAGAGAAAGAAATTCAGATGGAGTAAGTAGATGATTCATGTTCTGTATTCAATTATAGACAATTGCTTTTTTGTGAATCTGGATTGACAAATGTTCATAGCATACAAATCACAGTGGATATTGATGTTCAAATAGATTAAGGTACGATACACTCTACAGGATCTAATCAAAGAGACAATTACGCTTATATTGTCCGGGTTGTACGGGCAACTCAACCGACTAAACTGTACGAACGAAATATTTACTTTTTCTTCATCCGAGCAGCCTAACTCATCGCTAGACAATTATCGAGGCACCCGTCTATATGTCCAGCATTGAGATGCGTGCCCGCTTAGCGTACAACGAGATTACTTCAGAATACAAAAATCGATGAATAGCCAATTTTATGGTAAAGAATATTTACAGTTGTATTTCAAGCCCGCTTCAGTTAGCGGATTCTATACCTCCATTGTGGGGAGATGACTACATGTACTGTTGGAAAGAACAGACATAGATATCGTTTACAGACAAACCTTATAGACTATACGCAACAACCGTTAGTCTAGTTCTTACAACAACAACAACACTGTTGGTTTGCTCGTTTTAATACCATCTTCAATGACGGACGACATGTATATTCTTCGATATGAAGCTGGGGGTAATCGCATCTTTTCTATGAGCTTCCTACCTCTTGGCTGAGGGACGGCATATTGAACTACGAGATAATGGCTCGCCTTCAGCCTATGGTCCGTTCCTACCGTAATAATGGAGGATTCATCACATCATCTTCCTCTTCAAGTGCCTGCAACGAAGTATAAAGACAAGTTGTTTAGTTGTGTGAATTGCTACAGCAAAGACCTAGAGAACAACTAAACTAACTAGTGAGGAAAGAGTTGGTGTCTCATCATCAAACGGAGCCATCAGTGACGTGGCTGCCAGTGAATGCATCTCAAGTGAATCTGGCAGACAGTATAAGTCACTGATGCCAAGGCGGGAGCCTGCATAGTCAACGGATATGAGTCATCCAAAGTGAATGCCAACAAGACAAGGACATCTGTGATGAAATGCCAAGGTGTAATTTGCAGAAGCGCTTTTGAGTTACGCACTCTGCGGACGTATAACGGAAGTATAATTTCGGTTGTCCAAGTACGAGTAATGTTGTATCTATAGGCACTACTAATCTACCTATCAATCGGTGTCTATAAGTACACCCTACGTTTTACTACTGATGTCATATTGTCACGCATCGCCCTAGATTTCGACAGGACATGTCCTTTCCTTATTTCACGTGAACGTATCTCATTCGTTCAGACCGCGCCAATCATAGCCAATGGTGCCTGCGGCCAACCCCTCACGTCGTCGTTACTCAGACTCAGAATCTGACCTGGTATTTTGTCGCAGTCTCTCTTCATCGAACATTTCACTGTTCTCAAACCAATATCCTTGAACATGGCATACTGCGGGTCGTGCGACAGAGACTTTGTTTCCAGGGAATCTTTGATCCAGCATTGGGAAGATTCATCCCGCCACAGGTATTATTGTCTGCGATGCGAAAAGCCGTTCAACTCATTTTCAGCCCTAAACCAACACGTCCGCGATTCTCCAAAGCATAATTTCTGCCCCGAATGCCCTACATCTCTTGACTTCTCCAGCAGTGATGAGTTGAATAGCCATCGAGAGACCGTTCATCACTATTGCACTTATTGTGACCGCCCTTTTTATACTGCGGAACGGCTTCAGGACCACGATGTTTCGGAGCATAATATGTGTAGAATCTGTCGGAGCTACTATCAATCTCCTTCAAATCTCAAGGCTGTAAGTCTCTTTGGAGCTCCCCAGTGTATTCTTCGTCTAACCGCATATAGCACACTATTACTCACCAACCAAAGGATAAAGAATGTTTTGGGTGTGACAGGATGTTTTCATCATGGTCGGCTATGCTGTTACACATGGAATACGGCGGCTGTTCGTCCGAGGTGGATGAGGACGAATTGATTGGCTTTGCTCTTGAGTGCTACCAATCTAAGCGTTACAAGTGTCATGACGGAGAGAATAACTTTGCATGTCCAACATGCAGGTCACCATTCTTGCAAATGAGTGGCCTTTTACAGCATGCTGAGAGTGATAGCTGCCAGGAAAGTCTCGCAGAAGGACGGCCTTTGTCAAAATTTCTACGTTTCCTACGGACACAAATGGCTTAAGCGTCTAATTCGTGTTGTGTGTTACGGTAGTAGGCTCAAATGCTTGGTTCGGAAATTCCCTGCAAAGGCGTAATAGGCAATATGCTATCAATTTCTTCTTCTTTCACATTCTATCCTCCGCGACTAATAGATGTAGACCTAATAAAGTGAGTGGTGCTAGTTTATGCAGTCTCAAACTGCTCCTTGCCAAATGTGCCCACCAATTCCATTGTCAACTCGTTCTTAGCTACGATATCGGCTTTACGAGCCACCAATTCTTCAACATCCCAGTTGGCTGAGATGACTCTCCCGCTAAGGAATGCCGAGCGTTCTGCATCAGCCGCGATCCAAGTACAGAGTCCTCCCGTCAGCATAGGTGTATCCTTATTAAACTTCTCGAAAAAGGAATTGGTCATGTCCGTGGGTACGAGACCAGGATGGATGCTTACAACAGCGAGTGTACCTCCGTATGCAGCATTGAGCATGGTACACCACTGTTGGCTGGCGAGTTTACTGACGCTGTAAGCGCCAGCCACGGTATACACAAGCCATGCTCCCGCAGTCGAGATGTTGATAATCGTTGCAGGAGTAGTTGGAGATGGAAGGGTAGAGATGAAGTATTTCGTGAAGACGAAGAACTCCTTGGTGTTGATTTCCTGGGATCAGACTAGTAATTAACGTGCATCATTCTCGTATGTAAATCAGGGCGCGGGAAGCAATGGGCAACTCACAAAGTTCTTCCACCATTTGTCAACCTCGGCTTCATAAACCGTCGGGCCTCCATCATTTGCAGCTGCACTGACCCCGGCGTTAGTGACCAGTGTATTTGCATGGCGACCGAATCGTGCTTGAATCTTGTCGAAGAGCTGCCCCACTGCGGCATGATTCGTGATATCCAACGCAACAAGTAAAGTCTCGATCTTGGGGTTGATGGCGAGAACTTCGCGCTCCACTTCCTTCAGCTTAGCCTCATCGCGGGCAACGAGAACTAGGCCGCGAACCCCGGCTTTAGCAAAGGATGGCACGAGCCCTGGAAATAGCAACGAATAAGCTTGACGGGGTGCCGCGTTATGGGACTAGATTCGGAAGATTGCAGACCCTAGCTCCAATACCACGGCTTGCGCCAGTTATAACGACAACCCTCCCCGCAAGTGAGTTGGCCGGATTGGTTGGATCGATGGGGGGGTAGACATTCTGGAATGTCTTCTTGGTGTACTGCAGAGAGGAGACAAAATAACCCGGGGGTAGGTCCGCCATGATTGTGATGCAAGGTGGTATTTAGTATTAGTACAATAGATAATATACAGGCATACTGTTCCTATGCAACTTGAAGACGCCCATTGTTCACTCTCCTTTCTATACACATCACCTGCGGAATTGCGGAGAGTTGTGGTGGCGGTTTGTAATGGTGGGCAACTTTTCGCGCGGGATTTCTCTAGAAAAGCTTCCACTGAACGTGGTGTCCACCTATATCTAATTCCTAAGCATCTCATAAGACTTACGGAATTATAACGAGTTTCATTTATATCTAAAAGGCGTATTTTATTTCACGCGATCGGTGGACATTATAACAGCGTATTCTAACATGTTACATTGCGGCCGCTCCCTAGTCCTTCGGCCGCTCCCTGGTCTTTCAGCCTAGCTGTATTCGCCAAACAATGTCTATCGATGCAGACTCGATTCTGCATCTACATATAGCAATACACGTCCTTCCTTTACAAGAGTACGAGTAGATACATTTGTCGTGGATTCGGAAAGTAGAAAACTGAGTTGACACAGCTATACTCTAGTAATAGCGATAGTCGAATTAGGCAACGCTTCAGGACTGGTGTCAGCCGGGTGTCAGATGCTCTCTGACAGCAAGTCGTTAGCAAATAGACACCCCTCGGCTTTAAAATTCACAGGCCATAGAGAGAAAACAATGACGAGACTGAGTTCAACCTGTAGAATTCCAAGAAACATGCTCAATTGCAAACAAACACTGGGACGTGGGGCCTCTCGGTCAATTCCTTAGCAGCAGTAACCGGATATACGATTGACTCCGGATGTACGCTTACAAATCCGGATTCAAACCTCCCCAAGCCCCCAATAGTTTGCCAAATCGTTGCTATTGATGCCTCGCTTGCCTCGGTAACTAGCGTCTAAGATAATATCTCACAAGACGTAACAAGTTCTTGATGATCCTCCAGGTTAAATTCTAGTTAGACTGTTCTCTTCTCCACCTACTCGGCTGCACTCCGTGTGGCCGAGTGACTGACCACGAACATCGCGATGGTATCATACCAATTATTAATACGGAAAATGAACCTGCGACAAGCTTAGCTGCGTATAATCTCCACAAAATTGAGGGAAACTTGCCCTGGGAAGTGAATACGCTTGCGTATTGCGTCTTTCAGGCCTTTTACATCTATAAAAGGTATTACATAGATCCTCGATCCTGAACTTCCATTAGCTTATTGCCTGAACTATCTATCACTTAGGTTGCTATCTAAACATCTGTTTATCAATCTCTACTATGGCCGCTTCCAGACCACGACTTGTTTTTGGCACAGCCAACTTCAACACAGGCCTCGCGTTCCCGACTGTTGAGCAGGCTGCTGAGGTACTCGATGCTGTTGAGAAAGTAGGAATCAAACAGCTTGACACAGCACAACTCTACGGCATCAGCGAGGAAATCTTAGGAAAACTCAAGGCATCATCGAGATTCACCATTGATACGAAGCACATTGGAGGATGGCTTTCTGGCCAATCAACACGAGCAAGAGTTGTCGAAAGGGGGCTGGAAAGCTTGCAAAAACTGGGCGTTGACAAGGTACTCCCACTGTCTATTCTCAATGTCATTTAATGGCTTTATCCTACGGAATAAATCGCTAAGACGGACGTACAGGTACACGTTTTTTATCTTCACGCACCCGATCCAGAGGAATCTCTTGAAGAAACTCTGGCGGGCATCAACGACCTGTACCTTCAAGGAAAATTCGAAAAATTTGGACTGTCCAACTATAATGTAGATGAACTAAAGGCCGTTCTCAAGATTGTAAAGGAGAAAGGCTACGTCGCCCCTACTGTCTATCAAGGAAACTACAATCCCGTCGCCCGCAGGTCGGAAACCGAACTGTTCCCTATCTTCCGAGAAAATGGCATCGCATTCTACGCCTACAGCGCCATTGCAGGAGGATTCCTGACAAAGTCATCCGAGCAGTTGCAGCAGGGATCCGGTGGTGAGGGCAGATGGAGCAAAGAAACGAGCATTGGACAGATGTACCACAGTTTGTACAACAGGCCAAAGTTCCTGGAGGCATTGGACATCTGGAACGAAGCGTCTAATGTGTCTGGCATTCCCAAGGCCGAGCTGGCTTACCGATGGGTGGCCTATCACTCAATACTTAAGGAGCAGTTTAGCGATGGAATTGTTCTCGGTGCGAGCAAGATCACGCAGCTGGAGCAAACTGTTGCAGGCCTGAACAATGGCCCGTTGCCGGAATCGGTTGTGAAGACGATTGAGGAGGTCTGGCAGCTTGTGAAGGATGAGTCGCCGATGGATAACTATGACACTCGCCGAAAATAAGCATAAGGCGGATTTAGAATAAGGTATAAGAAATACATTGAGCATTCCGTCTTTCGTCGCATTAGATGTTACCTTGATTTGTGGTGCGCCAAAAAGAGTTGGGTTGTAGATCGTATTAAAGAATAAAATTTCCGATACAACATCCACCAATGCGGCCGGCTCCTTTCGACAATGGACTTTTCTAGGCAAGTTCATTCGTCATCAGCCCCTGAAACGTCAGAAACAACGTAATTGCATATTCTCTGTTGAGAGGCTTGAATAGCGCTTACGTACAGTAGAGGCTCAGACTGGACGAGATGGTCTCCGCTATCCTCAACGATTTATACATTAATACTCGGCTGGGTAAAGTTCTCTCGGCTCATCTTAAGCTTACAGGCGGCCCCGCAGTTTCGACGTTCCGTGTATCCAAAAGGAGGAGAAGGAATCGGGGGCATCGGCGGGCGGCACTAACGAGACACCGCGTTTCCATCTTCAAAGTCTAACGCGGAACTTGGGCATGAACCTTGCCTATCAACCATCGACAACTCGCCAACATGAGTACCGCATCTACGGAAAACGCGGCATCCAATGACGAAGCTGGGGCTGCAAGTCCGACTGGGCTAAACCGCACTTGTGAGGTATGCCTTTACATTGATATCTATGTACCCTCTTCTCGGTACGTCACCGCAAGACGAGATGCTCACGTTGTATGATGATTCAAGGGCTGTCGGCAACGGAAGATAAAATGCATCAATGGATCGCGCCGCTCAGGTGCACAAAAGTGTGCTCGTTGTTCCAAATTGGACGTGGATTGCGTGTTTCGCCCTCCCGCCATTAGACGAAGGCGCAACAAGAACGACACAAGGATCAAAGCTCTCGAGCAGAAGCTACAAGAACTCCAAGATGCAATTTCTGAGACTCCGGCTCAACTCGATACGGAAATTCCATATCCAGATCCACTGGACTCTCAGTTCATGAATACATCTCTATTCTCCGACCCTCAGCAGCAATCGACTTCTCTAGGAGATTCATTACCGCCTTTGGGATTTGTATCAACAGGCGATCCTTATTTAACGTCAGACGATCCTGTTTCAGTCGGCTTGGTCAGCTCCGAATTCGCCCACGAAATGTTTTCGACTTTTTGCGTGAACATGGCATCTATTTACCCTCTGGTACTTTTTCCCTCACATTGGACTTGGCAGCATACCAGGAGCATCAAGCCTGCTCTTTTCAGGGCGGTTCTATCAGTTGCCTCAAGCAGTCATGAACCAGAATGTTGCAAGATGTTGTTTCGCGATACTGCCAAATATGTGGCTGAAGAAGTTGCCGTGCACGGTAACAGGTCTCTTGATTTGGTTCAAGCATACCTCGTTTTATCAGCATGGTATTTTCCCATGGAGAATTTTCAAAAGCTAATGTTCAGTCAATACGCAAATATGGCTGCCACATTGGTGTTGGACTTGAAGTCTTCAAATGACGAGCAGTACAAGATTCCATCGGCAAATGAGTCCTTTCTCCACTCAGAACAGTTGATCGAAACATGTAGAACATTTATAGCATGTTACTTTCTTTCTTCGAGGTACGTTCTAAGTTGTATCACGATGTAACAACCCCAATACTGACACGTACTCAAGTATGGCATTTTCGTGGCGACGTCCTTCGGTCCTCCGCCATGAACCTTGGCTCGACGATTGCATCAGTGTACTCGAGACAGCTCCAAACGTTCATCCAAACGACCGACGGCTCATAGAATGGACAAAGCTTCAGATAATTGCAGAAGAAAGCATGTCAGCGACCGGACTGTACAGCGGAGCCCATGTCAACTTCTCGGACGATAGCATCTGCCGGGTTCTGAAATATGGCGTGGATCGTGTGACGGCATGGAAGCGACAAGTTTCCACAGACATTATACACAGTAATGCATCCCAATTGGATTACCAAATTGCTTGATCATGGCAGCTAATGACAATTAGAGCCGATGATAATCCACTACCACATGATTTTGATAAGCCTCCATGAGCCGGCATTCTACGATGGGCATGACATGGAAGATTTCCGGCCGCCATACAAATTACGTCCTCTTCCTCTGGCCAAGAATCTGGACAACTATTATTCTTTAAACGTCGCCAACTCACTTGCACAATGCGTCGCGTCAGCGCAAAAGGTGATTCACACGTTTCTGGACATCCCAATCGAAATTCTCCAAATAATGCCAGTAATTGTCTTCACCAGAATCACATATGCGGCTGTGATTCTAATGAAGTTTGATGTTTCGGCTCGAGTGCCACAGAGTGTTGCATGTCTACTAGACGATATCGAGTTTAACCCAAAGGTGCTCTTGTTACAGTTGCTCAACAAACTGACGTTGGCCGAAGGAAGCAAGCGTCTTGTTGTGCCATCTGTCTTTCGTGGGGCGTTATCGAGGATGACGAGGTGGTACATTGATCAGTTTGAGAGCTTGCAGGCCCCAGATCAAGGCGATATTTTTGAACCTATGATGCATGTGGGAATCGATGCTCAGCGCAGTCCCGATACTGGTCTCAGTCACACTGGAAGTGTTACATCAGATACCAGCATTTTGCCGTTGCATCACTTCCATAAAGATTATTTATAGTCTCATATACCATTAAACACGTTTTGCGGTAATCATAGGATACACGTATTATAATCTTCAACTGAAAAGCCGCGTCTCCCTACGTTTAAATATGAATCTCTTAACGTTGTAGAAGCAATGTGATACCGAAGAGATTTAAAAAAAAAAAAAAAAGCGTAATAGATAGGTAGGCAAGGCAGTTAGACATTTCAGCTACTGCCGTACATGCGGACGAGACCAGCGATATGAATATGTGCGTTTGTTTCTCTCTCTATTCAGATGGAACGTTTATGAGGCAGCCTCAAAGAGAAAACTCTGACATTAGATCTTCATTCAATCTGTCGGCTCTTCAAATGTTAGATTCAATGATTCTAATACTGGTAGTAGTTATGCATCAAATTACGGCTGTGGCCTCTTAAGTGGCGATTTTATAAGCGCGGCTTTTAATAAAGACCGCCCTCCGTTCAAGCGCGGAAGTGACCCGGACTCCCCATCCCGATAACACGGAAACTTCTTAGAATGTCAGATCTGAATTAACTACCGAGCGCCGATTTCAATTATCAAATGTTGCATTACAATGCCGAATCATCTACGTTGGAGGCCAAGCCACTCTCAGCAAGACGTGTTGCCACGCGTGGCATTGTCGCGTATTGCGTGGCCGTCTTGTCTTTTAATAGCATCTAATGGTATATTAACAATTGCGAAGGCGTTGCATCTGCATATAAAGCGTCCTTCATCCATCACTATAACGATTGAAGCACGCATACTAACAAACGATTCTCTTCATACATCATCCAACACCAGTTCCAGCAGCCAATATGAAGTTCAGAGAAACTTTTTTGTTGGTCTTTTCCAGTGCAACTCACTTGGTGACTGCCAATCCCACGCCTTGCGACAATGTCACAGATGCGTCGACTTTATTACAGAGTGTCGTTGATTCAATTGGAGGATCAAAAGCCTTGAAAGAGGTTCAGAGATTGGTCTTCAAAGCCGAAGGGTAAGAATCTTACGTGACGGCATATCAGTTTTTACGCACACATGACAAATATTAACAAATACAGCATTTACCGATCTCAAACTCTCACGCAAAACTACAACCTCTATCACTCGGACCAGTCGGTTGCCGAAACAGGCTCGGAAACCTTGTCCTTTGACTTGTCCTCGGGATTGCGAGCTCGCATCGACCGATATTACCGATACAATGACTATTGGATCTGGTCCCAGCCTGGTCTAGAGCCCTCCATGAATTATACCATTGTCATGAAAGATGGTTCAGATGGCTTTGCCTGCTTCACAAAAGCACAAAACAACTTTTTCGTCGACGACCCAACCCAGACACTGGGATATGTCGATTCGTACCTAGCGGATTACTTGATCCACCAGGCACAGCAATTTGCCCTGCCTTGGTTGCTGCAGCAGATGAATTCGGCTTCATCTCGCCTCCATACATATGACATGGTGGAACCTCTGACGAACAATCGATTCAAAGTTTTGGAACTTGATGGTTCGGACTTTAGTCTAATTGTAAATGCCACGAGTCATAGGCCTTATAAGATCCGCTTCATGGAGAATCACGCGACGTTTGGAAAAGCTACCAATGACCTCTTGCTCTCGAATTACTCCGCCGTATCTTTTGACGACAAGTCCGGCCGCCGGCTTCAGTTGCCTTATCGTCTGCAAACAATTTACAACTCCACGGATGTTCTGGAAGATGTCAAGCTAGACAGCATCTCCATTAATCCACCGATGAAGTCTGGCTTTTTCGATCCCGTTTTGTCGCCCAAGGACACATCCACTCCTCAGGCACCGAAGCAAAGCACACTGTACCCTCGTTCTGAAGTCCACGAATTCTTTGAATCTGGTCTCTGGGGCGGCCCATTCGAATCGTTCTTCAACACTTCGGATGTTGTTGTTACGCATCCAATCCCCGACATCCCCCAGATTATGGCCGTCTATGTCGGCTACGCAGACTATGTGCAGCTTGTTCTCAACTTCACCGACGGTGTTCTCATTACCGATGCAGCGCCTCATCGATCTCGAATTCTTATCCAATGGGTCAAAGAAACACTCCATAAATCGGTTACACACATTGTCCCCAGTCATCACCATCGCGACCACGCCGGAGGTGTGCCCGATTATGTCGAGGCTGGCGCAGTAGTCGTCGTCCCTGAAGTGGCCAAGAAGTATTATTCCAACATCAACAACGGCAAGGTTAAATTCGCTACATACAATGAGAAGAATCCCTTTGTGCTCAAAGACGAACACATCCAATTTCGCTCGTTGTGGAGGGACGAGAATCCCCATGCTCGCGACTGGTCGTACGGTGTCGCAACTTCAGCCTGCCCAGCGAAGAATGAAGGAGTAGTCGCGTTTGTAGCAGACGTGTGGAGCCCTGATCCCGATGATGGGGGCATGGGAGATGCTGTGCGATTCGATATCGGGTATGCAAGACAGTGGCTGGATGCAGCTGTGGACGATGGGTTGCCAAGGAGCACCGTGGTAGTTGGGGCACACGGAGGAAACACCACGATAGACAAGCTGGAGAGTTTGATTAGCATTACTGGGTATGAGTATCCCAACTTGGAGACGAATGATTGGAAGGCTGGCGGTGCGCTTTGCAAACATCACTAGGTCTCGATGCTTGTTGAAGGGACAGGAACAGGTGAGGATTGTTTCATTCGCCAAGAGATGAGCAGTGCGTTTGTCTTGCCAATGAAGACCGGCCACTCCCTTTGTTTTTAATCATAATTACTATAAATCATCTCTTTTCTACTTTAGATTAGACCTTTTCTATCTTAGTTTACATATCATGTTTCATTACATTGACGTGGCACTACATCTTGTAGCTGATTCAACCTTGACGGCATTACAGAGTATAGCAGGTTATCATTACAACTGTGAATACGAATGCATATGGGCATGAATATGAAGTGACGAGTATGCATAAATCAATCAGCTGTACAAGACGAATTTATACAAACGTGCAAATATTCATTTCGCCTCTCTACCCTGCTAGACCTCCCTATTCACATCAAGTGACTCAAATGTCAGCTCTTCGATTGGCTTATGAGCTAGGTCACCAGAGGTCGCCGCCCGAATTCACGGTACACAAAGCCCGCTCGCCCTTGCATAAAGGATTCGACAGGGATGTCATGACAAATTACGAGTATCTCACAAATCGGTGACAGTCCAATGCGTCGAGAGGGCTTGATTTGGGCGTCACACTGAGACACCAATCAACGAGCCTCATCTGTGTCACATGGCAATATCCGAGCCTCAAGACGGGTAACACGATGTTTGCAAGATCCTAAAGTCCGATCTTTGCTGAGTAGAAAGCGGTTATTCCAAGAATCGCATCAGTCAACATCTTGAACGAATACGTAAGAGAGTTCGGATTTGAGATGATGAACAAACCATGTGAATGAGCACAATCAAATTACCATCTCGCACTAACCAGCCGTCAACCAGCCACCCTCATCAAAATCACGGTGCGGCTGATCGCCACCCCAAGACATTAGACTATGTCAAAGCGTCAAGGGAGAGCGGCTTCATAGATGCGGAGATCGGCCGTATCGCGACATAAAGATCCCTGCAGCCCGGGAGAGATGCGTGGAGCTCAGATCCAGAGAAGAGATTCGCCCACCGCGATTATTATACGTATGTCTCGGCCACAGCATTGTAGTATTGAGTTTATTGAAGCAGATAACCAATACTGCCCGGCTTCACGTGTCAGCCTCATGCAATCTCGCCCGATCGTGTTAGCCGCAATGCCAAGGCCAGACTTCCTTGTTCTTCCTTGTCACCTACCCTACTTCGTGGCCATGTTTTCTTTTTAATTTTTGCTTTCCCGGAACGCAGCTAATCCGTAAGACATGTCTTGGTTAATTGGACGCCCAACGAGACGGATTCCAGGTACTCGTCTCCCCGGCCTCCTTGCGTTGTTGATCTTAAAGGATAATACTACTACTTGATCTTGGTGTAATTTTGATCTGGATGACATGGGATGAAAAGTCAAACGCAATCTGCACGTTACTTGTAGGCAGCCCTTCTCATTGTCCCGCGTTGTGGAGGAGCTGTCATAAGAGACAGCCTCCGCACGCCCATGAACGCCAAGATGATGGCTCAAAATGTCTCTCATTACTCTAGGAAGAGTAACTAGTTGTGACACAGCATTTATTAGTCTGGTGATCTGCAAACCCAGAACAGAAGCCTTCTTCCAGCTTTGGGCCAGAGCACACACCCTATGTAAGGGAGGGAGAGTAGTAATACTTGGACAATCGTTGAGATGGATGTAATGACTGAGACCTATATCCCCTTGAGCCCCTTTCTGGATTTGTTAAATTGACTGCGCCTTGGATGATCATTTTTAACACTCTCATTGTTTAGTATTCACTCGTTACTGTAACTCTCCAAGAGAGGCTACCACGATGGTATCTGTTTACACTCTTCCGCCGAGTCCCGCTAATTGGGACAAGGTTGGCGTATTCTACATCTCTTGGTGTGCATCATGGACGACGTTCCTCATCACAGGCATGGTCTTCTGCTGGTATAACAGAAACCTTCCTGTGTTAAAGATTCGCGGCCTGCTACTGTCTTTCTCCGCCATTGCATTTCTTCACATATACTGGATCCTCGCACAGATCACATATCCCATCGGAGCAACCATGCCACTAGTCCTCGCATACGACATTCAATACTTCTTCATGAGTCTCTGGTTCCCTCTGGGAGTCGCACTCTTCCACGCGTCCAATCTCCGCTTCCTTCGCGTGGCAAGACTGCAGAAACAGTTTACTCATCCTTCCCGTCGGGTCGAGCCCGGCTGCAATGGCGCGAGAACTTCGTGGCTTTGTCGCCTAAGAAACATGGATCATACAAAGCGAGCCTTGCTTTTCATTGGCCTCGGAATGTTTGTCCAGGTGTGTTTGTCTAAGACTCCGCGTTGGCAAAGCGAGAGTTTTTCTTCTTCCCTTTGCTCACGTGCTAAAACGTTGCACTCAGGTCCTCCTCACCGTCGGTATGTGGGTAGCATGTCGAAAATACCATCCGACGTTTGGCATTCCTGGTACCGAACTTCGTGGCGCGACGATCCCCGAGCAGCTGGTGGACTTGGGTCGAGGGTGGGAATGGTGGCCGTCCGTCTTATGGCAGGTTGTCTGGACTTGGATCGTATGTCATGATTTATAACGACAAGGTTGCCGTGGCTAACTTCTTCTTAGATTGCGCCTTTTCTGATTTGGCGAGCATGGGGGATCCGCGATACCATGGGATGGCGCACACAAACGATCGGCTGCTGTATCTCCAAGTGAGTCGGCCGTTTTTCTCGAGATCTTGATGAAAGAGCTAACGATTCATCTAGCCTTCACGCGACGCCAATGTTCCTGATTTCGTCCTATGTTCCTGCCTTTGAAAAGGTTAATCGATACTTCACGCCCAGTCAATGGTGAGTACTTGCAAACGGATTGATTGAACAAAACACACGTACTGAAAACCCCATTATCAACACAGGATTCACCTCTCCATCCTCATGTTTGAAGTATTCACTGTCTTCGTTCCCGTCTTCCAGGTGTTCAAGTTTTGGCTTCGGCAAAGGAAAGCAGCGCGTTCAAATGCCAAATGGGGTTCTTCACCTGACGATACGCCGCCCAGCCCATCTTCTTCAGCAGACTGGATTTTCTCGTCCAATACCTCAAGCCCAAAGGGGAAAGCTATTGAAATGTTTCAGGAAGATCTCGGCGACCGCTTTTTAACCATGAGCGCCCTTGAACTGGTCCTCACCGAGGATCCACGTCCGCTGCAGGAATTCTCTGCACTAAGAGACTTTTCGGGAGAAAACATTGCCTTCTTGACCAGTGTCGCGAAATGGAAGTCATCATGGAGTGAGAAGTTGAGCAATCAACAGACACGTGAATTTTATAATGGCGCTCTGGAGATTTACGTCGACTATATCAGCCCCAGAGACGCCGAGTTTCCTCTAAATCTGGCCTCTGGCGAGCTCAAACGCGTCGAGAATATTTTTGAAAAAGCCGCTCGTATCGTTTGTGGAGAACATACTGTCAACCCAGCAACTCCATTCGATATTGAAGTGGCCCCTTTCCGGAGCTGCGATGCTGATGGTCCGTTCGAACTAACCACCAGGACCACTCCCAGGATGAAATATGACGGCGAGATTCCCGATGCTTTTGAAGTGACGGTGTTCGACAGCATACAGAGTCATATCAAATATCTGGTTTTGACGAATACATGGCCCAAGTTTGTTGAAGAGATGCAGGCTAGGAAACGACGATCGAGCGAAACGGCGCGGACGGTGAGAAGCGAGGGCACATGGAAGTCTGGATCAACAATCACGAACCGGATCAAATATCTGGTCCATCAAATAATTTAGACAAAACTGCATACATATGCTAATGCTAATGCATGCACCGTTGGGTTGGGCCATCCCTTAGTTTAAAGGTTAATACCACATACGAGTAGGTCTGTGGGTAATCACCTCATTTTCATGTCATCACAAGGAACATACATCTAGCATACATAGTAATAAAGTAGTCAGCATATTCGATGGAGACTGCGACACTCCGTGTGGAGCGTTCTTGATAGGAGCACATGTAAATCGGGCAACCAACCTAGTACAGCTTCAGCCCTAACATGCAGGTCCGTGGAGAGCATGATGCAAATGCCGATGGGTCGGAGCCGGTAGAAAGGAGGAGTTCTTAGAAATGAGCTGATTACCGACGTAGTGTTGGAGACGGTAACTTTTGGCGCAACGGGAAAATCCACCATTGGTCAGCCGTCTAATTTTCCGCCTCTGATTCCATTGCTGTGGATGTTGGACATGGATCCATTTTCTCGATAGAGTTAAAGCTTTAGAGCATCCCTCGGGCCTTGTACCTTATTTGGCTTACGAGATCCTTTTTTGATTACTACTGCGCATCTAAAGATGCCAGAGGCTATAGAGTTGCACGGCAACAACACTATCAACGCCCTCTCCTACGGGGTAATTAGCCGAGTATGTAATCGGTGTAGATGTTGACGGTGTTTACTAATGACAGGCTGTCGAGCTATTACCAATGCAACTAGGTTACCGAATGAGCGGATCGGAGGAATAGTTGTCTCGGGATATAAGTATAACAACTAACAACTCCCAGAAGCAATTGCAACTCCATCCCTCAAGTTGTCTGTCTTCAATAACTCAGCAGCTCTCCATTCATTACCATTAACAAGATGCTCTTTACTCGGCTAATTCCTCTTTTCGCTGCGGCCGCTCAGGCATTGCCGCAGCCGGCTTCGGCCCACTGTCGGGATATTCAAATCCCAATTACTGTCTCGACGCCTCGCTTCATTGTGACAGCGTCTCTTAAGGATGATTGGGATGTAGCTGCTCTGACTCTCAACCTTACCCGTCGAGATGCAGGATACTCGGCCGATCCTCTCCCCATCAATGGGAACACATCTTATGATGTGAAGAGCACTTACACCGTCGGAGCTACCTTGTGCGGCAACGGAGGCCCCACATTGGTGCTCACTCACGGCATCATCGAGTCCAAGCTGTGAGTCTTCATACGAGATCTATCCATTGTGAAGATGTATGATTCTAACAGCTTTTGTGCAGTTACTGGAACCCAAGCTTCCCTGGAAGTGCACAGTACAACTTCATCAACGCTGCCGTTGCCGCCGGTTATTCAGTTCTTAGCTACGACCGCATTGGCGTTGGCTCATCGCCCAAGTAAGTTGACGCCGGTAAAAATCCCAAGTCTATATACTAAACATTCCAAAACAGGGTCAACTCCTTGACAGACGCACAGTTCCAAGTCGAGGTCGCCGTCCTGCAGGGTCTCGTCAACTATGTCAAGACCAAAGCCCATGCTACCAAGGTCGTCCTCATCGGCCACAGCTACGGCTCCTACATCTCCTCTGCTGCTGCCTCAAACATCGCCGTCGATGGCCTCGTCCTCACCGGCTTCAGCGGCACCTTTGACTACTTCCCCCCCTTTCTCGCTGGAGCCAGCCTCCGCGTTGCCCGATCCCAAAACCCCCTGCGCTGGGGAGCTCTTGATTCGGGATACCTGACCACCGCGGATTTGTACTCCGAGACTTATGTCTACTACGCTACCCCTTACTTTGAGCGCAAAGTTGCCGAGTACACCTTCAACGTTGCCAGCCAGCCCTTTGCCGTCGGCGAACTCCCATCCCTCCTCGCCACGACCATCCACTACGAGAACATCAAGGCGCCCGTTTACGTTATCCAGGGCCAGTTTGACGTTTCCGCTTGTGGTGGAAACTGCGTTGGCGTTGTGAACAACACCAAGACTATCTTCACCGGCTCCAAGGCGCTTGAATACGTCGAGGATTTGCCTGCTGGGTGAGTAATTCGTCTTGAATGTCTTCTCTACAAGTCATCAATCGCTAACAAGGCTGCAGACACAACCTCAACTTCCACAAGGTCGCTCCTCAGGCGTTCCAGAAGATCTTTTCCTTCTTGAGCAAGCACGGGGTGAAGGCTTAATTGGCATCTCTCCAGTATATCGGGGCGATGATTATTCTTCTTGTATCTTCTTATAGATAGTTTTTAATGCATATCTTGAATATGATAGAATTTTAAAATATGAAGCGTGGATTTTATAAAACATAAGATTGCAAAGTAGAGCTTCGAGTCTACAATTCGTCTCATTCAATTTTCTACACACTAGAACAGCTAAGGAACAACCACTGCTCTCTCATGCTGTGTTATGTCGAAGCTTATAATTTGCCAGCTGTGGCGGCGGGATCCGTCGTGGCATCGTCTTCTCCCAAGCACTCATGGCTTGTAGAATCTTTCCCTCATCCCCAGCTTTTGCCACAATGGCCACGCCATATGCTCTACCATTGTAGTTGTCAGCATAACCCAACGGCGCCACTCCAGCAGGGTATCCCGCCGCAGCAGCAACGGTGACAATCCGCCCGTCTAATGGTCCTATGAGCACTTCGGCCCCTGTCTCTTCAAAGATTCGGTCAAATCCGTCGTCTTTGGCCATCTTGCGGATGAACGAGACAATTTCGTGCCGCTTCTCCACTGTTAGGTTGCTCTTCAATGTATTCTCGAGCTGCTGTTGACCCGGAAATTCTGTGGCGTTGTTAGCTTCTGGCTTGTTGCAACGGCTTGTCTCGTTTAACCGATGTCGCTTACCTAGCGGGAGTTCCAAGTCTTTGTGGTCAGAGTTCCACTGTATCAGCTGCTCAACTGTGCGTACCGAGGACTCGGTGTACTCATTGAGGAAAGAGTTGACTTCACTGCCAAGATATGAGTTCCATACAGTTTCAAGAGCGTCCTCACCCTCCCAAGTGATCTCATCAACTTGTGGCAACACGACACTTTCCGTCACTTCTGCCCCAGACTCCCGGATAATAGCTACAGCTTGGAGAAACTCCGAAATCTTTCAGATGATGAATGTCAATATTACAATAATTTGCCTAAATGATCAACATGACTCATACTTACTTGTTTTTCGCGGACTATTTCGATCCGTTCGCAAACAGCTGGATGGAGCTCCCACTTCCCGGGATCCACAAAGGCAGCTTTCTGCCCTGCCCACGTCTTTGTCAGATAAGAAGAGTAATCTTGCTCCATTATAGCTCCGATAAAGTTAGCAAGGTCTCCGGAGCTTTTGGCCATTTCGCCAAGACTATCCGTAATTGGAGATTGTGGTGATGTCCCCTTTGTGTCTAATGCTCCAACGGTAACTTTCATTGCATATAGAGAGGCCCTTCCAGCTGGCTGTGTGATGGATCCGTCAGATTCGGTCCCCAATGCTACGGGTGCGAACCCAGCGGCCACGGCTACGGCAGATCCAGATGAAGAACCACATGGAGTGCTGTGTCCTAAAATCTTGTCTCCAGGCACATAGCCACCCTTGACATATGGTGACTGTGTCTGGTCGCCGACTGCTGACCACCCGGTTACCATTCCGAATCCTTTTGAGCCAGCCCATTCCTGACAAAAAGAAACACAAGTCAACATCTGCAGCCCAGGAGAGTGCCCCCACGGATGTACCTACAGATAGATTGGCTTTCGCAATGATAATCATGCCAGCCTTCACAAGACGATCTACTATTGGAGCGTTTGGTGCCTTGGCTCCAACAAGAGCATAGGAGCCGCACGTAGTGTCCATGCCGAGTGAAGAGCCAGTCATTACATTGTCTTTGACGACAACTGGGATTCCGTGCAGAGGACCGCGTATGTTGCCAGTGGCTCTTTCTGCATCAAGAAGTCTGGCTTGTTTAGCAACGATGTGGTATGGCGCGGTGGAAATGATTGCATTCAACTTCAGACCGTTGTTGTTGTGCTGCTCAATCTGACCAAGATAAACATTGATCAAATCTAGGCTAGTTAGGCTACCTGATGTCAGAAGCTCCTGCAGTTCCTCGGCCGTGGTAGTCAGCGGATCGATTATGCCATATGATGCGTTAGAGATGATGCGCTCGGGGGTTGGGGGCGCTTCGACACCCATCTTTAAAATGGTTAGGGATACGTTCAGTAGTAGATAATGATCAAAATAAAATAAATAATCATAAGAATCTATGAAGATGAACCAAATCTATGAAAAGATCAATTGGCTCATGTTCCTGCAGAGACAGTGATGATCAGATACTTAAGAGGGGGCTCACGTAGGAAAGGATGGGTTGAGACAAGGGAGCCTTGAGTTCCAATGCTCCTATGTGACAGCGAGGCAACCTATTGCTCGGTTATGCCCTATAACCTCAACACAACGCGGCATTTTTTTTGTAATAATACAAGGAATGTTGAATGATCCTTCCAATGCGCTGTCTTTGTCCAACCGCACATGATAACACCCAACGGCGTCCGTGTTATATCCTCACATGATGTCCGCGGCCAACAACACCCAGCCTTAAATCAAGATAGCGCCCAACTTCCTCAGTGCCGATCTTTGTAGTGACCATGAATCGAGCGCCCCAAGGATCATGTTGTCTCCGCCACATACGGTCTACAGTATTTTGCGTGGCGTCATATTCCTCTTACTCGTTATGTGCTCTATAGCGTATTTCTTTCGTCTGGCCTGGCCATTCTCGTGGCCCTCAGGGACTCCACGGCCATCGATTAATCTGCTGACAGCAACCGCAGAAGATCTCCAACAGCTCTTGGAGGCTGGCGAGCTCACGAGCGTTGAATTGGTCGATAGATGCTTCGCTCAGATTGATAGGCATGACGATTATCTCAAGGCCGTTCTACAGAGAAATCCACATGCCAGGGCCGTGGCGACTGCCCTAGACCTCGAACGCAAGAATGGCCACCTGCGTGGGCCCCTTCACGGGATCCCCATCCTCATCAAGGTATTCTTCACCTTCACCTGACTTACTCGATTTACATGTGCATGGCAAGAATAACTAGTTCTTAGGACAATATCGCAACCCACCCAAGTCTGGGAATGAACACTACGGGAGGCAGTCTTGCCTTGCTTACATCGCGACCGTCAAAGAGCGCTGAGGTTATAGACAGAGTGAGTCGTTGGACACACCTTCTCCACTCCACTGCGGCACATTTACACCTCCAGCATGTCTTCTTCTCTTTCTGGCCTTTAATATCATCAAATGCAGTCGGCAATGAAATATTTCTAGCCCTATGACTACCAGTTCCAACACATTTGTGTTCCTGTCTAACCTCAGTGCGAAAAGAAATTCTAACAAAATGCAGATTCTGGAAGCAGGGATGATTATCATAGGGAAAACACAGTTATCAGTGAGTACTTCCTTGAACTGGCTATATAAACCGTATCTAATATATAGATCACCAGGAACTCGCTGGGTTCAAGTACGCAACTGACACGGCTTCATCCAGCTTTGTCCAACTACTTGACCTTTCTCCGTACGGTGACTAATACTGTCTTGCAGAGGTTCAAGTATCATGCCTGGATGGTCGGCTTTAGGCGGTCAAACGCAATCTGCATACACTACCGGTGATGTAAATTTGACCGACGGTGTCCTTGGGCACTCGGTGAGTAGCGGGAACTGAATACTCATTAGCCGAGACGATATGTGTCAAGAAGATGGCAAACTTGACGTCCTACAGTACTTACTAACGTTGTCAAACGTCTATAGTCACCCTCTGGCTCATCAACGGGCTCTGCCGTTGGCGTCAGCGCAGGGTATGCCCCCCTGGCGATAGGAACGGACACTGGAGGGTCTTTGATCACACCGAGCACCCGAGCGGCATTATACACTCTCCGGCCAACGATGAATCTGGTCCCACAAGATGGCTTGATACCTCTATACCATTTATTCGATACTGTGGGACCGATGGCGAAATCGCCTTCTGATCTGGCAAACCTTTTGGATGTCTTAACCACTCCAAAGGGAAGCAAAGAGAGAAAGCTTTATTCTCAAATGATGGCTCATGACTTTAGAGATTTCAAAATTGGGTGTCTCTCTCCAGGAACATGGTTTTTCGACTCTGATCTACAGCGCCCAGTGCCAGAAGCCACGGCGCAGATAGTAAGATGATTGAAAGCTGGAATTTGTTACAGTCACTAAACAAAAATCTCTAGAAAAAAGACACCCAAGCAGCCTATGCAAAGATGGCACTTACGGCAAAGTCCTTGAAAGAAGTAGGACTTGTATCCATCGATGCATTTGAAGTGAATGGGCGGCATAGTTTCTACGATATTCAAGGTAAACAGCCTCCCGCTCGACTGCCACGGAAATATGATCTAACTTGTTCAGCGGCTCGGTTTAAACCCACATTTGAGGGTTACCTTGGAACCCTCGAAGATTCCCAAGTGCGGAGCCTGGATGAACTCATAAGATTCAACCAGAAACATGCAGAGAAAGCGCTTCCACCAGGCAGGTCGTCATTCATCCCACAATCCCCTAGTTCCTCACTGACCGTGCTCAGGCTATGACAACCAAGATCAGCTCCAGAACGCCGTCACAATGACAATGTCCGATGAAGAGCATGATTTCCTCCTAAGGCATGCGCGCAAAGTTGGCCGAGACATTGGCATTGACAAGACACTTGAAGAATATGACGTAGATCTAGTCATTGCGCCAGCTGACTCTCCCGTAAACCTATTGGTGTCGGCTGCCGGTATGGTTCCAGGACACCCAAGTTGCTCGTAGGCATTATCTAACCATGGACAGGCTACCCCTCCGCAACGATGCCATTGTCGTACCTCGAGTACAACGGCCGACCAATTGGCTTGGTTGCATTTACGACTGCTGGGGGCGAAGAAATGCTGTTGAACTTTCTGCGTGCGTACGAGAATACCTTTCCAAGACGATGCCCCCCTAGCCTCCTCTAAATCAAGACGTTGTACAATAAGAAGCAGTAAGGAAAGTCACTGCGGTTGTAGTTATGCTAGCACCACGCTTCTATAATACATAATCCCGTCAAAATACTCTAATGATCCAGCGCAAAAGCAGCAGCTATCCGTGAACTGTCAAAATACTCCCGGTACAGAACAATCTTGCCACTCTCAGCGCGGAAATACGACACGTAGTTCTGCTTGTACTTTTTCCCCGTCATCGTTACCGTTCCAGTCATGGTGAATTCGACAAAAGCGGCATCCTCGCCATTGATGGGATAAATCTTTTTGATTTGGACATTAAAGTCATCGCCCATACTGCCGACGAAGCCCGCTACCGAAGCGCCAATAGCCTCGAGTCCCTCTACTTTGGTTGGGTGGGGATGAGGCGAGTTTGGCATTTCTGCCACGGCGTCGGGGGCGTATAAGCTGAGCCATGCTTGTTGGTCGACCTTGAGGGTCTGGAAGTGCTTTTCGACGAGTTGCGCTGCGTTCATACTGGAAAGCTGCAGTAAACGATATGAATTGGGTGTCAACTGAGATGAGTGTGCGCGTGAAGATCTAATGCCTCACCTTGGTGAGAAGAAATGTGATTAAACCGAAGATGCTATTCGCCTGAGGAAATTTTGGTGAGAAGGGAGCTATAACGGGCTATATCTGCCACAATATCTAGTATGGGCAGAGGTGGATTTAATAGTCCTCGCAGAAGGATCTAGTCTTGGGCTTTGCTACGACTACCGTCGAGCCTTGGCTGATGATCCATAGTGGAAGGAATATTGAGTGATTCTCCGCTCGTTGGTCAGAAAATGACATTCATGGTCTGGTTTATTCGATTGGATATGGTTAGTAGAGGGCATTGTGCCTGTATTAAGCTTAAGTTGTGCAGCGCTTGTTCATGGTTGATCCCTTCAGCCAAGAGGAGTCTAGTTTAGGATAGAGCAGGTCAGATAGCTGGGGGATGATGATGTGAGACTGGCTTGTAACGAATGCAGCTAACTCCCAGCAACTGTATCACGCGTTGATTCTGGTTGTGTCAATACATATTCGGTTCGTTTCCGCTTTCTCAATTGGTACGAATGAAGCCATCGCCTCTCTATCAAATGCAGACCTTTCCTAATATGTCTGGCTAGTTATAGCTGTAGATCAACTCCACCGGAGGTGTTTGACAGTAGATACCGCGCATATCTCCTTACAAGATGTCGTCATGAGAATCAGTCCCGTTATAGCGGTAGAGAAGCATGGTATTCAGCTATGGAGTCGGCACTGGATCCTCATTTTCACATGTGCGAGCCGAGACGGGCCCTGTCAAGACACAATGATGTCATCCTTGGAGATTAGGTAAGTCAAGTCAGCGTAGACTCTGAAGCTGTACAGAATGAGGTACCCAAGCAGGCACAAGCTGTACTGTGCTGTGCTCTGCTCATCTTTGATTGTAACACGTTGCACATAAAGGCACAATCGAGTCAGAAATGGCCGGGCAAAGCACAGACAGGTTCCCGTTGATGCTATTTTAAGAAGCCGCAAGCAGCTGTGCTTTGCATTGTCAATCGCCTATTTAGGCACCGTGTCAATAGACATTAAACACTGTCCGTCACCCTGGGAGCTTTGCTGCATTTCTGTCCAATGACATGCCAGTCGCGTTCGTGTCCTTTTTGCTGCATCATCCAATCTTATCGCCCTCTTCGCTTCTCTTCAACTAACCGTCCGTCCTTTCGATCTTTTCTTATCTGGACGCCGGATCGCGCAGCCGCCGCTTAGATCAATCTCCGCTTCTTCTTCTTTTCTCTTTTCTTTTCTCTTCTCTTCTTTTTCTTCTTCTTCTTCTGACCGCTCGCTCTCCGGGTCCCGGAGGCACTCACAATCCGCCGCCATGGTGCTCAACGTCTTTCGCATTGCTGGTGAGTAACGGCGTGGATGCTCTGCTCTGCTCTGCTTGGCGACGAGCCGACATGGATAGACGCAGATGCGCTAACGCAGGAACAGCGGATTTCTCGCATCTGGCGAGTATCCTCATCTTGCTGCACAAGATGGTGCAGCTCAAGGTGCGTCTCTCCATTGCTGCCGCTGCTTTCGCCTCTCTCCAAGCTCGACTGACTCGGCGCCTTGTAGAGCTGTTCGGGCATCTCCTTCAAGTCGCAAGGCCTGTATCTGCTCGTCTACCTCACTAGATACCTCGGTATGCCTCTCACCAGCCATCAACACCGTCCAATGGCAACCCAGAATCGACCTGGCTAACACAGGGCAGATCTCTTCTCGACCAACAGCATCTACAACTTCGTCTTCAAGGTCCTCTTCATCGGCTCCCAGGGCTACATCATCTACCTCATGACCAACGCCTACAAGCCCACCAACGATGTCAACGTCGACACCTTTCGAGTGCAGTACCTCCTTGGCGGCGCCGCCATCCTCGCCGTCGCCTTTCCCTACTATTACACGCCCGCCGAGATCATGTGGGCCTTTTCCATCTGGCTCGAGTCCGTGGCCATCCTCCCGCAGCTGTTTATGTTGCAGCGCACTGGCGAGGCAGAAACCATCACGACTCACTACCTCTTCGCCCTCGGACTCTACCGCGCCCTCTACATCCCCAACTGGATCTACCGCTACGTCGCAGAGCCCAACCATAAGGTGGATTGGATCGCCATTGTCGCCGGCCTGATCCAGACGGTTCTCTACAGCGACTTTTTCTACATCTACTACAACAAGGTTCTCAAGGGCAAGAAGTTTAAGCTGCCTGTCTAAGCGGCGAAAAGGCTTTTGCTGGGTGCTTTAAAAAAAGGGAAGTGACGGTGTTCCCCTGTCACAGGGGATTGGGACAGGTCATCACTCTGGGGCTTGCTCAAGGTGATGACAGCTTCATAGCAGACCGTGGTGAGGACTTGTTAGTCACCGCAAACAGGGAAGCTCTACGGCTACGACAGTGTACGGGATGAAACAGGTAGTCTTAAGGGGGGGAATGATTGCATCGGCGGCGTTTGATGGTATGCTCGGTTTGAGGCAGTAAGGGAAAGGGCGTCATCTCTTAATATGAGGATTCCGTGAGTTTGGGCCATGTACGTTGCGGACGAAAACAAAAATTAGAGGGCAATCAATTGAATGTGTTTGAATCTGGATGGGGGGCGGCACACAGGTCGAGCTATGTGATGAACGTGGCTATGCGCATCCAGCATTGAATAGAGCCGCAATAAAAGATACGGACGCGTTAGAAAAATAACTGAATTTATTAACACAATTATCATGCAACTGGAAATGGAACACTCGGGTTGATGCTGCAAACAAATAAACATTTTAATGAGGCGCTTTGAGTTTGGCAGCTCAGAGGTCATGCCCATCACGTGATAGTCATTCATCATCAACCTCGCCATCCTTCAACCCTCAACATTCACGCTCCATCTCCAGCACATTCACTCCCCTCCCCGCGTCAATCAACCCCGGGATCCGACTTCACCATGGACAGCGACGCGCCGGAAAACGTCGAGAAGCAGATTGCCCCCGAAAACGGGCCCAGCGACGCCGTGCCCGACCCCATAGCGCCCGGCCAGGATCTGAGCAAGCTGCCCACGCGAAAGGACGTTTCCCTGCGAGAGTTTCTCAATAAGATTGACGATTATGCCCCCATTGTACGTCTCTCTTCTGTCGCGCAATACGGAGATTGCTCGCTTCTTGATGGATTGTGTGTTGCTGACCCGTTGCAGATTCCCGATGCAGTGACGCACTACTACATGACCAAAGCTGGTCTTCCTCCTCCCCCCCAGACAGATCCCCGTCTCGCTCGTCTTCTCGCGCTCGCCACGCAAAAGTTCATCGCCGACGTCGCGGCCGACGCGTATCAGTACAGCCGCATCCGCGCGTCCAGCAACACAAACAACCCCATGGGCACTCTCGGCGCCGCAGCCGGATTCCCGATCCCTGGCCAGCAGTCCGGCCAGCCGGGTAGCAAGGAGCAGGGCAAGGGGGGACCTTTGGGTATCCAGCGACCGGGCTTTGGAGGTGGTGGCCAGGGAGGAAGCCAGAACAGGACGGTGTTGACGATGGAGGACCTGGGAATGGCGGTTGGCGAGTATGGCGTCAATGTCAAGAGGAGCGAGTTTTACCGATGAGGGGGGACGATGACTGTTGCTTTCTGGGGCTCAGTGTGGGAGGAATACACGGGATATAAATGACTGCGGCTGCAAGACTATATCGAGAATATTTGTTACATATGGCGTTGGGGGGGATGATGGCGTTGGAAACGGGTTAATCCAGGGCAGGCCTACTAGGTCTCAAGTTTCGTTGGTCCAACACAATACGAGCTGCTTTATTTCTGTTTTTTTAATTTCCATTTTGATTCCCAATTTCTGCTGTGCCAATGATTCAAAGCATGCGATAAGTCGTGGCATTATGGCGTTGATACAAGTAATTGTACATGTTCATCCTCTCTCCTCCATCTCCTCCACTCCTCGTCTATTTCCTGTCCCAAATATTCGGTTTTCGCGTGCTATGCATCCAAATTAGCCATCCACACCCACCAACGACAATCCCAAGTTACTCACGGCGCAAATTCTCCCAGCTTGTGCCCCACCATGTCCTCCGTAATCGTCACATGGTGGTAATCCTTGCCATTGTGAATCTCAAAGTTGAGGCCGACAAAGTTGGGCAGGATGGTCGCTGAGCGGGCCTGTGTTCGGACGGGAGGGACTTTGTCGTTGGGTCCCTTGGGGAAGACGATGGAGAGGCTGTAGAAGTGACAGGATGCGTGAGTGAGTGGCTTCTTTGATTGCTTGGAGGGGCGATTCTTACGGGACGAGGTTTGGGCCTGTGAAGATTTGGAGTTAGCGATTGTTTAGGTATTTTTGGGTACTTGGGGAGAGTGGATGTTACCTTTCCAAACGGAACGCTTGAGAAGCGCTCGAGTGGGCAGCATTTTGGCTGTGTTGCGATCTGGGGATATCCGGCTGGATGGCTATTGGTGGTGATGATCTAGAAATCTTCAAGAGCAATTGGGTCACGTGATGGGACGTGGTGACATGTGCTGGGTCCACTCTGTCGATTTTGGTGCGAAATCCTGGTGCTTTATTAGCGGCCAACTTATTTCCATCTAAGTACAAGCAAAGAGAATCATGGATGTCCATCATCTCAACTCTTACTCCAATCGCGTGCTCATCTCTTTGATCAATTCACACGCAAATTCTGGTGTTTCGCAGATCATGTCCAGAAATCCTTGGCCCTCGCATAGATTTTCTACAGTGCAGGCGCAGAAATCCTTCAATAGAGTACGCAGCTTGTCGTTCTCCAACGTGTTCTGGAACGAGTATCTCACCAGGCCAACGAGGTCCCCCATGCGTTCTGGATAGAGCGTAAACTCCTTCAATGTGACCCAGAGTTTATGCGCAGAGAGATCGCGCAGCTCATTAATATCGTACTTGTCCGCCAAAACGTAGAGCCGAGCGTGGGAGAGAAAGACTCCGCTGTAGTCCTCACAGCTCTCGGTGTTCTTGCGAGGGACGAAGGGGGTAGCAGGAGGTGCATATGCAGAATTATTGTTGAATTTTTCAACCATTGCCTTCCTTTTCTGCATGCCACCGCCTCGGCATTTCTGACATTGATAGAATTGGTATGTACTACAATAAGAATCGCGACAGCGGAGGGTGATAAAGCTGTTACGACAAGTACTGCAGGTTGCATTGATGGTTGAAGTCGCATTCTGCCCACAATGTGAGAAGGGGGGTTTTACTTTGGTGGAATTGAATGTAGCGAGGCAGTCAGCGACGGGCTCTGTCTTGCTAGGCGTTGCAATTTTTGTATCCTGCGTAGAATTTGCAATTTGGGAGGCGTCTAGAAGGATTTCCGGCTCTTCAGGCTTGTAATCTCCTGTGTAAGCCCATTCACCAAAGCGGAGGAAGGTTTTCTCATCGATGTCTTCCCAGCAAACACAATGCTCTTGCGACTCTTTCATGCCCCCATTCAAGAGTTTGTCAAGAGTCTTGGAAAGTCTTGTTATCGCAGCCTCGTGCATTGTGAATTGCTTCTTCTTAGGCCCGACGACGAAGTTGAATGGCTTCGAGGCCAGAATGCTAATCCCAGAGTCAACATCAAATATAGCCATCATGCCAAGCAATCCCATTGACAAACCTCTCATACTTGTTGTCCATTTTTCTTGGCAGTTACAAAGCTTGTATGCGAGTGGGTACCAGAGGTTGAGATGATACCAGATCCTGCGAATGGGATATAGATGGTTGAAGGTCTGAGAGTCGGCATCATACTTCTGGGGCATGTGGCCTCTATTTATGCTTCAAAATATTTAATTGTGAAGCCAACATGAAATGAATGACGCATCAAAACATTCGCCAGTTAATGTCGTCAGGCAAGTTGCAGCTGCGGAAGGCCTACAGTCCCGGCTTGGATGAGTGAATGCTGGCCTCCGAATACAATCACAAGCATGGCAGGACATGCTGCATTAATTAATGATTTGATCAGACAATTATCTCTCTCTCCATTACGGACACCTGCAGTAGCACCGGCAAAATACCGATGCACTTTACTCCAATGGAATTTTGATCAGCCGTCATTGTCGGCCTCCCACCTTGATGAAGTGGGGGATCAGTTGGTCTGATGGGGGCGAGAAGACTTTGATGCATAGACATTCAATTGACACCTGTAGAGTAAAGATTTGGATTTTTGGCCCATTCGCCAAATGCCTTCATTCGCGATTACTGTGACCACCCTTTACCTTCAAGTCACCCTTACTCATGGAACTCATGTACTGCTCCGAATCTCATCCCCGTGGTGTAGGGTAGCAGCGCATCATCTTGTGTTGGTAGTGTTGCCAACAGAAGGATAGTATTAGAAAGAAGGAGGTAGTAGAATAAGATCTTGAGTTATGTTGCGATATAAATCAGATCGAATTCATTTATTTTACATCTATAGGACTCTATTGAATTGAGCAGAATATTGCAATGTACTATTGCAGGTGATACCAATGCCCTGGTGCACTGAAACCATCAACCCATGCCCGCCAATCCCGAAGCTATAGATTGGGAGACAATTGGTGTTGAGCCTCGAATATTCATCTACATCCATCTCTTAGTCCCATTATGGCTGAGAAACGAGCCCCCATGCCCCGTCTCCAACGTCGAGCGAGCCACTGCCGCCAAGGAGCTCTCCGCAGCAGTAATTGGGTCCATCGCCTTGAAGCCCGGCGCATATTCATTAAATGTGGCCATGATTGCCTGTAAACGCGCCAAGTCCTCGCTTGATACTATTATCAGTCAGCAGGTTGTCGGATAATGAGGTTGTCCGAGGTTGAATCATACAAGTGGCATCACCCTCTGCGGTGTCGACGAGACCAGGGCATATGGTAAAGAACAAAAGCCCTTCATCTTGGTACGCCGCGTTGAATTTTGCAAACATGGTGGTCAAGCCGGCTTTGCTGATGGCATAAGGAGCTGCGTTGGCGAGTTTGATGCTGTTGATGAATTCTGGTATAAAATTAGCACTTGGCCAATCCCCTTATGCATCGCCGAAAGTCTTTCGTGATGAGACGATTAGCAGACTTACCAATATCGCCCATGCCACTCGATATTCCCACAATCTTCTTCAACTTGCCTTCTCGGACCAGAGGAAGGAAAGCAAAGATGGTTTTGAGGACTCCCACAACATTAATCTCGAAGCTCTTCTGCGCATCTTCCAAAACGGCCGGCACATCATTCTCGCTAGTCACAATACCATTAGCAATTCAACCTGGAATACGATATCGTCCATAGTATGTCTTACAAATCTTTAAAGTTTTTCAATTCTGTAGCTTTGCTCACGTAGGCGGCATTGTTAATCAGGACATCTAATCCTGCGCCTCCAAGGAAGCGCTTCGTTTCCTCTGCTGCCTCTTTCAAGGCCTTGTCATCAGTAATGTCTGCGGCCACAATGTGTACGTTGGATACGTTGTCGGCGCTTAGGCGAGCTTGAGTAGCCTTTGCATCCCGAACAAGTCCAATAACTTTGTTTTGAGGATCAGCAGCCAGAACCTTGATCATGCCATACTGTCGCGTTCGAGTTAGCATTGCGATTGATGCGATTACAGGCTACTTACACCAAGTCCTCTGCTTGCACCGGTCACGAGATAGCTCGGCATGTTGAATAGAGTAAATGATATTTATTTGATGTGTTGCGATGGTTAGGGGATGTAGAGCATGATCAGTCCATCGATCAGACGCATCTATTACCAATTATATATGTATCGTTTTTAATGTGGAATCTCTAGGTTGCATTCAATGGTATCTGACGGAATTAATAGATGTGAATCGAATTAATAATTTGTTTACATGACAAATGGGAGAGCTTGTCAATAGGAATAGAGCTGCGAAATGCATATACCTTGGCGAGTCCGGAACTCCGAGTTCAGACATCTCCGACCAAGGGACCACCTGCTGATGCCCATACATTAGTAAGATTCTGTACAGAACGAATACCATTCCATTGACGAGATATAATAAAGAACTTATTTAAAATCTAGAGCATAAATAGGAGCTATTGGAGTTATTCAGCAAAATTTATGACAGTGTTAATGGACTCGTGGCATACAGCTTATTAACGATGTCTATTGCTTGACATTACGGTGTCATACTCTTGAGACACAGCCCTTTTCTCGGTCGAAATCTAAGTAATTGTATAAAATATCTGTACTATAGCCCACAGCTCTTACAGCTTTATAAATCTTTCAGGGTCGATCCTAGAATCGTAGTTACAAAGTCGCTACCAAAAGTATTGGCAGGCGTCTGAAATCCTCCCTTCGCCTTCCCATCCAAGGCCCTTCTCGCAGCCTCAATACAGGCCACAGACGTAAAATCGTATCCATTAGGCGTATGAAGAACAGCCTTCTTGACGATCCCATCATCTCCCTTGGCGACCACAGAAGCATGGTATCGGTGTTCTTTCCTCTGCTCCGCCGTAGGGCCATCTGGCAGCGCTGCTAAATCTCCCGTTGGAAAAGCACCGTCAGACACATGGACAAAGGTCTTTATGTTGGGACTATTGGTCGACTTCCATATAGTGAGCAGGTCCGGAAGCGTCACTGGAAAACAGCTGACTGAGCCTTTCCCGTCGTCAAAGTCAAACTCGGCCGTATCTTGGACATTCTGCTCGATCAATTGCCCGTCTTGTCTCTTTAGACACTCAGCTGTGACGCCTTCGGCTGTGCTGATTGCTGAACCGCGCGAAATTGATCCGGAGACGAACAGCGCAACATCAACACTGGCCACCTTGTTGATAGTCTTGATAGCATGTCCGGCTAAACAGCCAAGCATAGCCACGCTGCCACCACACCCCGGCAAAAGCATAACATTCGCGTCCCTTGCCGCATCGTTCTTCTTCTCCGCCAATTGGTAGCTGATGAGTTCAGCAGATACGTCGAGATAGTGAACCCCGGATCTTATACAGGCATCCATCAGGGGCTCGGCGGTACGTGAATACGGCCCGGCACAACTGAGCAGCACGCGAATGCCACGCAAACTATCGTCTACGGCTTGGCCATCGTTGACGTCGAATGTGCGGTATGAAAACCCAAGCGATTCAGCGAGCTGTTTAACGCGGTCGGTGCTTCTTCCAGCTAACACGGGATTGAGACCGATGCTTTTCGCGTATTCGCTTGCAAGGCGGCCGGTATAGCCAGTGGCTCCGTAGATCATGAAATCGGCCATTGTTTCGAAGAGTCTGGCCGCAGTTGTGTTTGCGTGTCGAGAAGTGCTGGTAGATAGTTTTGAAGCAGAGTTGAGTTCTTAGACTAGGATTGCCCCAAATATACCCTCCTGGGCCTCACATCTTGAACGATACACGGCATAAAGGTTAAATTCTCCATTAATCATGGCTGCTATAAAAGTTTCAATCACTTGTAAAAAAAACGGACTATGGTCCACCGTTGAGTCTCCTATATCTGATGCACCCGGAGCTCCGGGTGCTAGGCTGAACCAAGCCCATCATTACCAACGTTCTTTTCCCGGAGATACATTGCGACTAAGCAACATTTGTCAGAAGAGAATTTGTAAGGTTCAAAATGACATGAACTTGTTGAAACGATGTCTGAGTGTTATACGTTGAACGAGATCTATATATGATACAGAAGATACTCTCGTCTTTGCCACGATAATTGAGACATTCAGAAAATTATCAAGCTACTTGTTCACCATCAACCTTCTTATTCACCGTCACAATGGCAATGAAGATTCAAAATCCAGCTGTTCCTTTCGACTCCAGAGTCGTTATTATTGGAGCCAACGGTTACATTGGCGCCGAGACATGTGACAAGTTCCTCGAAGCAGGATACCGGGTTCGCGGAACAGTCCGCAACGTTGACCAACATCGGGCTTGGATGCATGGGCTTTTCGATAAGAAATACCCCGGAAAGTTTGAGCTAGTGCAAGTCGTTGACTTTGAAGCCGACGGGGCATTTGATGAAGCATTCAAGGGTATGGAAGCCGCTCTCGTATCTGTTGGGTGGGTAATGTGCCAGGTCGGCTAATTTATGTGAGCATTTAGGTGCTGCTGTGGTTGTCTACGTCTCGACTCCCACCATCTTCGGTCCAGATCCGGCCCAGGTGGTCGATCCCGTCGTCAAGGGCACCATTAACACGCTCAAAGCCGCCGCTGAAGCCAATATCCAACGTTATGTCTACCTCTCCAGCTCTAAAGCCGTCGAAGCGCCCGTCTACAACGTGCCGCACAAGATTTCGGTAGACACGTTCAACCATGAAGATATTCGCAAGGCCCGCGAAGAGCCTACAGTTCCTACGGTAGAGAGAGCCATGGCTGTGTACGGAGCAAGCAGGGCTGCCGCAGAACTGGCTTTCTGGTCTTGGGTGAAGGAGAATGATCCTCCCTTTGTCGCCAACTGCGTTGTTCCTGATGGAAACTTTGGGCGTGTTCTGGATGCGGAACAACCCAACAATACCTCTGTGGGAATGCTGAAGCGCATCTTGGACGGCGACTGGAGCCGAGTGATGACTCTCGGTTCGTACCCGCTCTATGATACATGGATCTTTCCGTGAACGATGAATGTATTAATGTCAATGTCAATGTGCTAACGGTGAGGATTAGCTTGGATCATTAACGTCGAGGACTGTGCTTTTCTTATGGTCGCTGCCGCCGTGCTGCCTACCATCGCAAACGAGCGAATCTTTGCCTATTACACGCAGGCCACTTGGAACGAAATGCGCGCCAAGGTTCGTCAGCTGTATCCTGACCGCCCGGAGCTTGTCAAGGGGGAGGATTCCGACGTTGTGGGCAGAGACTTGTCGACGGCGGATGAAGTTGTGAAGCGAGCTGAAGAGGTGCTCAAGGAGCTTGGCCGACCTGGTTTCATCAGCGTTGATGATACTATTCGTGATTTCGTGGACACTGTGTACAAGGAAAGCCATTAATTCCACCACATGTCATCCCCTCATAGACTTGGTAGTATTCTTTAGAGGGGAATCTAAGACATCAGATGTGTCGATTTAGACTGTAATTTCAGGGGCATTCGAGCTTGGCAGAGATAGTGCGGCCTGCGTAGTGCTCGTGCATTTTTCGCCGTAATCATGGCCAGTTATTTCACCGGAGCAGCTCATATACCGTGGCCAACTAAGAGGATTACTCGGCGCAATTCACGCTCTAGCTGATGACACTCCGTCATAAGAGTGAGATTTGCCCTGATGTCGCTGATAAATAAGATCAATGTCGTATCTGTATACGCTTCAGCTGAGAATATTGCAACGATCAATGACACCCGGAAGTCCGAGAGAGCCGACTCAGCTATTCCTTGGCTAGTTCAAGTTCTAAACAGCCACCTCCGTCTACGATTCAACGCCACAAGGTTGAGTCTGTTTTATTAAGTAACCCACCTCTTCACCCAGGCATCCGGAAGTCCGAACCCATATCTCCCCTCTTGACATTGAATCCCTTGCATGAGTCGGAGTACCAATAGGAGAATCCCACAGCTCTTCTATATGCCTTTGTCACGAAAACAACATGCACTCACGTGTCCCCGCTGTTCTCGTCGTTTTACAAGAGGTGGGTTTCTGCTTGTATCAATGCGACAAAGATAACAGCAACAGGGCTAACCGAGTTCCCAACTTGCAGCATCGTCATTGACGAGACACTGCAAGCGCTGTCTCCAGGATATCAAGGGCCCATCAAGACGGAAATCGTGCCGTTCTTGCGCACGCGCCAAGCTGCGCTGTGATTTGCAGCGACCAAGTTGTAGTCGATGTCAAGAGCGCACTCTCACATGTGAATATGTGTCGAGAGATGGCACGGCAATAGCGGCAACAACGGCGGAAGAGTCGACGGTTCAGGGCAAATTGCAGGACGACAAGTCTCTCTTGAGTAATGAGGTTGTAGATGCATCGACTGACTCCTCAAGCCGGAAAAATGCATCATCTACAGAATCAATTGGCAAAAACAGGCCACCAGAAAGCGACGATGCTCTCTCTACGATTGACTACGGAGCAGCATCCACGCCTCGTTCTCAAGTAGACACCCCACAAGATACTGCATCTGATCGGGATGCCACGGCAGATTCCGTGACTACAGAATCCGAAATTAGCCGTGAGCTGTTGGAGAAGAGCGGGATTGACAACCCGGCACCGATTGCACCTGAATTAATCATATCCAACTACAGGCGTCGGTTGCTACTCAACGAAGCACGACGCACTCCGAATACCGATCCCGTTGCCAGACACACGATGTATTTCGTGATTCGCGCGCTCAAATCCTGGCCGCGAATGATGGGTTCGCATCTCACGAGCCAGCTTCCACCTATGATCCACAGACTCCAGTTAGCAGATGGCATACCGATTCCTCTCGCGAACTGTTGCACTTTGGCCAAGATGTGGATTATGCACTCGGAGGGGAGCCGCGACTTGGTGCAAAGTACAGTACACAATGAAGTCCGAAGACTACTTCAAGATGTGAGTTGTGACTTGAAGCTTCCTACTATGTACATGTTTGATACAGCTAACACGAACATGTCAACATTAGTATGACAAGTACAATGCGATGGAGCTCCTTGCAGCCGCACAGTCGCTGCTCATTCTCCTCATCATCCTCTTTTTTGGAATCGGAAACTCGCCGGCATTGGCTCATCCGATAGATGCACAACTGCTGGTTGACATGTGGAACGTCAAACACAAGTTAGCCAGCACAGGTTTGTTCCTAGAACAAGAGTCGAATCATACAATGCCACCTTGGAGAGAATGGGCAATTGTCTCCGCCAAGCGCCGCACAATCGTCGCCCTCCATCACCTCGAGTTTGCGTGGTCGCTTCGATTCGGATATCCGATCCTCACGTGCTTTGAGCTGGGACCATTCCCTGCACCCGCTGCCGGATATCTGTGGCAGAGTGACCGGGAGGAGGAGTGGCAGCGTCTTTACAAAGACTGGCTGAAGCAGTGGGCGGAGGGAAGTTATAAGATGACGGAGCTGTTTCGCGTCAATGGTAGCAAGGAGAGTGACGCTTTGGATGCTAGAAGCGAGCTGTGGCTGGCAGAAGCAGACGAGTTTGGCATGATGCTCATGGCAGAAGGTATGAATATTACTCGAATCAATTCGGCTTGGGGTCTGGTACATCACTAACACTTACAGCGAATGGTATTGGTGTTGAGTTTTAGACAAACAGACTGGGCTACCGATTTATGAAGCGATACGAAGGCATGGGACAAGGGGAAACGGAAACAGCCGAAAGGGAAAACCAAATACCGTGAACATGGGAAAATATTAATAGAGTATGAGAAGATCATGAGCGAAGAGGATGCCAAGGTCAAGCTAATGGGCGAGAACCACAGGCAGAACAGATTCAGGCAATCTTTGTTTGCGACGCCTCGTTTCGCCTTTCAGTGGCCTGGAGATTATATAGTTGCGTGCACCAGATATCAAAGCACACACGTGAAAAGGAATAGTCAAAACTATTAATATAATATAATGCATAGATGATGGGTGAGAGGTAAGGAGGCCGTCTTGTATAATCAATGTCGAAAGTATCTCCTCACCTGATCCTCGCCTCAAGATACATCTGCCCCCGTTATCGCCACTCCGGCTCTAGGGTAGCCAGTGCATCACGTGGTGCAGCCGCTATCTCGCCCGAGACCCTCATTCGACCGAATTGATTGACTACCAGCCAAAGTCACAAAAAGTTGCGAATCGTCCAACGAACCAGCTCTTCAGACCAACAGCAGCGGGTCTTGCGCTGCATTGATTTTGATTTGCGCATCTCGACGGGCATCTGCCAGCCTGTTGCTTATTTCTTCCGGTGGCTGGTGCTTTATCGAGTCTCATCGCCTTGTTTCGTTTGGGCTGCTGCTTTTGCGGACTTTGGTTGTGCGGGAATCCCATTTTTGGAAGAAGCCAGCTTGTCACTGTCACTGGAGGGGAGAGAGGAAAAAAGAAGAGAAGAAGAGGAATCCGAAATCCATCACCAGCTCGCTTCAATCAACCTGATCAGCTCCATCGACGCCCGACGTTTCGCTCTTTGCTCTGCTTCGTCCCGAATTCCGACACTCGCCTCATCTCACATCCCATCCCAATGCCCGAAGCAACGGCCTCCGGTGCCGACACGGGCGGCGCTGCTCGTTCTCGCGAGCACAACCAGGGCAACCAAGGCCGCACCTACACCGTCGAGCAAAAGGCCGCCGTCCTGCGCATCCGGAAATGCAAGCCCACCGCCTTTTACGACATCCTGGGCCTCGAGACCGTCCGCTCCTCGTGCTCCGACTCGGATATCAAAAAGGCCTACAGGAAACAGTCGCTGCTGACGCACCCCGACAAGAATGGCCACGAGCACGCCGACGAGGCCTTCAAGATGGTCAGCCGCGCCTTTGGCATCTTGGGCGACAAGGAGAAGCGAGAAAAGTTCGACAAGTTCGGCACAGACCCCGACAGCCGGTTCGAGAGCGCCAGGCAGCAGAATCCCTTCTCGGGCTTTGGGTCACGGCAGGCCGCGGCGGCGGGAGGCGGCGGCTGGGGGGAGGATGAGATGACGCCCGAGGAGATGTTTGCGCGTTTCTTTGGCGGCGGCGGTGGTCCCTTTGGCGGAGGCTTTGGAGGTGAGTGATTGTCTCGAGCATTGGAGCGTTGGAGCGTTGAGGCATTGTTATGGTACCGACGAGAGATGCTGACGATTAAGCGTTTGACACAGGTCCCCAGTTCGTCTTCAACTTTGGCGGCGGTCCCGGCATTCGAGTACACCAATTTGGCGGCGGCATGCCCCGAGCAAGACCGCGAGAGGCCCAGGGCGGCGCTCCTCAACAAGAACAATTCGGACTCCAGACGCTGCTGGGTCTCCTCCCCATCCTCCTCTTCTTCATTATCCCTCTCGTCACCTCCATCTTCTCCGGTGGCTCCTCCACACCCGCCACTCCGCGCATGGTTTTCGACGACCCCAAGGCGCCCTTCACCGAGGGCCGCACAACACCAAACCTCAACGTCAAATACTTTGTCATACCGTCCGACGTCGCCTCATATAGCAAGTCCAAGTTGACCCAGCTGGACCGTACGGCCGAAATCAACCTTGTGCGGCAACTGCGGTACGAGTGTGAAAACGAAGCCATGCACAAGAGACAATTGAGGGAGAATGCCATGGGGTGGTTCTACCAGGATCCGGAGAAGATGGCCGCTGCGGATGCATACAAGATGCCCGCGTGCCAAAGGCTAGAGACGCTTGGCGTGGGCCGGTCATAGGATCAAGGGGGAAGACGAAAAGAATTATAGGCATTAATGAGTGAGAAACAGGCATTAAAGACATTGATATGATATTTTATATACTTTGGAGGGGAAACGACTGCGGGGAGTTGGCGTTTTCTTTGTACGATGGCGTGAGAACTAGGTATGAATGAACCTTGCATGGCAGACATGACATGAGCGAGTTGATGCGATGACGATGAGCTTGCGAGGGATACATGTAAGAGACGGACTCTACTATATATATATCTCTATTCTTTTTTATACGCTACGGCGTGAGATTGGATGGAGGATTATGAGAAGGGGTGGTGAGAGGATGAAGTTTTATTCTATTCAATTGAAGGAGAGACAGTTGACTTGGCCATTTGAGAGTGATGATGAATATGAGTAGATGTGTCTTTACATAGGTACCTTTCCATATAATCAACAGCAACTCAATGTCAATATTCACAATCATCCTCTTGTGCATCAAGTGGCGGTACATTTACATGGGGGCCATGCATGTGAGAGAAGCTATTGATTCAGCTGAGCATCACCACAAAGCCTAGCCCTTCTCGTCCCTTCAACAGCCTCTAATTGACCCGCCAGGCCAATATTATCATCGAGATGCTGCTTGTAGCTTCACTGATTGGCCTGATGCTGCTGCCCCGCCAAATATCCCGCGATGCCCAATATTGGTGTGTATCTGCGAGCATTTAAAGCGTCCCCGCTCCGAGATTCTTGTACTTGGATTCTTTTTCTTTCTTTCTTTAATGCTTTATAACTGTATATCTTGATTCTTTGTAGTGAGACATGGCGGACTCGGAAGGTAAAACAATTCTGCACATCAACTTTGGCGACATCACCGACCAGCCGCTGTCCCTCAATGGAGCCACATCACGCAGATATCGCTTCCTCGACGGTGATGCTCTCGCCCATAAATCGACAATCCGCGTCTTGGAATACGAAGATCTTCCCTCAGTTCCCTATGCTGTCATCTCATACGTCTGGAGGGGTCTCTCTACTCATCCTGATGAGAAATCTCCGCTTCCGAGTATTCACGTTACAGGTGCCGAAGGCGCGGACCCGATATCTGTGGATGTTCTGAGACTTGTTGCTCTGGCTGCGGAACGACATGGGTGTGATCTAGTCTGGCTGGATGCTTTGTGCATTCTTCAGGCAAACGAAGATGACAAGGCGTGGCAGATCCAGCGCATGTACGACATTTACCGCTCTTGTCAGGAGTGCATCGTTGCCCCTGGTGGTCTTCAAAGACTAGTCTCCCTCACAGAGGAAACTTCGTGGGCAAGTCGGGCGTGGACCCTTCAAGAAGCCATTGCGCCGCCTTCAGTGCACTGCTTGTTTGCCTGGGACCGCGGCGACTGTTATATCCAATCGAACATGTTTGTGGAGGTGAAGGAGATTGAGAAGGATGTTGCAGCCATTGCGCCACTAAAGTCTACACTGGAAATGGCCATGAAGGGGAGCGGCGTAAGCATGCACGACGTTCAAGGAAACAAGATGGAGCTGCCATCTGAAGACTTCAAGATTGAGATTTTCGGCGACATGTCTCGAGATGGACCTCGTGTTAGGGAACTGATTGATGCGATGGACATGAAGGGCAGGACGGGCATGTTTACTGCAATCTGGCGGTCCTCGTTTATGCGAGCGGCGAAATACCCTGTCGATACGGTGTTTAGCGTCATGGGTATCATGGGCGTGACGCTTGACACGAGCAAATTCAAGAATGAGGATCGGCTGGGGGCGACGATTGCTTTGATGCAGGGAATCTTGGCGAGGGGGGAGCATGCCGAGTGGCTGGCCATTGCGACGAAGACGCTGCCGAATCCAAAGTTGTCGACGTTGCCGGTGTTTCCTCAGGTTGATGCCGCGCGGAGACCTGTATTGGAGACCAAGGACGGGATGAAGGATATTGGGGATGTCATGGACTCTGGCTGGAGACTTGCAAACACGCCAAAGGGGATAATGAGGGATGATGGGTATTTCCGGTTCAGCGCATTGGCGACGTCTGTGAATCAGAGCAACGAGGAAACGACGTCTGCAACCGTGTTTAACTCTGAGAGCGCTGGAAATTGGGAAGTCGTTCCAGAGGGGAGCGGGTCGCATACGGCTGTCTTGGTCGGTCAGTGGGAGCAGTACAACAATGGATCATTCGCAATGCTCATGAATCCATGGAACCGATGTCTGATGATATTGAAGGAACATGCTGCGGGCAAGTTTAGTAACGTGGGATATGCGTTTGTCAAGGAGGAGGTTGTGCAGACGGGCACTTGGAAAGAGAGTCTATTCGTGGTTGGAGGACCGAATTGAACGGGGGAAAGGCGAGTTCTTCGTGAAATAGAACGACGGATGAACCAATGAGCTCGGAGCGGACATGGAGGCGGCACGGAGGCGGACACGGATGCGGTGTGGATACAGGAGCGGACACTGCAACGGTCAACAGCGGAGTTGAATACGCCTTTGGAGATTGGGAGTCGTATAGCGGTGGTTGAGCGGACTAATGAGATAGAGAAGGGACTGAGTGATTTTATCTTTGTTGAGACGGAATTATGAGTTTGTATTGATGAAGTAATGCGGCAATTCTTTCATTTGTAAAGTTTTGTTTTCCTTGACTGTTTTGCTTAATGTCGGTGGGAGCGTTTCAGTATTTAGAGTCCTGTTGTTATTAATTGTCATCGGGTTTAATTGTCCAACTTGTCGTTCGGAATCCGAAACACACTCTGGTCAACTACATCCGATCAGATAAACCGACAGAAATATAACCTTTGTCAACTCCTATTTCTCAGCTAGTTGAACAACCTTCTTAATTCAACTCTCATGATTCTGTCTACATGTATCCACTACGGGCGATTACCCGCCTAAATCTCGATCACTCGAGATTTCCCGTTTGGGTAATTATTTCTCCTTTAGCCTTCACTTCTCACAAGCGGTGTAATTCCGCATTTGTCAGCCCTAAGCTTTACGCCCCAGAGCAATGATTGACCATCCAAAAAGCGTATGAAATGAAGGGCGGAAAAAAGAATAGTTCTAGACTATTCTCTAGCTCTCTATGTCCGTACTGCAACCTTGAAGGAGATGGGCAGACTCAAAAGTCTGATCATAGCTCCGCCCTGCTCGAGTTGAGAATGACAAGCTAGTCTAAACTCCGAGAGTCTGTCTCCATGGACAGTTGGTTATGCCCGATGGATTTGAGAAGGGTTGTCGATCCGAATTTATAATCTATCGAGATTGGAAATCTGGGCAAAGAAGGGTTCATGGTTCGTTTGTGGTGGATTGGTTGGACTTGACTGTGTCGCGATTCAATGTTGGCGCGAGAGTGGGTTGAAGATGAATGCGAAGAGTATAATAGATGCAGGATGCCATCATCAAGAATGACGTTTTGAAACACCATCAACAACAATATTTCAAGACATCTGCCCATCTCATCATCACAAACTTTCAAACAACTTTCACAACAAAGTCAACAAATCAACACCATGGCCATCCCAGAGACTTTCAAGGCCTACCGTCGCACCACTGGCGCCCATCCCCTAACCATCGTCCCAACCACCGAAACCACTACCAAAAACCTCGGTCCCAAGGATGTCCTCATCAAAATCCACTCCGTCTCCCTCAACTACCGCGACATTGCCATGCTCAGCGGCGTGTACCCGGCCAACGTCGTAGAGAAGGGCATCCCGGCCTCTGACGCCTCCGCCGAAGTGGCCGCCGTGGGATCGGCCGTGCAAAAGTTCAGGGTCGGAGACCGCGTTTCGCCAAACTTCTTTGTCAACTTCCTCACGGGCGAGGAGGAGGAGCCGGTGCAGGGCCTGGGAGGAGACGTCGAGGGTGTTTTGGCCGAGTATGCGGTCTTCTCAGAGGATCTGCTTGTGGGATTGCCGGAGTATCTGTCTTGGGATGAGGTGAGGCGTCAATTTTGTTGCCAGCTCGTTTTGTATTGATTAAAGTGGCCGGACTAACTGGATTATGTGCAGGCATCTACCATTGCTTGTGCTGGTGTTACCGCATGGTCTAGTGTTGATGGGCTGAAGGGTCTATCGCCAGAGAAGGACTATGCCCTTCTCGAAGGTAAGTTTTGCTCGCCAGCACTTCTATCCCTATTACGTACCGTCGTATTGACTATATGCTCTTTCTTTAGGCACTGGCGGTGTCAGCATCTTTTCCCTCCTCCTCCTCGTCGACGCCGGCATCAAGACCATCATCACCTCCTCCTCAGACGCCAAAATCGCCCAGCTCCAGAAATTGAGCCCCCTCGTCATTGGCATCAACTACAAGACCACCCCCGACATTGCCGCGGAGGTCCAGCGCATCACCAACGGCAGGGGAGCCAAGATTGTCCTCAACAACATTGGCCCGGCATCCATTCCATCAAACATTGATTCCCTGGCGTCGTGGGGTTCAATCAAGATTGTGGGATTCCTTGGAGGATTCACCGGGGACTGGAACCCGAGTAAAATCCTCGAGCTCCTGTGGAGGCGTGCCAATATCCAGTAAGTATTGCTATTGACAAGATGACAAGTCTTGACGGTTCGTGGCTAATATGAGTGTAGGGGCATTGCTGTTGGCTCGAAGCGTGATTTCGAGGATTTGAATGCTTATTTGGAAAAGCGAAAGATTAGCCTTGCGCCACTGCTGGATCGTGTGTTTACGCTTGATGAGACCAAGGAGGCGTTTGACCACATGATTGCTGGCCGCCACGTTGGAAAGATTATCATCAAGGTGGCCGAGTAAATGTGCGATCATGCAGCTTAGAAAATATGTTTATAAGGAACGCGAATGCTCTAGATTGAATAGACTTTGTTTTTAGAATCCGCTCGTGCAATCGGCAGTCATCTCATACAAGCACATGTCGAGGATAAAGAAACAACCCGGGTCAGAATATCCATTGACATTTTGACTAATAAAGGATATGCTGATCTACATATTTATAAGGTACAGACTTTAGATAATCGGTCCTGCCATCGTCAGCATGACGGGTGGTTGACTTGGCAATTTCCACCGACCCAGCCACTACAAGGATCTCATGAACATCACGGGTGATCCAACCAAGAGACGGAATTTTTTCGAGAAAGGTTTGGCAAGAGATTGCAGATATATGTGGCTCCATGTTAGAGACAAGGATATGTTTATGGTGGATGTATAAACAGCCTTTCATAGGATATACGGATGTCAAGATGCCGCCGCAAAGGTGACAAAGCTGCTACTTCTGCATGAACAGGACTTTTAGCGGTGATGAGTAGGTTGACGAGTTCGGTGAATTCTGCGCCGCAGCACACACAACGGACTTGCAGCCGCCGAATCTCGAGCAGACGTGGTGCGGTGAGTCGATGATGCGGGGGATCATCCGGAGAAGGACTCCGCTCTTGAACACATCCTCACGATTATTGCAGCTTACCAATTCGCGGGGAGCTACGTGACCGGATTAAAGGAACGAACAAATCCTCATAATTGGCGGAATGCAAAATGTGCGAGGCCGAGCGAGCGCCCAGCTAGGATGCCATTCGGCGGTTCGGCCACGAGCGGCCCGAATGATCAACGTCTTGATGTGAGAGGCCAGACACGTCAAGTCGACTCATTTTGAACCAACACGTGGACTCGTGATCTGGAACCACACTCTCCGACTGAGTTCTAGACTCTCGCCCCATGCGTGTGTGCGGCGAGGGAAGGGAACAGTCGGCGAGATGAGTGAGTCCGAGGTGCATGAACACGGGTGGAGAGCTTCAAGCTGGGTGGATATGCATACGACGCAATACGCAGAGGGTCGGATGGATGTGATTGGGGGCAAGAGATCTCGGTCTTTGGGTTGCCTCGCAGATGTGTTGCGGAAGTCATGGCTTCACTTGGCGGCAGGGTGCCGAGAGGGAGTGGTCAGTTGGAGTAGAGGAAGAGCCCAGAGCAGCAAAGACTACTGCTAGAGAGCGCATCGTAGCATGGAGATTCGTGACAGCATTCAGAGAACTGGTAACGACATCGACAGCGCCTGGGAGATGGCAATCTAGTGCACCACTCCGCGCAATAACGACGGTGGCAAACAACTCTGCGTAAACGCGCGCGAGCTGGCTGTGAGGCATTTCAACTCATGGAAAGAATGAGAAGAACAGAGAGTCTTTCCGGATCCAGATAGCAACGGAGATTGTTCGGTGCCTTGTGTATCGGTAATGACTTACTCAGAGGGTTGGTTCGATGAGAACTGGGGTGCTTTCAATGCTGCGTCTGGAGAGCTAAGTTCGGGTTGAATGAACCTGCTGACACGTCTCGATGAAGGAGTCTTTGCAGAGTTCAAGTTGTAAATTGGAAGAAAAGGTGTGGAAATAATTCGCCTTCCATCATCGTCAGCTGCTTCTACATACATAGCAACCACATCCAAAAGCATTGCTGGGCGGCAACGACGTCATCGTGGCCAATTCTGCGGCTGCATGTAAGGCTATCGAGCTCCGGTGGATCAACCCGGGCATCACATGATGGTTCCTGGCAGCTGCTTTAATTCAAATCAAGAGTCATGCAGGGCAACTTATTTTCTGCTAGAGCTCGAGGGGAAAGAGAAAAAAAGAGGACACGAGACAGGGACCCTGCATTAGCGAGGCGTGCGGCGGCGGGATCATCGATCGGGGACCCGGTGATCCGGCTCGGCAGGCTGAGCGGGAGCCAAATCGAGCAACAGGGCCAAAGTCGGCAATTCCAGGGTTTTGGGTTGATTAAGCATAGAGAATACCGGCTTGTGTAATACCAAGTTACGGGAGTAGTAATCTAACTTCCATTGTAATTTGGTAATGGCTATCCGGCGGTAACTCGTAAATACATGTAACCATCTGGGCAATAACCTGGGGATAACCGGCCAACTTTTGTTTTGCTGTGCCGAGGCAATGTAAAAGCCTAGGTTAGTAGGTACAGTATTACACACTTCTCGCATTAACACAGGGGCTTAGTTATTAAGCACACTCGGAATGTGTCAACTTTTTTCATCTGCTTACTCGTACCCCAATTTCATCTCGGGGAAATGCAGGGTCCCGACAATTCTCCGCCACTCGTCATCGACCACTAGCCACGTTGCTACGCCCCAGCCATGAGCCACTGAGGCGGTGCATTCTGTGGCGCAGCTCTCAGTTCGGTGCTTGGGCATGGAAACAAAAGGAGGGGCAGTCGATGGCGCTAGTCCCAGAACGGTATGGAAAGGGGGGTAGGCAGAGGCCGCCGTGACGTATTACCAAGCACCTGCCGAAGGTGCCCGAATCACCGACAGGGGAGGAGCAGCAGGTCGCCCTTGCCGCATCGCAGCAGCGCATCGCATTCGTATTGCACTGTGGAAGGTGGAAGGAGCCATGAGTAATGAGTAATCCCGAGCTGGCAGCTTCTCTTTTGCTCGTTTCAACGCCGTTTAATATTAGGCTATTGACAGCTTAACTTTCTCCATCTCGATTATACGCGTAAATACGGAGGTTTCTTATTGCTTAGCACCAATATTTTGGGTATACGTACGCATCCCTCTTGCCTTGTCCTTATTAAACGGCCCTAGCACGGCTGAATATATATATAGCGACGCCTCCTGCCTGTCGCATCTCCGGGGGGCATCACCTGTTAGATTTGTCATCAGCAAACTCTCCTCTAAACAACTCAATAAAGACAAAGGAATATATATAGGTGCCGCTCGGTGTTTGTATATATTTATTACACTTGACGTCACCATCTCTAAAGATTATCTTTGATCTTGCCTTTAATATCCTCATACAACCTACTATAGCATACAGGCAGGACGACGACACACAACAACAACATGACTGATGTCGCATCGCCTCGAAACAACCACCCGACTCTAGACCACGACAACAATAACAATAACAACGACGCAGCTTCACCGCCGTCATCAACAAACAGCCTCATCGGCAATAATGAAGCGATCGGCGCAGAAGCCACCGGCGACATGCAAGTAGACGCAGCCCCGTCAGCACCGTCAGCGTCAGCGCCGGACATGGACCAGCTGCATCACGACGACATCGACAGCGAGGGCGAGTGTGAGAGTGAGAGTGAAAACGCCGCCGATCGGGAGACTGTCAGCATCACCGTGTCGCATCGAGGCCACAAGTTTCCCTTTGAGATCGAGGCCGATCTCACCGTCACCGACTTGTTCCGCGAGATTGAGAGTGTCCTCGAGATTCCCTTTGAGAACATCAAGGTCATGGTGCCCAAGGGCCCCTTCCTCAAGGCGCCCTTCAAGGATCCCGAGTATCAGGTCAAGAACCTCGCTGGAAAGACCGTCACCGTCATGGGCTCGACCTCTGCCGACGTCCAGGCCGTCCAGGCCATGTGCCAGAAGCTCAGCAAGATGAAGGCGGCACGGGAAGCCCAGCGCTCCAAGGCAAAGGCTAAAGGTCCGGCTCGGCGTCGCGGGCTGCAGGCTGCGGAAGACTCCAAATATACTTTCTTGCAGGTTCGACCGCTCTCCGGATTACCGCATCCCGAGCGCAGTCTCAAGCTGCTGAACCGGCTCAAAGAGGACCCGGGTATCAAAACAGCTATGCGAAAGCACAAGTTCACTGTCGCTCTTCTTACGGAGATGGAGCCGCTGGCGCATACGGAAACGACACACGAGGGAACATCGCGCATTTTGGGTCTCAACCGCAACCAAGGCGAGGTGATTGAGCTGCGACTACGAACTGACGCCCACGACGGCTATCGTGACTACAAGACGATTCGCAAGACGCTCTGTCACGAGCTCACTCACAACGTTCATGGGCCTCATGACCGACAGTTTTGGGATCTCTGCCACCAAATTGAGCGCGAGGTAGACGCCGCCGACTGGAAGTCTAACGGCCGGACAATCGGCGAGACATCTCGATACCACATCTCAGGCCAAGACCAAGACGAGGAAGATGTTCACGAGGACGACGGCGGCTGGACTGGTGGCGAGTTTGTCCTGGGCGGCAGCAAAGCGAGCAGCGCAGGACTCAGTCGGCGAGAGATTTTGGCGCAGGCCGCGCTGGACAGACAAAGGAAAGAAGAGGTTGAGGAGTGTAATGCGGAGAAAGGCTGGCGGCCGTGCCAGAGACCGCAGCCGAACAATGACCGCAACTTGTGAGGTTGAAAAGAAAGTGTGAAGAAGCATTTGCATCAGTTGGCGTTATAATGGCAGTGGGGATCAAAGCAGCTGTTTTTTTGATTTGTTATTTGTAACCTGGGAGCGTGATGGAACGGGGTATTGCCCCGGCTTGTAAATTTAGATGGAATCATTGCGCAGCGGATGAAGACGAGGAGATTACTTGCTCATCATATCATGTCATATTGTTTACATAGGTACTACTATCAGGTACTACATCAATCTCGACCAAATCATTTCACTAGCTTACACTCACATACACTTGTCAAAGTGACTGAACCTTTCTCGCGTCTCCTCAATACGGCAGCGGATCCAGGTCCAAGCCGTCAACCGTCAGCTTGAATGCGTCGTTTCTCGAGTAGCTTCCCGCCGCATCCAGATCGAGTCTGCCGCGGATACAATCACGCAGGTCAATGTCGGCGAAAATGATGCCATCTTCGTCTTCCCACTGCGGACCAGCGAGGACATCGCCAAACGGAGACACGATGGAAGAGCCTCCGCGAGAGAGGAAGTGCGGAGCTTTGGGAGCGGCGGCGGGCTGAGTTTGGTTTTGTTGCTGGACTGGTTCGTCTTCTTGTACTTTGGGGAGTTGATAGTTCTGCAGCTGCTGCATCCTCTGCTGCTCGTCTGACTTTCGCGACTGCTCCTCTCCCTGCTTCTCGCCGTTATCCGCCGGGCAAGACAGCACAATCTCGTTGCCGTCCTCGTCAAACACGCTCTTCCGCCGCCCGTGCCTCACCTTTGGCGGCGGCACCGCAAACTCGAAGCCGTCGTCGGCAACGACCGCGGAGCTCTTCCGGCCGCTCCGTCTCGAGCCCCCGGTCACCGGCACGACATCCCGGTCGCCCGCGTCGGCGGAGTCCGGCTCGCCCCGGACGCACATGTTGCTGCTGACGACGAAGCAGCGGCCCTCGATGCCGATGGTGCGCATCAGGCTGAGCCAGCCTTCGCGGCCGTCGGCGGTGGGGGCGAGGTAGAGGTTGATGTTTTGGGCGTAGAGGGATTGGCGGAGGAGAGGCATGTAGTTTTCCCAGCAGATGGCGGCGGCGAGGTTGATGCGTTGGCCGCGGATGAAGGTCGTGACGGCGCGGAGGGTTGAGGGATGGCCTTGAGCCCACATGAGACGCTCGGTGCCGGTCTTGTAAGAGATGCATATATTAGCCGGATGTACTTGTATAAGATGCAGCGCAGCATCGTGAACCAGTAGTTCAGTTGAGTTGAGTTGAGCTTACCGGCATCACCTTGCGACGCTTGCCCATGATGCCCTCCTTGGGACACACATAGACCGCCGCGCAGTACAAGCTGCCTCCCGCCTTCTCAATGCACCCCGTCACAAAAAAGACGCCCGTCTCCCGCGCAATCCGCTCCAACTCCTCTCGCGAGCCATCGCCTCGACCGCTGCCGCCGAGCTCGTAACCAGGCAACTCCCTCCTCACCCACTTCACGCCCGCCCCGGCACTTCCATCGCCAACGGTGTCGCCGAGATCGATTGCCTTGTCAAAGTACTGGGCAAAGGATTCCCGGCCCTCGGCGGTTCGGCTGCCGACGACGCAGCCAAAGGACGTGCCGCGCGGGTAGCCGCCGATGAAGGCTTCTGGCAGGACGAGGATGTCGATGCGCTGGGCGGCGGCGCGGGAGACGATGTCGTGGAGGTGGGCGATGGTGAGGGGGGTTGTGGCCTGGGTATTGGGTGAAGCTGTTCCCACACGGATGGCCATGGTTGAAGGAATGTATGTATCACGGAGGAAAGGGGAAGTACAAGATGGAGATGGAGATGGAGATGATGTTGAAAGGTTACAAGTTTGGATGATAAACTACAAAGACAAGACACAGCAACAATGGGGAGAATGAGGAGATAGAATGCAAACAGCTTGCTTGTGCCCGCACTTCTCTTCTCCAAGCAGAAACAAACGCTTTAAGCTTTTGCGCCATGTAAGCTCAGCTCATCGACATCATCCTTAGTAACCCACACGCAAAACCGCCTTTTGCCGCTTCCAGCTGGTTTTGTTTTTTGCTCTCCTCACTTATTTCCATTCTGGGATCGTCATGGTACCATTCCCTTGCCTCCCCTGGGAAATGTCGCCCGAGCATCTCGAGACTTTTACGTACTTGTTTTTTTGATCCACCGCTGTATATCAATACAATAAATTGAGAATTTTTTTTTTGGATCAAAAGAGTCAGTTTGAGTCGTTTTGAAAAGATCCCGAAGTCGGCCGATGAGCTGCGTGCGGCATGTGCGGCATAATTTGATGGTTTTTGGATGTTTGCGGCTTGGTGGAGGGGTTTGGAGTCTAGATGCTCGGCGACTGAGCGGAGGAAGTGGATTGCTCAGCATTAGCGTTGAATGGAGGTTGTTGATGTTCTTTTTATGTTGGTGATAATACTACACGTAGCTTGGTAACCCTGTTTTCGAGTGATTGGCAGTTGTATTAGAATGAGGTTGTCTATTACCGATGACTCTGAATATTCTCAACCAATCTCATCCATCATCATCGAAGCAGCCAAGTATTTATCCATTGGCAAACAATCATCAATCAAAGGTCCTCGTCTGAAATCTTTATGGCAAATGGGAGTCCTGATGCACGCCCAATTACAAGTTTGGATCCAAAAGCAAACACCTGTTTTGGCCGATATTCCGGCAATATCCATAGCAGCTTCTCACGATTCCTCATGATCCAGGCGCCGTCGGGACTGATGTGATACTTAGTTAAACAGTCCTTCCAGTTTTTGGACTCCGGTAATTCGACGCCCATGGTGAAATCAAAGTTAATGAAGCTTGTGTCCAGTGACCAACTCGGCGGATATGCTTGATTGAACGTCCTCAAACAGGCACCTGTTGCCACATCCCAAAACGCCCCTCGCCAAGAACGAACAGCTGCAAGCCGCTTTCCATTTGGGGAGAAGGCTAACTCTGGAGTCGGGATGAAATAAAATTCGTCAGGAAGAGTCAAATGCAGCTTCTCCGTATAAAAACGCATGCTATAATCATCGTCATGGCCTGTCCAAGCAAATTGTTCACCATCAGAAGATATAGCTACGTCAGTAGGGAGACACCGGTATATCTGTTCCTGCTGCAACTCTTTCAACAGTCGGCCTGTACGAGACTCCCAAACCTCAACTCTCAAAGTTGTTAGGCCTATTATGAATCTTTGACCATTTGCCGAGAGGGCGATAGAGCATATGGATGGATGATTGGGATCGAGAGGCAAATTGCACGAAGGTAAAAATTTCTCCGACTCTGCGTCCCATATTTCAATACGCTTTCGATCATCTGAAACTGCTGCAAAAATGCTTCCGTTCGCAGAGATTGCTATTTTACTGTAGGCCTTTTTAAAAGGTTGTGTAATGCATTTGTTTCCAGAATCGTCCAGCAACTGGATTCGAGATGTTCCAGTAGAAATCATAGCGAGTCGTTGGCCACCCTTAAATATCAAGTTATGTCTGGTGCTGAAAAAGGATGCGATTTTCTCCTCGTAATCTTTTAGTTGAGCGTCCCATATTTTAACGATGCGGTCAGAAGAGGCTGAAGCAAGCCATGCTCCGTCTGGTGAGAATGATAAGCAATCGGCACCATCCTGATGTCCTGTAAATGCTTGAAGACGAAAGTGTTTTTTCCAATCCCAGATGCTTATTTTTCTATCCCCATGTGTTGCTATTCCAAGCAGATGACTATCTTGTGAGAATGCCAATGCAGATATTCCATTGACTTCACTGAATACCTGCAAACATATAGTCGATGAAACGTCCCAGATCTTGGCCTCTGTGGGACTCATCCCAAATGCAGGGCCCCCCTTCATAGATGCAAAATACCGATTATCTTGTGAGAAACACGCGTTCAAACCAGATGAGTCAGATGTGGCTCCTTTCAACGTTTTAGGCGAACGAGTTGTTTTAGATTTCATGTCAAGAATCCTGATTTCGCCTTCAATTGCATATGCGACCCATTGACCGTCAGGCGACAGGATTGTTGGCACGCTGTGAAATGGAAGATTGGTTTCTTCCTCGCATCCACGTCCCAGTTCTAATTTGAGAATGTTACGTAGTCCAGTGCCCGTCAGAAGAAGTCTTTGCTCATCCTGAAAGACCACTGAACCCGTGTAAAACCGCTCATGTAGCGGAACGTGTTGCGTCAAATCCAAGGTTTGCAAACAAACATCTCGACGTATGTCCCACACCGAGATGCATCCAACTGCCATGCAAGCAAGCTTGCCGGCCTTAGAAAACGCCATGGCTATGATCCGACGTTCCCGTTGGCCATCCATAGAGAAAGTCTGCAGGCAAGTACCAGATATAGAATCCCACACTTTGACTATGCCGTCCGTATCTGTGGACGCTAGAATACCATCAGAGGAAAAACTGACGCATTGAATATTCTTGACGTGGCCTTCAAGTGTTTGTAAACACGAACTCCACTGGGAATCAATATTTGGTATGCGAGAGATCCATTTGGCGCGAGATGCGTCGAATCTTTCTCGAACAAGGCTCTTAGCCGGAGCAAATGTTAGAACGGAGCTGTAGAGCTGCAATGGCGCAGCGTCAATGACGTGTCGGAAAGACAGAATAAGTCGCTCGGCATCTTGTAGAAATGCTTTGACTTGTACTCCATCGGAGGGCTGTCAAGGTCAGCATGTGCGAGCGAACTAGGATTGGAAAATGTACTGACATGTACGACATCTTTCAGCTCTTTGATCAGCGACGCGATTTCTGAAGTTCGTCCCAGCAAACTCATTGCTTCAAGCCAGTGGAGGAGATGGGAGAGTAAGAAGGAATGCCAATCATCGCCGTCTTTGACACTTGATTGACTCCTTTTGACGTGAAAAAGCCAAAATCGGCAAGCGTATTGTACCCCTTGCGATAAGCATTCATTGACTTTTTCCACTGCAACCTCGTTTCGATGCGTTCCAGGTGTTTTCAATTTGCACATGTTTTCCCGCAGGGCACCACATAGAAGCTGGTGGCAGCGAGATGCCAACAGGGTATGGATTCCTATAGGATTAATTATCAACTTCTTTTTGGTTCCAGGCCCGGCGAGAAAATCTCTGAATGACTCATGAAACAATGTGATCGGTGACTGAATGTCTTGTTCTGCTGGAACTACAAGAACTGACTCAAAAAGCTGTAGTTCTTCGCGAATCTCTGTCTCAGGCAGCTTGAGAAGCTCGGCTAGGCATCTGACTGTTACGGCATTCGCTAACAAAATGACCGAGCCAATAATCTTTTGAAAATATGCTTCTGCTTCCCCGTAGCATTGATCATCGAGGTCATAGAATCTTCGCTCTATGATGGAGCCATATAACTTGTGCAGGTCACCAGAAATTTTAGTTTCCAATATGTGACGAAGGCGACCTCGAGGCCCTCCCGGCATTTTTGTTTGTTTAATAAAACGAGTAGAGAAGGCAGCGAATTCAAATAGCGGACAGGCTCGCTCTGTAAGTTTCTCGAGATTTTCCACGTCAGAGGGATTGGACCATAGATCACCCCCTGGAAGCGGGTCTAAGAGGCCATCGATCTTTTCCAACTCAACCCGCAAATAACGTTCAATGTCTTGCTTGATAGTCGCTGATGTGGATTTTTCAAGCTCTTTCATCTCGCATCTCTCCTCAGAGATATGATTAAAACTAGATTGCGAGTGATGATCAAAGCGGCTAGTCAGAAAACATTTGACTGGAAGTTGAGTAGAGTAGCCATCTTGGGATTGCGTGAGCTGCTGAACCAGGCCAGTTAGATCTTCGCTCGAATCACATTCGTCGTGAGCGTCAACGATAATGATTATAACTTTAGACTTGTTGCGTTCTTGCTTCCGCAAAGGTTCCTGAATAAATTTCTTGAATTGAATCCTTGGGTCTTGTTCTGGAAGCGAAGGATCTGACTCCAATGCGTCTTGGACAGCTTTGGCGAAGCTGGGCCATTGCCTCACAAGCTGAGCGGCTAAAGTCGTAAAAAATCGCTTGAGTTTAGCTCGATCGCCTTCGCCTCTTTTGAAAAAGAAGTTGGCAGCGATGCGGTTCTGTCCAGCCACCCTGCTGGCAATGGTGCGTGCAATGGTAGATTTCCCCGTGCCGGCTTTGCCTTGAAGCCAGTAGAGATACTTTTGCGACGAACTACTGTCATCAAGCCAGTCGAAAATATCTTTTAATATCTCTTCTCTCGTTTGAGGGAGACATTCTGAATGGCCTCTTCCGTATTCGTCGAGCCCAGGGTGAAACTCTGCATCGGCAGCGGTAACGGATATTAAACGGTCGAGGACAGCTTGTTGAAGCGTATTAATCTTAGGTGGTGTTGTACTGTAGTTTTCAGTTGAGAGCAAGACTTCGTAATGTTAATGATAATTATTACTTACGGTTGTATCCGATGCAACTGTACTGTGAGCTCTTTGTATAAAGGATCCTTCAAGCTAACGCACTTATTCAAGCCAGTGTGATCTGTATCGACTTCAAAAACGTCGGCAAAGTTTGCACCAAAAGTGGCTGACTCCCACGGGACAATCTATTTTATGTGAGTTACTGTTTGAGTAAAGAAATCTCCTTCATCAATAGACTAACTTTACCAGCGTAAAGCCAATTCAGAAGGTATGTTGGCTTTTTTTCGCAGATTGTAACAATCTGGGTTTCTCTACCCTTCTTTTCTTTCTTTTCTCTAACACAAGCTTGGAAAGCTTTACTTAGATTCACAAGCATCTCTCCATTGCTTCTGAGTAAGAGTAGTAAACCAGTGTTTGAACCTAGGAAGCCAGTCAAGTAGGCAAGGGTGGCTCCAAAACCGGCAACCGGGCTGCCTAAATGAGGCGTTCCCAAGAAGATGATACCGCACGTGTCCTCCAAGATTCTCTGGGAATCCTCCGGATCGCTAGATAGTGCCTGTAAAGCATTGTAAGCAACTTAAGTTAGATTGTTATGTAAACAGGACGACATCAGGGACTGTCAACATACCTCCTTGATGACTATTCCACCAAAGCTATGTCCTACAAAAATTAGGGGTAGACGCTATATGCCATGTTAGTGGCATTTATTATCAATATCACCTATTCTTTCCTTACAGGATGAGTTTTTCTGTGCTCAGTAAGGGATTCTATGAGGCGAAGTCCAATGTCACGCGCCGATTCAAAGCAAGCGTCAACAAGCCAGTCTGAATTGTACGCAAAATGAAGAATTCGCGCGTCTGAAAATCTCTCATCTTTCATGAGCAAATCTTTAAGCAAATGAACAGAGTGCTGATTATCACTAGTTTTGTACTGTGAACTGGGTTTGCATGTCCAAGTGTGCTCAGGGCTAGCCCCAAGACCATGTACAGCAATGATCCTAGACTATGAGCTATTGGACACCAAATCAATGCAGAGATACGACATACTCATACTTGACAGGACCATCATCAGATTCATCAGAGAGGATCTGAAGGCCCATTGAACGGCCATCTCGTCTTCGAATCTTTGCGTAGAGGCGATACAACAGAGAGGCTACCAACGGCAGCAGAAGAAGAAATGTCGTGATTGCTTCTCGTGCAGTTGGTTTGCGAGGCATAGGAATCCACTGCATGAGAGGCATATTCATCACTGAAGTCGGCTGATTGTTAGATTACTTTCTAACACTAAGTCGCGGGTGTGTCGAGTAGAATGTGTCGAGTCCCATAGGAACTGAGATACTGGGCAGTCAGTCGCAGAGTTGGATTTCTCCGCAGCAGAGGCCCAGATAATGATGACTACGTGTCTCAATTCTGCTTGGGCATTAACAACGAGCTGCCAAGAGCATCTTTCAGCCACCAAACGCGCGCCTCATTAAGGACCAATTGGATCTTACATGCAGAGGCGTGCAATAGAACTTTATGGGCCTTGGATTGCGACGAGACGGAAGCATTGCTACCTTGACCGGTCAGGCATAGAGTAGCAGCAGTGTTTGACCCCTCACGGTGCCTAATTGCCAATATATTGCCCATCATGATTGGGTTACGGGTCGGTACCACCTCGATCAGGCTGAGCCATGCATCCTAGACCAAGACGGAGTAGGATGTGAAGTACCTCAGCATCACCAATCATAATTGAGCGGAGAAACAATCAGATGACATGGACTTGTCGGAACTTTTCATTCAATCAACGACCTTGGGAATCCAACTGAGATGACATGCCAACTTGGTGGCGATCAAGAGATGGTTGTAAGTCGTTTGGGGGTTGAAAGTGAAGTGGATTAACCAAAGGCTTTATAATAGACAATAGCGCAATCCGATTCCAACAACTGGATCTGATCCGCTACACCGGCGCTAAAGCGCAGGTTTACATCTTCCGTAGTATAGTGGTCAGTATGCAAGCTTGTCACGCTTGAGACCCGGGTTCAATTCCCGGCGGGAGAGACCGCCAGCAGTTCCAAACTGTGAATTCTTTTTTTGCTATTGCGTTGATTTTGGTCAGTGAGAGTAGTTATGATTGTGATGAGAGAGTTCAAAGGCTCTTTCAACACCTTTTGTTACAGACGACGTTGTATTTTTTGCATTCACGTCCACTCATGATTTGTTTGAATACTTACATCACCACTCATTTGTATCATTATTACTTACATCTCAGTGCCGCTTCTTCAACATCATCTCTTCCTCGTCCTACTTGCCACCGGCGCCGGCTCAAATGCATCGTCATCCGAAATCTCATCATCGCTAATCTCAACCGCCTTGTCCTGTGTCGCTCCCTGCGAGAAACTGAGCTTCGTCTGCTTCGTCTTTGCCGCAGCAGCTCCCCTTGTAGCCGTCTTCTTTGCCGGCGCAGGTTTGCTAGCAGCAGCCGTGCTCTTTGCATTCTGACCACGTCTGGTGGTTCGTGTAGCTGGCTTTGGCGGCGGCGGCGCCACGTCTTCGTCTGATTCCATTATCACGTCTTCCTCCGGTAGCTCCTCTTCCTCTTCACTGTCCTCAAAAGCCTTGCGACCACGCCGAGCTGGCGCCTTCTTGGTCGCAGGAGCCTTCTTAGCTGGGGCGGCCTTTGCCGTGCGTGTCGTGGCTCTCTTTGTCTTCGCTGGCGGCGCTTCATCCATATCCTCTTCTACCATGTCTTCATATGTCCACGCGTCGGGAGCGTCCTCCCAGCTGCCATCGAAGTCCGAGTCCCATTGCTTTGGCCTAGGCTTCAAAACTCTCTTTCTCTCAGCCTGTGCCACTCTGCCCGTGCTGCCAGCGGTAGCCATCCTTTGCTCCATTCTCTCCTTGTAAAGCTCCATGGCATTGTTCAGATCTTCATCGTCTTGATGGAGTTGTAGCATTTGGTTAACCTGACCAGACAAGTGCTCCGACACGAAAAGTTCCATCGCATGCTTATCGTCCTTGGCAACGAATTGATTAACCGCCTCGCCAAAAGGGCCCTGTGGGAGGACTTTGAGAGACTGTGTGGCAAGCAATTGGTTGACGAGATTTTCCACTTTGACCACTTCGGAGCCGTCACCCAGAGATTCAATAAGATGCGTAGAGTCCGGGGCTGCCGCTTTGCCTACGGAGCTGTCAGCACAAAACTAGAGCGCAACACGGGGAGATGAGAGACTCACGCTGGACCACCTTCTTCCGGTGAAAATACACCACATCGTTGGTGTTGGCTACTTTGCCAACAAACCGATTCGAAAACCGTTGTGGATTCTCACATTCAAACTCGCCACCTTCTGGTGCGGTGTACTCAACTTTTAGGCGAATAAGTGGCAATGGCCGATCTTGCAAAGCCTCCTCATCCGTCTGAATAGCCTCCCAATCTTCGTTTGCCTCCGCAATCATCTCCTCGACAATCTCCATCAGCCGCAATGTAACCTCATGTCTATTGTCCTTTTTCTTGTCCAATCCTTTGAACCTTTTTTCTTGGGCGAGGGAGATGTCTCTCGTGACAAACGGCCGGACAGACTTGAGAGGAATCTTGTCAACTTTGAAGTCTTTGTCGTTAACGCTTACCACGGCGACGTGCTTCTGCACAGCCTCTCCCGGAACCAGCGATGTTGCCACTGATGATCCTGGCTGCATGACGTGGAACCCTGTCTCTGGGTTTTTTGACGGGTCGATCAAGCACTCGTGTTCGTGCCCCCAGACTACCAAGTCGAGCCAATCCGGAAGCACGTTCTCTGGTAGATATGATGTGGCGGTATGGGCATGGTGATTTTGATGGACAGCAAGCAGATTGAACCACTCGCCGGTTTGGGTGCCGGGACGAAACCACTTGACTTTGTGATCTCTAAAAGTTCTAAACATGCGCTCATCGCGAACGTTGCTCAACCCATACAAGGCAAGCTTCGTGTCGCCCTTTTGTAGGAGGATGGGCTTTGCCTCAATGTTATCCGCCTCTGCCACTCTGCCATAATAGTTGAGAAGACCAGCTGCCTGCAACAGGTCTAGTGAACAGTAGTTGCCATCTCCAGAGGGGTCATCGTGGTTGCCGTGAATGGAGAAGACGGGAATTGAGATGTTGATATCGGGATCTTCGTAGTTGACATGCGGAAACGCTCCTTCAAAGACATCGGCGGCGTCGGACAGGAATTCCAGCGGACAAGGCTTCATGCCGAGGCAGTTCTTTCGTAAAGTTCGCATGACCTGATAGAGAGATTTTCGAGAGGGCTTGTTGTCGTGGAATAGATCGCCGGCAAGCAGCACCATGTCGACCTGCGATGTGACGGGTGAGCTTGGAGACAAACAGAGGGTTACCACTGCAACAAACATCTTCTCTGCGGGCGAGCGTCATGATCTCGTCAAAGGTCCGCCAGCTGTCATCCTTGCGAATGGCATCTCGCTCTTCGTATCCGACATGGTTGTCCGTCGCCACCAAGATGCGAATCGTGTCTGCCTCTGCCAGATTGTAAGCGGGGCAGTTTATGAAGCTGCAATTTCACAGCTTGATCTTCAGCCAGAGCTCACCAGGAAACTCAGGGATGTCAGGCATGTTGATGTTGCCAATGGGATATTCCCGGGTAATTAATGTCCACAATCAGAATTCCATCGATCAGCAGGCGAAAAGAAAAGAACAAGGCGGAGTTTGAATCCCGTGATGGACGATGCGGCGTCTGCAGTCTGGAAATTCACGGTGGGAGACGCGATTGCTGTCAGTGCATTAACGCGCCATGATACGAAGTCACGTGCACCTCTTTGAGAGCTTAATGGACTGCTACCCTAGAACAATAAAGATTGATGAATTTCAATGAAACTGTGCCAAATCAAATAACTATAATTTGTTATTCGTTTTATTGCTCCAAGCGAGTTTATTAATATTATTATGAAAATAGTGTCATCAATTGTGAGGATGTAGTATTGATGTGGATGTAGCAGACTCATGATAACGCAGCAAGCGATAAGCCAGGTTTGTAAACACACGACATATTCAGCTCTATGATGAACTCACATCTAAACCACGGAGGTATACAAGTCATCTTAGTTATGATACGCAACCGCATCATCTCCAATCTCGGCAAAAACAGCATCAATCGCATCGACAACCTCCTGCGGAAGCGGTCCCTGCTCAAAAATATCCAAATTCTGCTTCAACTGCTCAATGGTCGAAGCACCAATAATGATTCCATCGCCATACTCGGCTGAAAGAGCACTGTGGTGAGCAGTCCATCTCAGTGCAGCTGCGTGGCCAGAGATGTTGTGCTTGGCGGCGATTTCTCGCACTCGGTCGGTGGCAGCCTCGATGCTTGGCTTGATATACTTTGAAGCATAGAATTTGCCCAGGTAGTTCTGAAGATTGTCAGCGTTTTGAGATGACAACTCATGTATACACGATGACTTACCGAGGTATCGTAGCGGCCTCCAGCTTGAACGTTCTTGTGGTTTCCGTTGAAGAGACCCGCAGCGGCAGGACTATTTGCAACTGAGTCAGTCATGGGGCGATTCCTTCAGATGAACTGTGATAGTGTGTACCTCCATGCATAAAATGCAATGTTGTGCTTGTGAAGCAGGGGAAACAGTTCCTTTTCTCCCGTCCTCACAACCAGGTTATACTGTCCCTGGTACACAGTCGGCTTTACAAAACCTCGTTCCTCGGATATCTTGAGAAACTGCTCGACCTCAGCGGCCGTGTAGTTGGACAGTCCAAATCGCTTGAATTTTCCCTCTCGGTAAGCCTTATCCATAGCTTCTGCCGTCTCCTCAAAAGGAACGGTTCGGTTGGGCTGGTGCAAGTACATAATGTCAACCTGAGAGACTTTCAAAGCCTCTAGAGAGTCATTAATGCTCTGAGCAATTTTATCTTTTGAATGAGCGCCATCTGGGCGAGAAACGACTTTAGTGCCAATGACGAACTTATCACCAACATTTGCTGCGCCGAGTCGAGGCTCGCAGGATAGCGGCGCATGTGGTGAGTAACCTCTGGCAGTGTCGATTTGACGGTATCCTCTCTCATAGAAAGGCTCGAGAAATGCCTGGACTTCTGCCGGGGAGTCAAACCTGGCTGTTGGATCGATGGACGTGTCGCCGATCTGACAACACACGTAGTTTAATATGCGTTTATAACAGTGTGGCTGCGATAGTGACTTACGTTGGCTACGCCCAAGACAATCTCGATTGGTGATTTCGTCATTCTGACAATTGCTTGTTTTCAAACCGATTTCAACGCTTTATTCAACAACTTGAATTTCAATGCCTTTGTGAAAACTCTCGCTTGATTCTGGCTTTTCTTGTTCAAAAAAGTCATTCCCATTAAGTGACTTATATACATGCCTTTTCACGAGATTCACGCCTTCTGATTATAAATCTACAACTCTTCATCGCGCTTCCTGATTGCGTTGTATGTTGGTTCGGTCCAATCATCTCTTACTTTGGGCAAGTGTTCTCAATACTGTTCACTAATCACATATTTACTTTGCGGAAACAACGCATTGACCTCATTGAAGCTCCATGGGAGGGAGTAGACTCTCCGATTGATTAGAGCTGACAAATGCGGGACTTTCAATGCGGAACTTTCAAGGCGGAACTTTGATACGGATTCGTGTGCAGGGCCTCGGATGCGGCTCCATGGCGTTATGTGAGCCGATGCAAGTCGCCAGAATGAGGCCATACTCGGACAACGATGATTATGTAAAGAAACTTGAACATTCTTATTTGACATGCTTATTTGCTGTCATCGAGTCAAATGGACGCCACCCAGATTCCGTTGCACCAATAGGAATAGCACCTCTGTTTGGCGATGAATCGAGAGCATCGTTGACCAATGGGGCTGGCACTGAATTTATAAGCGGAAGACCCTTGCCAGCTCGGAGTCCGTTAGCTAACAATGTCTAGTTGAACGAGGCTTTACCCTTTCCCCCTCTCTAACTATGGAGGTAACTATCTAGGAATGCCCCCTTGGGCTTCGTATTATTTCGCATCGACTTGAACCCGGGGTGCGTAGTGAGATTTGGCTCCGGTGGCTAACCACATCAGATGCACCATCCATAAGGAGTATTATCACCATGTACTATGTCGTCAAAGCTGCAATAAATATTGCAATCCTATGTAGCTGGTCTACCACAGCCGCGAGGGATTTTGTGCAAAATGGAATGTAATGAGCAGAATAAAGGGAATTGATGTAACTAAATTCCGAGAGGGTTTATTTTTTTACCTTTGATGCAGATGAAATTCCTTATCCATGGTAATACGGAGTAGATATCCCACAGTTGTATCTTCTGATAAACTGTCGTTTTGTTGTGTGGTGGCGAGCATGGTGACTATCATCAAGCTCAAGATCATCGGCGTTTATTTAAACAAACAAGATGATTGGTACATGTATCAGTAGAGCTACATGTACTTACTGCACGAGAGAGAAATACGAGTAAGCATGAGCTGGATCTGGAAGCTGTTTATATAAATCTTGTAGAGACCAGGATCCACATGCTATGTACACGTATTTCCTCTTTCATCTTGAGTAGCATGATACCCATGCGTGTAATATCAACATCACACGATATGGAATCGGACTTCATTAAGTAATGCTCGTCTTAGGCCAATGACAATGAATCAAGAGACCGTGCCTCGTTTCATATGATACCCACAGTATCGCATCTTACTTGCATTTGGGATCCCGCCTACCCGTGTAACCGAAGGAGGCCACGGCGATAGTATTGGCATTAAGTCGATTGTGGAAAGTCAGATAGTAACCCTAGGACTGGCATATACTGGATTGGTACATTATTTTCCGAATTCGGCCAATGCACGCAGGATACGAATGGAATAGATTGTTCTTGGCCAATCGAATGCAATCCTCGTATTAGCACTGGAGACAGTTATGCCTGATACCCGAGATCCTGTCAGATTATACGGAACACTTACTGAATACTATCTCTTGGCTCCCCACGTAGTGGAGAGGCCATCCATTCCCCCACGACCAGATCGAGATCACACGTATCCTCCCAAATCACGCAAACTGTTGCTCCTCAGCGAAATTATATAGATCTGTACTTTATTGTAACGTTACCGATTTTCGTAGGATGCTCGTCTCATATGTGCGTCTTGCATCTTGCATGTTGGAGTAAACGTAGTAACGAGATGGTGGGTAGAAGATTCGAAAAGCTTGTGCTTCGTATAAGTGGGAGACATCAAACAGCAGCCCATCTCAGGGTTGACAATTGGACTGCATCCATCACACTGCTACGAAACCACCATCATAAGCAATCATGTTTGACGACAAACCAACCTCTCGGCTGGCAAATGTCGACATACCCGTACAAGTCCAAAAGCCACACCTGCCAAATGGAATTAAACACATATCCCCTGAAAAGATTGACCATCGCACAGATGAGGAGATTGCCGCTTCCTTGCAGAAGCGCCATCTTGTCACCTCGGACAAGAACATCTGGGGTTTCTGGCATACGGGCTTTGCGCGGATGAGGCCTTGGGCACAGCGAAATGTAATCAACTGGGTGCGTCGGTTGGGTCCGGATTGGACTGTTCACATAGTTGATCGTGTGGATGGCTCAGAAACGAACGTCTTTCACTATGCTGAAGAGTCTTTCTTCCCAAAGACGTTTATTGACGGCACCATGGATGGCCACAAGGCCCATATGGGAGACCTGGTTCGTCTACCGCTATTATGGAAATACGGAGGCATATGGATGGATGTTGGCCTCATCCTCTTGCGGCACGTCGATGATATCTGTTGGAAGCGAATCGAGGATCCCGCGTCGCCTCATAAACTCAGCGCGCTGGCTTTGATGCACTTGCCGGACACTTATACTCCGCTCAATGGATTTTTGGCCACAAAACGCAACAATCCCTTCATCAAGAGGTGGCACGATATCTATGTTGCGCTCTGGACTGAGGGAGTCACCAATGCAACGGGCTTCCACAAACATCCACTGCTACGGCATTTGCCTATATTCCGCCCTCGAATGGAATCTCCGGGCTTGAAAAACATAAACATGGATTACGAAAAGTTTTCCGACTATGTAGCTCATTACATGTGTGCCGAGCGACTTCGAAAGCTCATCGACCCCAACGACGGCTTCAACGGCGCGGAATGGTATGAGAAGCATATGCTCTTGTTTGACGCCAAAGACGAAATGTTTCAAGTTCAAACACTTACCGATTGGGATGCACAGCTCCAATTCAGTCTCTTCTCACTACCGCGTTCTGGAGACGGCGCCGTGGTGGATAAGTCGTGGCATGAGGCTGAGGCTCTCGTGACATCTTTGCTGGCAAATACGTCCATGGTGAAACTTCCTCACGGACCGGGCAACGGTGGATTAAAAATTAACATGCTCGCTGATCTATGGGATGCTGAAGAGAATTCTAACAAAGATAATGAAGAAGGGTCGTTTGCTGCGTATCTGCGGTATGGATCGACTCATTTCGACCAGATACGGGAGGTGAAGAAACTTGAGTGGCAGAATCCAGAGGAACAAATTATTACGATTGGATATTTAGAGCCTGTGAAAATGTAAGTACTATCGCTTTCATCGTGTGTGCGGATTTCAATGATATCATGAAAGTTGGGGTGGTTATAAGAATTGTTCTTGGGAGATTGCACAAATAGCTGTAAAGACAGACTATCGCTGCGTCACATCAATAAACTCCAATCCTGATTTAGACTCTTGGTTTTACTACGTCCTCGGTAACTTTCCTCAATCAATTCTTGCCATCTAATGCGATACATAATCCAGGCTGGCGTCCATCATGAGCCGCAAGATATGCGGCACAGAATTCTAATATGCAACCCTTAATCGGAATATTAAACGTACAACAACTTTTACCGGGGCACCAGATTGATTACAATCCATAAAAACAACAGCACGGAATCATCGCTGACCTATTATTTACCCCGACAGCGGTGCGATCTGCGGGGCCGAGCTGGACTCTTATGCGGGGTTAGATAGAACAGAGAGAGATATAATACTTCAATGTAACGCAAGCCCCTCCAAGACTTTTTCATCTTCAATTCAGCCTGTGGCAATCAAAATGCCTTATTCGCTCAAGGGAAGAAACGTCCTGGTGACTGGTGGCTCTAGGTGTGCAAATTCTAGCTCATGAGGGTATCTCTGGTACTGACAACAGCAAAGAGGCCTTGGGGCTCTCATCTGCAAGAAATTCGCCGCAGAAGGGGCCAATGTCGCTATCAACTATGTCTCCAACGCGGATGCTGCTCAGAAAGTGGCTGATTCCCTGAAGGAATATCCCGTCAAGACATTTGTCATTCAAGGTGTAAGTCTGTCACAGCCGCCCGGTATGTGCCGTGAGCCCTAGGAAGAACTCACACTATGCGCAATAGGATGCCGGGAAGAGGGAAGATAACGTGCGTGTCGTTCAAGAAACAGTCAAGAACCTGGGCGGGCTCGACATTATCATTGCGAACGCTGGCTGGACCAAGATGTCTCGATTTAGCGATCTCCATGCCCTGAACGATGAAGAATGGAACAAGGTAACTTGACTGCATCAGACGAAGATGTGAACATGGAGCGGTTAACCAAGTTTCTAGTGCTGGGCTGTCAACGTCATGTCTCATTTGCAACTGGTTCAAGAAGCCGTGCCCATCTTTAACGCGAATCCCGAGGGCGGTGTTTACTTGATTACTTCTTCTGTTGCAGTAAGCAAAACTGTCAAGACGGTTGTGAAATAGACCTTTACCCAAATTGACGTGAATACAGGGCACCACCCAAGCCGGTAGCAGCATGGCCTATTCAGTCACCAAGGCTGCTGGTCTACATCTCATGAAGAGCCTCGCATACACGCAAGGACCCAAGATTCGAATCAATGCCATCCTTCCCGGTCTGCTGTTGACTGAATGGGTTCGTCCTCATCTGTCCCTGGGCTTGTCTTGCTTGTATATGCTCATCATTTCTTGGCAGGGGCAAAAATTTGGAGGAGCGCACATCGAAAAGGTGAAATCGTTATCGACATTAAGGCGCGAGGTATGAGAAGAAGTCGTCCCTGAACAGCTCCAAGAAATTCACTGACTTTATAGACTGATCTCGATGATTGTGCCGATGTTTTTATCACAGTGGCTAAGAATAGTTCCATGACAGGCCAACAAATTGCAATTGGTACGTCTCTCTGATACGACCTCTAGGATATTGTATTAACATATATAGACTCTGGTATCGTTCTGGGCCACCCAGAGTCCAAGCAGTTGCACACTGAGAAGAAATAGCATATTAGCGCAGATAGGTAAAGGTTATACCTAGAGTTAGAGCGACTATCAAAATAGACATGCTCATTGATTTGAAGGATTATAAGACTATTGACATAAATAAAGTAAATGGCAATTTCAAGTCTTATATACAGTTCACCTTGTGATACGTTTGATCTGACACCGTGAGAAGCTGACAGCGTCTTCCAGTGGCTTAAATTCAATGGCCGCAAAAAGCAATTAATATTACCGGTATATCCTTCAGGATACTTTATTCTATTCAGTTATCTGTAAGCATGTTCGTGGCGAAGCTTCCGTGCTAGAGTTGGGATGGGGTGCTTGGGATGGAAACATGAGGTTTCATTCGAGGGGAAGTTTTCTAATAGAAAATACGCAAGTTCAGCAACATTGATGCCTTTGGTTCTTGGAAAGACTCAACATTACCACTTTATAGCCAAGTTATGAACATGTGCTACTCGTTTATGCACCTGAACATGGCTGTTCCGCATTGTTGACATCAGTCAGCTTTGACTCACACCGCTTGACTCATCGCTTGGGCTCACAAACCTACGTACAATTAGAGGCGGGGTTGGCAAATACGCTTTGGATCTCTGGTTACATGTATTTCAATAAAGATTTGCGTATCCAGTGGAGTTTAGTGCCGAATTAGCTTCCATCCTTCATCATCATCTATATATATATATTACGTGTGCCGTCTGCACTCTGAAGGGAATGATAGTCGACAGCACCAACACAATTTACACTTGATACACCCGAGTCATCTCTACGATTATGGCATCTTCTGAAGCTGAAGTTACACACACCATCGCATCTTTGTATGATGCGATCGGTGCAAAATATGAAAAGGCATTTGCCGACATTCCAGCCCAGCAAAGGTCTCTCGAGTGGCTTCTCCATCATCTTCCCCGCACAGGTTCCAAAATTCTTGACATTGGCTGCGGAACCGGCTGTCCCGTTGCCCAAGTCCTATCTTCGGCTCCTCACAATCACCTTGTTCATGGAATCGACGTTTCGGAAGAAATGCTCTCTGCAGCTCGCCAATCGGTACCCTCTGCGACCTTTGAGCTAATTGACGTCCGCAAATTTGAGGCGGATGAAGCGAGTTATGATGCTGTGACGTCGTATTTTGCTCTGCTTGTGGATATTTCACAGGATGAGATACGAGAGACGATACAAAGGGTTTTTCATTGGCTGAAGCCTGGTGGCTTCTTTATTCTGGGAACAGTGCCAGTTGATCTCGAACGTGCCTCGGAGAAATGGCTGGGCAAGAGGACGCTATTGACTTCCATGTCGGAGGAGCATTACGTTACCGCCTTGAAGCAGGCGGGCTTTGTTATAGAGTTCTCGGAAGTGGAAAGCTTTATGCCAAAAGCTGTGGAGGCGGGCATTTGCGATGAGGATAACGTGGTGGAAGAACCTCATCTCCTCATATATGCGCGAAAGCCGTAGTTGCCGCGAATCTTGTTTTCTATCTATGAGATTGAAATCCGAATATAACTACTTTATGTTTCTCCTATACATATGTGGTTTGTCATATATAACGCATGAAAGATGCCATCTGTACTAATGTTACAGATCATAGTACCAAGTCCGGTACCGCAACAAAGGCCTCAATTTACCCCGTGTCTCTGTCACTCATCCGACCGAGATCCTCCCGACTTCAGAAAAAGGAGGTCACCTTCCCATATGCATAGGGGTTCGGAAAGAAATAACAACTTCGCATACGCTTTTCTTAAGAAGGTCCTCTCATTCTCAAAATAAGTATAATATTTAAACCCCCAAATACGATCTTCACATCTTGAGTAACAATCTCATATACTCACGCGGAGGCCTTGCCCGTTTAAAATAATATACTAAGAAGAACGTTTTTTCAAGTGGAAAGTGTCGAGCATTAATGAAAAAGGAAATACAAGCCTCTTAGGTTTGAGGAAGGAAAATAGCAGTGCTCGAAGCGATCCGCCCGCATAGGTTCCCAAGGCCGTAAATGTAAATAGGGAGTAGCTGTCCAGCACCGTAGCGTCTACATAAAGTTCAAGGTTAAGACCTTATGTGAAGAAAGGCCAATCAAGTACACTATGATCTCTAGTAGAGACGCAGTTGCTTGAGTATCTGCTACTATCGCTATAGTTCTCTAGTATCCGGGCTTCCAAATGCGTAATAGACATGAGTTACATCTCCCGTGTTAAGACCAGCGTTAGTAATGGCAACTACCTGACTATCCCCTTGACATACCTGTGTTAGAGGAGGCTGTGCTCAAATTCCAGCCTCCATGATCGAATGAGCTTGGTCATTTCGCAACACCACCTTGCCGAGCTTCTCAATCTTGCGAACCTCATCGATTGAAGCTAGGGCGCTCAAACAAGTTCTCGGGATGGTAAGATGAGCTTTCTGTTTGAAGAACCGTATACCATCCTCTTGGTGGTCGATATTGATTTTCTTCACGATATGGGCGCGCTTATTCTCAACATCCAATTTTGAAGAATCATGAAATAGAAGGACTACTTCTATGATTTGGCCAACGTTAATAGCTTCCATTTTTAGAGCTGCATCAATCTTGAATTCTTGGCGATAAACATCCACATAGACAATAAATCTCTTTCGACGAAGTATTTCTAGGTCATCGGGTTCGTAACGGCATAAATAAGTGTTTTCGCAAATGCAGTCGTAAAACTCAACATTCATACGCTTAAGAATGTCCTTTTCGGGGTCACTGATGGCACCCCGTGTCTGGATAAGTATGTAATTGGTCTCGGAGGCGTCTTCAGCGGGTTTGATACTCTGATTGAGATCGTTCCCATTGATTTTGATGGGGAAAACCGGTTCCTGAGGTGCCTAGAAACAACACACAAAGGTTAGAATATGAACAGGAAGACCTCCTCCTCCTCCTCTTCTTCTTTCCCTAAAAGAATGGCTTACTCGTCCCACTTCTGCTTCCTCCGTTGTAATTTCTGCATATTCGCCGCCGCCGAGAAGTAGTGCAATGTCCTCAGTGACCGCATAGTGCAGAGGAATCCAGCCGCGGTTATCCTTTGCCAGTGGATCAGCCCAGAAATGTAGAAGTAGCTGTACTATTTTAGAATGGCCTCCTTGGGCAGCATAATGGAGGGGTGTTGAATTGGATTCATCTTTCGTATCTTGATCAGCCCGATATTCGAGGAATAGCCTGGAAATGGCGATATTCCCCTCCTTGCACATGTTATGAAGAAGCGTTGAACCGCGCTCGTCTTTGACACTTGGATTAACTCCTTCCTTCAAGATGGCTTCGACCCTTTCAGCATCACCGCAGTTGGCCGCATCGATCAGACTTCTCTCTATATCAACCGATTTTAGAGCTTACCCTTTGCGTCACGAATAGAATGGATTAATGGTTACATTACCCCGGGCTGATAGTGACATATTGGCGTGTTTCAATCATGGATCAAGTTGTTCGGAAATGGTAGGCCTTATTGGAAGAAACAGGCAGAGGTTCACGTTGTTCTTATATACGTCTTGATGTAACCACATCCCTCTTGCGCGAGTAGTTATAAATGAATATCTCTCGTTTCATGAGACGCTGACTGTTCTTCCTTCCCCGGCCTTGAGAGCCACCGGTTATTGAACCAGTCAAAACACAGGTACCAGGCCGTACTTGGATATATTGATATGAAATATTTCCGAATATACACACTCCAGTAGGAGTTACATTCGACAAGCGCCCCTTGTTTTCTTGGCTTGCTATAGGTTTCAAAATGAGTCTTGCGATCTTTGTTCCCTCTTTGTGTTGCACTGTCGACTGCTTCTTTGTTTCCTCCTTGCCTTTGTCCGGTAGTTTCTCTTTTGAGAAGTATAACTTTCAAGTCTCATTTTGTGTCCACGTGTATTGAACACCAATCATTACGGAGCACAAAAAATCAAGTCTTACGTAGCCTAATCGTTACCATAAGCCCTTTGTTAGCATAGTGTGTCACACCATCCAGCACACGGGTACTATGGAGGCCTACTCATATGGGAAGCCCGACAAAAGATACGGTACTAGACAAATCGCTGCAATACTGTAATTAGGAAACATTACCTTGATTGGTTGGGGTACTACCCCTGTGCAAGAAGCGAAGTCTACGAAATGACAAATTGTCAGTCTGTTACTGGAGAGAGGGTTGGCGTTGATGAAACTCAAGGTTCGAAGCATTTTTTTCTATAACAGGTAGTAGCATTGAACAAACGAAATATCGTATACTATTTGCTTTGTGATCAACTTAACAAACTCTACATATCTTTTATCGCTTAGTTGAAGAAACCCCTTTAACGGAAGAAGACGTCTTTGACGCCGACACTGACGCCACCGTCGTTACCCTCCCTCCAGCAAGCGTAAACACTACCCTATCCTGACAATGGGAAGACATGCAACAGGGATCATCAAAGGGAGATCCGCACGCCCGACAATCAAAGTTGGCGCAAGGATCGGCACTCGAAGACGCCGGAGGAGGCTTTGAACTCGATGTCGGACACGTGCCGTTGGCACAACAGGCAGGCGAGCATTCGTCACATCCATCCTCGTTGCAGTTACACACGTCGGTGACGGTACATGAACGACTGCTGCTCTGGATTGGCTTTGATGAGGTACTTGAGCCAATGCTTGTTGTGGGCGCCGAGTAGCCTCCCGAGCTGGGATCCTTGGGGTCCTGGTAGCCAGGCGGATAGCCTGTAGGACTGGGAGTACACCAGTATCCAGAGCATATTGTTCCTCCGCAAGCTGTCGTGCCACCCTTGCAAGTTGGTCCGGCTGTAGGGCCTGAAGTGAAGCTGATAGTTGTCCCTCCCGAGCTGGCTCTGGCGGCGGCGAGGCTGGCGCTCAAGACTGAGAGAACGGAGTTGGTGTAGGCTTGGCCCAAATCGTCGGTAGACCAGACTTCATCGTACCAAGTACCAATAGGTGCAGGCGTTTGCGTACCGACGACTTCAGTGGTGGAAGAGTCAGAGATGGTGATGGAACAGCCTGAGATGGTCTCGCATGTTGAAGCTGACGAGAGGGTTGTCGAAGCCGAGACAAAAGTCGTGGTGATGCATGCCTCCGCAGTTTCTGTCTGGCACTCAGGCTCATCATCTGTGGTGAGTTGATTGTCTTCGCCGATGGTAATCTTGGGCCAATCTGGCAAATTGCCTTTGATAGTAACACCAGGAGGCCACCTGATCAGGCCGGCTGGTGGAGGGCCAGGTCCGTAGATTCCCGGCGGCAAGATCCAGTGCCAGCCGCCGATGTGAAGCTCACCCCATGAGATGCAGATGAAGAAGAACCACGCTGTGCAGGGTACAACTACACCATCATCGGTGGGCTGGGGCTTGCTCACGCTTGTCGTGACGGGGACAATCTGACCAAAGGGCGGCCATGTGGCAAAGACGGGCAACGGTGTCGTAGAGTCGGCCTGCCCAGTGCTCCATGATGTGACCAGAGAGCAGTCCACCGAAGCTTCAGCCGTAGTAGCTGCAAGGAATGTAAAGACTTTTGTAGTTGGGCAGGCAAAGTACAGCGTCAAGGGGTTAGAGTTGGTACATGTGGTCCCAACGGCAATAGCAGGCGTCTTGAACACGACAGACGTTGTAGCTGGACATGAGATTGTAATGGCTCCTGTCGAAGCTGGGAACGTCACCGTCGTAACAGTGGCTTTGGGTATCGTGACGGGGAAACCGAGCGGAGTGTAATAAGTCGTGCTGCTGCCTGAGCTGCCACCGGAGCTGCCAGAAGTGCCAGAAGGCTGTCCCGGTTCCGTTCCCGGATCTGTGAAGCTCTCTGAGCCGGGCCCGCCGTTGACTTCTGGCCATGGCGGGAGAGTGACCTTGCGTGTTGTTGTGCCACCACTGCCGTCGGGCAATGGAATGTTGACAGGTGGGATGTTGACGCTGGGATAGATGGTGATGGGCGTCGGCCCTGTTCCCGTCACGTTGACGTTGGAGTAAGGGATGCCTCCGGTGACGATGGTCGGGATTGTGATAGTCACAGTGGTAGTCGTCGTCTTGAAGACGCTGGTAGTACCAATGCCGGCGATGGACGTGGGCCCGATTCCGCCGTATTCAAACGAGGTAACATATTGGCTCGGCGAGATGGTGGTGTTTGATGCCAGCGAGCTTGTAGGTAGAATCAACATGCAAGGCGCCGACGAGCAGGACACCGTCGGAGTTTGCCATATCCCAGTGCCAACCCACACAATGTTGACATTGTCAGCTCCAGGAAGAGGCAGCCATACACTGACCTCCGTTGTGTAGCCGCGCTGGTTACCATCACTCTGTAGGATCTTGGTGCCATCAATACCATTGGCCATGTTGACGGTAGCCACAGTAAAGAGATTATAGATGACAACACCGATTGAACCCTTGACCTCTAAGATGCTCTCTTGGCAGTTTCTTGTGTCCTCGCAGTCTTTGTAAAAAGCGTTGAAAAAACTGTACAGCCCAGCACCGTGGATAGTGACATCGGTTGAGTCGATAATCTGTATGCCCCAGGAGTAGCGGCACCGCTCATTATCCGTATTAGCCGTGAAATTGCAGCGACTAAAGTCAGGATCGTTTGGAAAGCTCGCGGCAGCATCAAAGGGAGCTGGAGCGCCGGGAACTGGTTGAAAATAAGGCGATTCTGTTTGAATATGGCCCATGTAGACGTTCTTGGCTCCGCTAAGCAGGTAATTGTACAGCACCGAGTGTTCAGAGCCACTGCCGTAGAACCACGATGGGCCCTGAGACTCGATGAGCATACCGCGGGCACCAAAGATGGCAACCTGCGTGATGGTTGAGTCTGGCTGGTTGAAGATGGACTGATCATTGTCGTGGTCCGCAACCCAGGCCCATACGTTCTCAAAGTAGCCATTGGCCTGAGGCGTAACGTGAAACATGAGTGATGCTGCGATGCACTCAGACTTCTCACTAAACTTGGGGCATGTGGCGAGATCTAGATCCGATCCCAGGGCACCTCCGACACGGAAGTGCGAATCCCACATTCCCGCAGCTCCTTGGTCCGATGCTGCTGTATTCCATTCCATTAGGATGGCGCCAGCCGTGTTGCCTTTGACTGAGAACAGCATCTCCACAATCTCCATGGTGCCGATGTCGCCCTCGTTACCAACCTGTATCATGACCTTAGGGTCGTGCATGTCGCTGAAGTAGAAGCCCGAACCCTGGATCTGTGACCATGACGAACCTTGGACTTTTGAGCCTGTCGGGATGACAATCGTGCCGCCTACTGTGTAGATGCCAGCCGGAAAATAGGCAATCTTGCCCCCGCTCACAGCCTTTTGTAAGAAAGAGTTGATACAGGATTGCTGGTCACCAGAGCCGTCATTCTTACATCCTCCATCTGTGGTGGCCACCAAGAAGGAACCGGAACTCTTGTCCTCGTACTGGGGCCGCTCACGGACGTAGAGGAAGCCCTTGGAATCTAATAGTCCCTTTGCCTTGGCTGGTGCCGTCACGTCGCCGGTCTGTGATGAGCCAGCTGATCCGTTGTATCGCTTGCCCGTCGCCCACAAGTCGGAGTTGCCCGACAGCAGCGTGCTACCACCGTCGATCAAGACAGGACTAGTGACTCCATCAAAGACGGTGTTGTCCAGCACGATATTGGGAGAGGTTCCAGCGTTGTTGGTCAGAATGCCGACCTTTGTTCCGGTGATGATAGTATCAATAATTGACACACTGCCAGTTCCCTGCCCCGTGTCGCCTCCAATGCCCGAGATGTTAAAGGCAATAGAGCCGCCGTTAATGTCAATCTGCTGCCAAGTCCAACCCCAATCCCAGACCATCTGGATGGCCGTGTTACAGAAGTTGAACTGCAGGTTGCGAGCCGTGTATTGCTGCGAACCTGCACGCCAACCAATGTTGCCACCGTCAAAGATCAGGTTAGACACGAAGCCACCACTGCCATTCTCAGAAAAGATACCAACGGCTGTTGTATTGCTCGTCGTTGGCATGCTGAAGATGAGATTCTGCAGCGAGGTGGCCTGGGCTACTTGCCAGTGAATTCCCGTTGGCACCAGATCTTGTCCTTGATCCGCCGTTGAGTCCGGCATATCGTTGAGGTCGAACTCAAAGTTGCGGATCTGACGGAAGAACTGGTTCTGGTTCACATACCACTGTGCTCCTGATTCAAGAGGAATGTACGGATCTGTGTCAAATAGTGCGATACCCGTAAAAGTGTCACAACCTTTGATCGTAGGCATGTCATTGGGGTCTCCAATGAATTGCGTATAATAGTACTGGATCACCGGCGAGCAGATCTTGTACGTGCCCGGCGGAAAGTAGACAATGGCACCCTGTGAGAAAGTGTTGCCGCACTCCTCACCGCATCGTGTCTGGTTGCCTCCAACTGAATTTTTGTTCCAGCTGGCTACGGCTGCGTTGAGAGCCTCGGTTGTGTCTGTTTTTCCAGAGTTGTCGGCTCCAAAGTCATCGACAACATTGCGGAAGAATTGGTAATCGTTTCCTCCTGCCAGAGGTTGCTTTCGTGAAACGTTAGCGTCGATTATCACCAAAAGACGGGAAAATTGAACTTACAGCTCCCAAAGGCCCAAGAGTTGTCAGCCAGTAGTCGTCAGAGGACTGCCGTTTCTTGGGTGCTTTGAAATTGGTCTTCTTGGTGCCGTTAAATCCAGCATAACCGCCACGGATCACGGTGCCTTTGGCAAGGTTGGTCATGAACTTTTCCAGGCTGCCCGAGTAACGCCATACTGGGCCGTTCTGCTTCCCCTTGTCAGGAGCTGTGTGGTAATAGTTGTGCTGGTTGTCCACCATGTACGATGGTGCGGGCTGCCACCAGAAATTAGCATCATCTCTAGATTGACATGACAAAGTTAAAAGACGCATCAATGACTTACCCTTGGATCATATGGGAGCGCAGTTACGTTTGCGGGAAGATGTGGTGGCGTGGCTGACCGCACAAGGCTCACTTGTGCGGCCAGAAGAGTTAGAAACAGAGGCAAAGGACCAGTCATGTTGCTGTAGAATCCTGACACGAGTCCATTGCATGAGAAGAGGGGATGAGAAATGAGACCTGGAGAAGGACGTCTTCCATGATATTGATGTTATGGACGCAAATACGGCCGCGGAACAGCTCTGCCATGTGGTGCATAACCGAACTTACAATAGTCAGGCTACCTCTCAACTTAGCCTAAACCAAATCCTGAAGAATTCACTCCTCAAAGCCATGAACCACCGGATTACACAAGTCCCTCTTGTTGCCTGATGTTATCGAACTATCTTTGGTATCACGATGCCACCTCTATTCCATCCATGCAGATTGGGCCTATGACTTTCGTAAAGACGAAGTGGATGTATCGGATTGTATGTGTATATCCGAGCAGGATTGTCAGTTGTAGGGTTGCATTTCTCATCGCTATATCCATACCATGGAAATTCTATCCAAGAATACATATCATCGCATAATTATAGGATTATGTTAGTGCAGGATTGTCTGACCATGTAATTGCATCAGGGTGGGATTCATCGTGTAGGATCCGTCAGTGTAGGATCGCATCTGTGTCGCATTGCATCGGCGTAGGATTACATCGGCTCCCCTGCATTTAACCGTCTTCAGCCATCCCCGAGCATCGATCCAGCTCGGCAGGGTGTTTAGAGGGTAACAGCAGCGACAGGCCGACTCCCAAGTGTTGAGACATTTTGGCAAAGTAAAATCCTGATATAGTCTGTTGTTAATGTTGTCTTCCGAGCTTTTATAAAATAAGGCAGTGACTTCGAATTGTTTTGCTTTTATTGCTTCATTCGCCAAGGTAGTCTAGCTTCAATACATCTGACATCTTTCATACCATCACTGCAAGCATTCAGTTATCACTTCATTCAAGATGCTCTCCCAAACTCTCTTCCATATCATCTCCTTGGCGCTCGTCGGCACCGCCATCGCTGCCCCAAAGGCTCTCGTGTCTCCACGTTCTGCGCAGATCTGTGACGACACTGAGACGGGCGACCTCCTCTGCTACACTGCGCCTGACAACACGCCTCAAGACGTCGCTGTTGCTGATGTATCCTATGTCGCGGCCTATCTCCGCGCATATGGAGCGCAGACCAAGGCCGGACGTCTATACTCAATGTCTGCAGCCGACGCCCCTGACTGTGCTGAATGGACCGTCTATTCCCACGGCACTGTTCAGGTCATCGCTAAGCACATTGACGCCACCGTCGACAGTAGCGTTCTCTATGCTGACATCGCCAATACCATTGACGGTGGAACCGGCGCAACGCCTGCCCAGCAAGCTGCTGCTCTCATCGGCTGCGATACTGACGGCGGCTCGCTCGGTGTCGTCTACAACGCTTCCAACCCGGCATACTCGGCCACGACTTACCCTGTGGGATATACGCCTGAGGGCATTCTCATTAAGATTGTGACGACAGGGGTTTAGAATTTTTGTATGGGATTGCAATTCCCTCTTTGTAGCCCATAGCTTAAGCATATTTGCAATCTTGTCTAGAGAGAACCTCTGAGCTAGTTAGCAACTTGACAGCAAAACAATCTAATTAGTTCCATCATACTCTCCTTATTAATGACATATGCGTTTGCGATGTAGATGGTTGTTGAGTAATTTGTCTTTTGTTGTTGGATAAATATAATTCAGTATGGTGGAAAGTCATAACGCCGAGCGGTAAATTGAACCAGGGAATGGAGGAGCAAGTTTACTCTTCTATTCATTCAAGCTTACTTAGTATTAACTTCACCATCTCTCATCTCTGCTGAATATACATTAACCTCACTCAGATGATCAGTAATTAGTTACATGATAAGCATCGACTCTCTCTCCATACAGAGTGATGAGCTACCCAATACTCATCAAGCTATCAATCATACATGGACAGCAACTCCAATCCATCGAAATAAATCCTATTTAGGGAAAAGCCGGGACTTGGCTTCCGCAGTGGAGTTGTGGCTTCGTCCCGACCCCTGATCTGATCGGCGTATAATTGCCGTTTTCTCCTTGGCTCCGCAGAACCCCTGTCAACAGCCCAGCGCTAGCATCGTCGTGGATATTTATTTCTACGAGTTACGGAGCCTTCGGGATGTCCATTAAACCGCGGGGTAGATAGAGAGAATGGCAAGATTGAAGGCTATAACTATGCTTAAGCTTGAGAAATACAGCCCATCGAAGCCGAGATTTTATTTCCATAACATGTTGAGTGAAGATAGTCTCTTAAATGAATATAAAGTGAAACTCACATTGCTGAAGCTGGCATAACGTAGAGATAGGAGAATTGCGTCGCCAAGACAGGAGTTGCAGGAATCCGGCGGAAATTACATTCACAAGCTTACAGCCGTGTAGGGTTGTATTTACACTTAGAAGGATTGTTGATACTCCTGCTGTAGTATGGAAGGATTGCTGCTGCTCCCCGGAAGGATTGTTTTTTTTTTTTTTTTTGCAACATGTTAATATATAGGCTAATTTCCTGTTCGAGTAACAATCTACTTTACCTCTCTCCTGTTCAGTTGGATTCGCTTATTTTCTTTGTGGGATGGTAAAAAGAAGCTACGTTAGTAACTTTGATATAGTACTGGCCGATTGCTAATGTTCCTGCTGCCGAGCTATTCTTGTCTAACTCGTCTGTTGATTACACATTACACCACATGGCAACCTGGGAACTTTTTAGTCAACTACGGCTACAACGGCAACCGAGAGACTCCACTTGACTGTGTAAACTCGCTTTTGTTTTGGTGTGTAGTTGGAATTAAAATCTGAAGGATGAACAGGTGGCTGACGAGTTATCTCAATACCGATTACTGAGAAACGTCTACTGATTAAGTGGTACCTCATCACGCTCGTGGAAACAGTCACCCCATTTGTCCCCAACCCTCTCATATATCTCCAAATATGCAATTATGAGCATGTCTCAGCCATCGGTATAACCTACATATGGTATAGTCTCCCATCAATATCCTGTACCATCAATATCTCGCAGAAGCGCACCTCTTAGCCATCATCTACCATCTGGCAAGCGTGTCTGGCCCCCACTCCCCCATATCTTTATACTAAAGCAATGATTCTATAAAAGTTATGCTCAACTGACTAGGAAGGGTTACAATGACTTGTTCCTGGAGGAATTCAATATTCAGTGGCCCATTGGTCCAAAATAAGCCGTTACATCACACTACCTCCCCAATAGCCAGTCGTATCCTTTAGGAGGAGCCGCGTGTAGTAGCAATAGGATGAGTTTACATGAACCAAAAGAAAGTCAGTTTTTTGTAGCTCTCAATCCGTCCAAGGTCAGCTGTCTCTGACTAGCAAGATACATTTTGCCTATTCTGAGATTACAACGTCACACTTGGCTTTTTGGATGGCAAGAGGTTTTCTTGCATATGATCAGACATCTGTGTGCTAGTAGGCTAATCACACTATCCACCAGGAGATACCATACTCTATACCACAGGGACGCATTTGTCTTTGTTTTCTTAAGTTGTTGTATGCACAACTGACATCAAGGTCAACAACTCTTCGCCTTTGGTCTAAACTGAGCTCTCAAAGGCCATGGCGAAGCTCTTCTTTCATCTGGGACTATTCCCAGTCCTATTCAGTGTCCTAGTATACACCGTAGGCGCCGCCCCGACTCTTGATCAGCTGTTTATAATTCAGGGGGGAACCGATAACGGCGGCTGCGATGATTATATCGCAACTATGAACAACTGGGTGGCCGAAATCAACTATGCCCTCGAAACGACTCTTGCAGCCATTGATCATTATGAAACGGAACCAAAAGTCAGAGCGGCTTTTACAACCTTCTTCGGAGTCAAAGAGGCTGCAAAAACCCCATCGGGTGCCACAAATATTCGTAGTATGTTGATATCTTTCTTATTCCTCATATCATTTCTGGGTTGACTTTGAGGCTAGAAATCTTCCAATGGGTCTATAATTTCTTCTCATTCGCATTGCAGGATGATGGTACTCCTTGGTATCCTATAGATAACTCACGCTACATCTTTTGCGACAGCACTTGGCTCATAGAACAAACGCAAGACGACACAGCCAAAGACTATCAAGGCAATGGAATCATAGACAAAAACGGCAACCTCGTTCCCATTGAATCAATACCCGGTTACAAGACGGCCATCGGTACAAAGGCCGGCAACAAAATCTGGTGGTCTGGCCAATACGCGCCCTTCAACGGGTACTACTTCTCACCAACCGGCAGAGATTACTGCAGCAATCCAAAGAGCCTCGGTCTCACCTCATTTGTCCGAGAGCTAGAGGTAAATTCCAAGACAGGAACGCTCAAGGGACTTCGAGACGTCGAAGACATCATCATCTGTCCTCAGAGCTTCACAACCTCGGCACCAGACTCTTTCACGGCCGGTAATGCGTTGATCTCCGCGGGCACCGGCCTTGACACCGTGCTACCCAAGAGTGCAACGCTGCTCCACGAGTCTTTCCACAACCTGTTTGGAACAGTCGGACAATATGGGTTTCTACAGGTAGGCGAGGAATGTAAGTGCCCTGTTTCTCATGTGTGCAAATGTTTAGGGTACTGACCCGGTATGGACAGATAATCTCATGACGTGCATCAACTGGGCCAACACCAACGCCGTAAATGGGGCGCGAAAAAACCCTGAGAACTACGTATTCTTCGTCGCCCACATGTTCTACCTGTATGGCACAGTGAACCAAGGCATATCCAGGAATTGGGATTTTGAAATTATTGAGGAAGCGAATGGAGACAAGAAGTTTGGGGCGAAAGCTCCTTGACTAGGTACAAGGGTGGAAGCATCCATAGGTGTACGTTGATGGTCAAAGAGAAGGACGTCTGTAGAGCCGTCTGAGTACTTTGGGTTATTTATCGTAGTATAGTAACTCTGGCCATGCTTCCATGACAAGAGAGAGCCAACCGGTTTTTTTAAAAAAAAAAAAAAAACGCCAAATTTGGGCCGTGCACACTATCATCACCCTTTAACATTGGTGCATATCATGTTGGGTCGTCATCCATATAGCTAAGAATTCATGCTTCCGTGTGCCTTCGTTACGTGAATCCATCGGTTCTTTTCATGACCAAGATCAAGTTCCAACTACATCTCTAATGCTTCCTCTTCTTCCTCTTCATCTACTAGGGGGGAGAGGTAGGACGGCGCCACCTGAATATCCCAACGCTCTTGCTCCCAAGCCGTAACCGGGGGTATCACGTTTGACACAACGGTTTCCCATGACTCCTTTGCCAGGGCATTTTTCGCCGATGCCTCTTCCCGCTGACGGGTGGCACCGTAGAGGCCATTCCACAGGCGAAACTGGCATACAACCATCTGGCCACTGCCACTTTCCTCTGCCACCGCTGGTTGTCCCGGGGGCTGCCACTGTTCACTGTCTCCAGTGTCCGTCCAAGCCCACACTAAACCATCTGGCTTTGGAAGAAAAGCCACCAGGCCAGGCCACGGTCCTCCAAGTGGAACTGAGTCTCGCGAGAGCGGTGGCGGTGGCCGCAGGTCCTCACAGTCTGCGGGAACAAAGCCTTTGAACGCTCTGACGATACTGAAGCGTATTTGCTCGAGGTCAGGACCGCCAGTGTATGGCACCAAGAAGGCTGTAAGCGTCACACGACCCTCTACCTCGAGTTCCTTCCTGTCGCTATGATGCCAGTGAAGACTGGGGAATCGTGATGCCGTTGGTAGCATTGTGGTGCTCCTATCGTCTGCATTATTGAGGGACAAGCGCTGGAATAACCCGCCGGACACAATACCGCTGTCAGGCAGGTCCCTGAGAAACTCGGCACATGCTGGCGAGTCTTGGAAGTTCTTGAGGGCTTCTGCAGACGCCCAGACTGTTGTTGTTGTTGTGTATTAATATTGAGTCCATGAAATCCTAAACTGGAAGATACTCACGAATGATGATGGCAGCCTGTTCGGGATCATCAACCTGCCTCCCCAGCCAGACCTTGTCATAACCTGTCACTTCTGCAAGCGGTCCGAGGACAGAGCTTCCCGTCGACCATGTTGGCCAACCCTGCCATTGTGGCAGATGAAATCGAGTCCAAGTTGTCCGTCTATTCATTGCTCGGATTCTCGACTGAAGCATCCTGGTACGAGCCATGCAGATGCTGACGTCTGTGACTAGCACACTGGGCGACACAAGTGCCTTGATTGGGAAACTTCATGAAAAGGCGCGGGGCCGAGAGATCAACGGTGGGGTGGCTGGCTCTTATAAAGACGGCCTGGACTAGGATTAACGGACAGAGCAGTTGCGTCACATAAGTTGAAGGAATGGAGGGGAGGTTTGATGCAGTCGGTCGAGTTGTAGATATACTGGATAGAACAATATTACCTGCTTATCTGCTTTGTGTGTAGCAGCCAATCATGCATAATTACATCAATGACAATAAACAGTTGTTAAGAAACTAGAGCTTATGGCAAGCCAGGCAGCAGCTAACATTAGAGTCCATTAACGCATTTCCGAAAAGAGAAGACAGAAACTCGAGTGACACAGCACCGAAACTACATGTACATCCAAACTCAGCACCATGCATCTCCAAAACATTATATTCCATCCATACAACCCTAACACCAGAACAAAAGAAATTATACCATCACACAAGTGGCTAGTGTGAATCCATCTTACGTGATGCTCAATAGCCCGAACCCAGGGCACTATAAATCCATCAACACGCCCGTCGTCCCAACCCAGTCCGACTCTCTTCTCTCATCCTCATGTCCCCGTCTCCATTATACCTTCCTTCACCCCACCGCAGACAATTGCAATAGCGACATAACATAGAAGAAGGAAAAATCCCCTTGAACTCTTCCGCCTGATCCTCATCATATCGCCCGTCCACCAGGTAATGAAGAGGACATGTTGGAGGGTGTCACCCGTCTTCCTCCGGCAGTCTCCTCCTACCGACTGAGTTTATTCGGATTTGCGTCATGTTATATCATATCAGGTAGTCGCTTTTTCAACCTCTTTTGTAGTTAGATAAGTAGCTGCAGAGTAGAATCAGAATAGAAGGGAGTGAGATGGAAACACCTGTGCACCTTTATACTTGTAGCGCTACATGTGATTTTGCCGTGACCAAGGTCTGTGAAGCCCTGATCTTTACATGTCATGTCGATTCGCTCCAACAAATCAACCGCGACAGAGAGAAGCGGGGTTGTTTGGAGGATTCGTGTCTCTGCTCACCGGTCAAGCATCACTTGCCTTCCCCCACCAGAAGATGCTGCATCAATGCAGCCCATGTGGCTGGAATTGAACCACGTTTATGAAAATCCTCCACGGTTTGGACTCTAGAAGGGCCGATCCTTGGTTCCGGCGTTCGGATAGGGAGCCCCGAGTCTCGAATAAACGACGAGGCTACCAATAGTGAAGCTGAGAACCGCGTATCGTGCTATGAGTGCATATGCATGCTGCACAATGCTTGTAAAAATGCTGCCAATAGCTGGTGCTTTAAAATGGCGAATCAATTCATTAGATAAGTTGATTGTGAAGAAGAAACGTAATGAAAAATAAACAGCACCTGAGAGAGACTCTTTTGTTGGAAAAGCCTTGAATATCTGTTGACCTGTATCGAAGACAAGTGGTTTTCTCAATTCGTCGCGGTTTATACAAGTCGTGTCTATTTTACCAACGAGAGAACATGTATTGTTACAATCGGGTTATTGCAAGGTGAAACCAGCTGTGGTCCCCCACGCGCAATTTGTATGGGAGAGCATTAGCGGAAATTCCCTAACAAGGCTGCCCGCATGCATGATGTAATGCCGAAATGAACAGACTTGTAGCAGCGATGGAAACCATTCTCAACCGATGATTTGTGCTTTAAAAGAATTGTTTATTACCATATGAATGATTATTCCACCAGCCATAAGTGAATGAGAAATAATACATGTATCTTTACAAGTTGCACATATGAACACTAGGGTGTTCAACCGCCCACATCACTTACATGAGCAGCGAATTCAGCAACTCCACCATAGATACACAACTCGTCAATATGTATCTCCAAATTATTATTTAGATATCCTCCATTTCCACAACCATTCTGTGCAGCTAATTCTTCTCTCCCATGCTATCAATACGGCCTCGAAGATCGGGAGCAGTTAAATGTGGATTTGTGATATCAACTAACGCCAGTAGCTCGCTGGCCAATATTCCGGGTAACGCAGAATCAAACAGCTTCGCTTCTCTCGCAGAGCTGAAATGAGCGTAGTTCTGACACGGAGCATTCGCTATGGATCTCACCATCTGCTGCCTAAAGTCCTTAGTCAGGGGGATGAATGATTAGTTTGGCCCACATAAGATGACGATATATAAACTTCATGCGTAGGTCGTCGTGTTGTTCAGAGTGTTTACGAGAATACAATTACAGGACGATCACTTCCTCTTAGAATCGCCAAACTTTAGGATTTAATTTGTCCTGCGTCATCTGTTTTGTAACGTTTCATATTCACGACACCTAGCCGCTGTTATCATTCACATCTCCAAACTCACCATCACTCAAAATCCGTGAATACAACACAACACCCATCGCCTCTGTCCAGTTAAACCACCTCATCATGTCAGAACGCATCAAACGCCGCAAACTAAACCCCGACTCAGAACCATCACCAAATCTCGACCTACAAACCCTTCCAAACATAGAGCACATCCCCGCCAAAATCCTCCTCCAAATCATCGCCCATCTCCCCGGCCTCGACACCCTCTGGAATCTTCTCACCGCATCCCCTCGCTCCCTCCGCCTCTTCAACGCCCAAGCACTCACCATCATCGAAAACATCTTTTCCAGCCCGAATTCCATCCTGCCGCCGAAAATCCAGGACATCATCCGTGCTGTTATTCTCACGCGAGCAGGTGCACTTCCGTTCAAGAGCCGCGATGAGTTACGCTACCAGTTTATACACCACAAAATACCAATGCGGACAATCAAGGACAAGACATGTATCCCTTTTGGTCCTGATTGTTTAACAACCGCGGATATACCCGTGCCAATTCTTCGATCTGTCGTTGCAACGGCACATCACATATCAGCTCTTACACACGCTTGTCTATCATTCTATCTCGGACAAGTCTACAACCCGAGCATTTTCGCACCGCAACATGCACAAACTCCCTTACCTCTATACAAAATAAGAGGCTCCAATCCTCCAGAAGCCGATAAGACTCCCGCTTGGTACCAAGTCTTCGTTGCAACGCCTTACACGGTAGTTGACGCAGGACCTCCCAGCTGGGTAGAAGAAATGCGTGTAACACGCGCCATGTGGCTCATCCAACTAGTAGGAGACGTCCGTTCATTCGTCTTCTTCAACTTTACCACATCAGGCTGGTCATACGATGACATCAACTCAACATTCCCAACATGGGCCGACAGCCTCGCCCACGACGGCTCCATGATCAACACTGGCGAAGAACTCCGCTCCGTAATAGAATACCTCGAAAATCACGGCCTCCAAACAAAAAGCCAGCCCTTCTACAAACTCCCCAAACTCCCCGCCGACGCAAACCCCGTCAACCCAGTAACTCCCCTCCCAGACCCCTGCGAAGCAACCTGGGGCGGCATCGGCATCTGGTTCAACCACGGCCACAAAACCATCAAACTGCCTCCCACCCGCGAAGCCCGAAAACGAGCAAAGGGCCCGCAACTCAGCGAAGCGTCTCTCCGAGGACAAACGAGAGCCAGTCTCGACAGCGAAGCCCCCGCAATAACCCAGCTCCGGCACTTTAGAGAGGGAAGATACGGCTTGCCGATTACAGAGGCGCGGTTCGAGAGGTATCGGCCGTTTGGACTGGCGTTTTGGGATAAACGGAGATTGCAGCTGTTAGGGCTTTTGGGGGAGGGACAGCAGAGTGAACGGGATCTTGATTTTTATTGCTTTGCGTGGGAGAGCCTGCTGGATGGTGAGTGGGTGAAGCATATTATGAGGGTGTTGAGACAGGGCGTTGCGTTGGAGAATGAGAGTGAGGGTGATGTAATTGTTGAGTCTGACGAATCTGATGATTCTGATGATGAAGAGTAAGTATATAAACCATATGGATAACATCTACTGTATATGAAGTCATAGCCATTGTAGGACGTCTACTCTTTTCCTCTGTTATATCTAACATCGTGCAACACCGTAACAAAGCATCACCAACCAACCCATCACACAACTCACAACTCACAAACACAATACAGTCAATGCATTCACAAATCATGCCCCCCAAACCCCCCACAAACACAAGAATCCCATCGAAAATCTAACACACATGCCACCCCCAAAACACATAAAACCTACAACATCCGAGAGTGCCTCACACCATCCATGCACCTCCCACTTCTCCATTAGTCGCCGCATCTCTCCCCCCATCTAAACGAAAACCCTCAAGCTCTGCATGCCCCCTTTCGTCACACCGCCAGTTCTCGTGTTCCCCGAAAAAACGCGGGCAGAGCTGCATACGATACCTGCACGACTTGCCAGCTGCAGGGAGAGACATTGGAGGACCAGGGACAGCTGTAAAGTACATGCATATATGCCTTGATGATGCGATTCAGGCAGCGAGCAGGCCAGAGGGGTCTAGAACATGGCTCATGCCGGCGTTATGCAGTAGCTTGGACGCGGGTCAATCACAAGGCAAACGTCACGACTGACATGTGAAGCTCGAATACCGAAGCAATAGAGATAGCATGTCCAACGCCACCAACACCGGATACGTGTTTCGCTAGTAAATGTTCAATCTCAAGAAGAGTCCCAAGCTCGCAGTAATAAACCCAAAGTAACCAGAATGCGGGTGCGAACCCCGTGTCAATCTCAGTCCCATTCACATTCTTTCAAAGTCAACAAAAATCCATCCGAAGCGAAAAAAAAATAAAACCCAAACATGAGCAAGAGAAGATGAAAAAAAACAAGACAGAAAAAAACAATTAAAAACGCCCATAATCAAAAGGCGAACCGTCTATATCACAATACCACGCTGGCTCCAGCCTCCCTTGCCCTTCCAGGCCCACAGCAGCATAAAGCACGCCGCAATAACACAAAGCCCCTCGGCCCAGAAAGTGACTGCGTAACAATGCTTTCCGTAGCAAACGGAATCGTCCGACCCATCATTACCGCCGTCGCCATTATCGTCACCAAAGAGCGACGGGGTGGTCGCGCGACGTGCCCCAGCTTCGTAGACTGCCGAGTAAACAAGGCCCCAGAAGGTAGATCCGAAAGCGGGCAGCATGGCGATGATGCCGAAATTGGTAGCAAAGTTCTCAACGCCCCAGATAATGGTCACGATGAGTGGTGTCAAACTAAAGATGGCACCGTATCCCGCACCGACAAGGCCCGAGACAATCCAGAACCTGTCAGCATGGTTTTGGGCAGCGCCACTGGCCAGGAACAAAAGACCAATGGCGAGAAGAATGGCGAAAAAGAGCATAAAGACAACACGAGATATGGCAAAGCGCTTGAGCGGGGATGAAGGGCGCGAAGGAGCGACTTGAATGTGTTGCGTCTCGGGTGCCGGAGCCAGGACATCGGTCAGAGTGCCAATCATGAGTCGAGCAATGGTGCTGGTGACGCCAAAGACGGAGACGTGAGTAGCCGCCGAAGTCTTGTTGTTGAGGTCTTCGGTGATGGGAGGCGTGAGAGTGCCAATGACGGTGCCCAGGTTATTGATAAAGGCCTCACCAGGTCCAATCATGAGGAGAAAGGCCAAGGCGAATGGCCACATGGTGTGGTCAGTCAAGAAGCGGCGTGTCTCGGCGTTGAGAACCCAGTTCTTCTTCCATTTCGCATCGTCGTCATCGTCGCCCTCTGCATCATCATCAGCAGCGGTTGCAGGAATTGCGCCATAGCCAGCGTTGGACCGTCGGCTTTCCGAACGCGCGAGGAGAGAGCTTCCATCGAGAAGGCCGCTCTGCTCCAGCTCTTCGATGGCCTCCTCAATGAGGTCCTGCTCGTCGACAACCTTGAGGGTAAACACGCTGAGAATTCCAACGACGAAGAGCAACACCGCTAGGAAGACAAAGAAGCGAAACACGTCGACATCGCCCTTGGACCCATCAGGGTTCTTCTCATACAGGAATCGGCTACCAAACTGGCTCAACCACATGCCACTCAGGCCGAAGCCGGTGATGGGCATGGCCAGCGCCAGTCCTCGGTATTTCCCCTTTCCAAAGTTCTTGGCACAAGTCGACACGGAGCTGATGTACATGGCGCACGTGCCGGCGCCAATCATGATGAAGGCGAGCACCATGAGCGGATACGACCAGCCGTTCTCAGCGCCGTGAGACTTGCCCAGCGTGTTGTACTCGTAGTCCAGCTTCTTGTAGATGCCCGCGGCAAGCCCGTACCCGCCTCCAAAGAGGAATGCCGACAGCAGGGCCAGCGGCGCAACGCCGACTCGGTCGCAGACGTATCCCATGACGGAGATGGGCAGATACAAGGCCAGGGAGCTGCCGATGGCGACGCCATTGACCTGGAACTGCGTATAATGTAGTCGCGAGAGGAACTTTGGAGCGTAGAGCGAGAAGACGACAATGGAGCCCGCGCACAGGGCCCCAATGGTGGCCGCGATAAGAGAGATGAAGCGAACAATCTGCTTCGATCTTATCTGGCGACGCCGGAGCGCAGGGTCGGAAACACCCGATGATTCATCGCCCTCGTCGTCGCTGGTGAGGACGGAAGAGCGGTCGTCATCGTCAAGGGCCGTAGGAGCAGTCGGATAGATGAAGCGCTGGTGATCAGAGGGAGCCGAGGTCGGCATCGCGCGTGATGGGACGGGGAAGGATGCCGCGACAGCAGCAAGAGGGAATGGATTCGGTCGGATTGAATGGGAGACGATTAATAGTTTCGCATCCTTGAACTGAAGCCAAAGAACAGATGAGGAGTGAACGAAAGAAGGAGAAGAAGAAGAAGAAGGAAAAGGAAAAGGGGCCGCAGATAGAAGAGCGGAGGAGGAAGAGTGACGATCGGATAGCAGGGAAGAGAGATGGAGAGGACAAAGGGTGGCGATTGGAACCACGGAAGATTCAGAGCTAGGTGAGACTGGAGCTCTTATCGGCGATAGCGCGCCTCGGAAGTGAGTGCTGAAAGTCTGGGGTCAAGGGCCCTGGAGTGGCTCACCGCGGGCCCCGTAGCGTCCCCAGCGGTGGGGCCTCTGGGCTGTCAGGGGCTTTGCTCCAGCGGATCTGGCTGATGCTACAGCGGGTGCGGGTCCCTAGCTGATAAGGGGATGATCACCGGCTTGGACATTGATGCACCGATGGATCCCTCACCTGAACATTATGGCGACATCAAAGAATAACCTAGGAACAGCGTGTAAATGTACATCATGTAAGAGTCAAGGTATGGTATAAACACGAAATACACATTCGGTTAGAAATAAAAACAAACAAACAAAAAGAAACATGATTTTCCTCCAAAAAATAATCCCAGCGTCTCTCTTGTTTTAGATGCCCGCAGAAAATCCTCCAATATGACCGTTTCGCCATGATACTCCCGTACGCACGCAATACTCAATGTCCCTTGCTTCCAGGCTTGATTCAAGAGTTATTTTTCCCAACCTGCTCCGTGCGAGATATGCCAAATCCAATCAATCATGCCACATAGTCTCAGTTACATGTCGTCATTTGCCCCTCGTTTGTGAGCAGCATTTCATGTCTCATCGGTGTTGCCCGAAATCCTCTCCAGGCTTGTAACCTTTCTCGTGTCCCACGAGCCGAGCAGCCTCGGCGGTTCAATCCGCTCTCCCTGGATGGGCCAGGGCGGATTCTTGGAAAACTCGGGCACGCCGTCCTCATCCGTGGTGACAATACCGGGAAGCTCGATTTCGTCGTTGCACGTGAGCAGCATGTATCCCTGGCCGGTTGTGATGAGGAGGAAATCATTGTCCACAAAGATTCTCCGCGCAAAGCCAATCTCAAACATGTAACCTGCGATATCAGATCGATGGCGTCGAGTCGCATCGTCGACCTCGCTAATGCGAGAACATCCACCCTCATTGGCGGGGCTGGGCACCAGCCATTGCATACCGTACGAGTAGTGCCTGCTGACGAGGTATTCGTCGAACCAGGCAATGATGAACTGATCTTCCCATACACACAAGTCAAAGTGTTTCACCGTTGGTGGGTACGGCCGCCGGCGACTCTCGTACTTGTTTTGTGCAAACGATTCGGTGAGGACGTTGAAGCAGATGCAGAGCCACTCGGGATTCTTCTTGTTATCGTCCTCTTCCCAAGGGGCACCTTCTTTGAGGAGCACAAACTGGACGATCCCAATGGCGTAGCCACCGTAATCATTCATCTTATGGCATGAGAGCGTCAGGCGCATGGCCGGACACGAGTGCCGACTGTCGGGGTGGCGCCGGTACTCTGGGTGAGAGAGCGAAGTCTCGAATCGAGCCACTGGCACGCCGCGGTCAAACTTGATGACAACGATGGTGTGGATGCGGGGGTCTGCACAATGACAACACATGGTCAACACTCGATACACAAATGCCAACCAACAACGTCTTGTACTTACCAGGCGGTGCAGGCGAGTTCAGCCAGGCTGCAAAGACAATGTCCGTGTCGGTTGGATGAAACATGATGCCGGGCACGCCTCCCAGGTCCTTTTCCCAGCCGTTGGGCTGATGAAAGTGCTCGCCGTGGTCAATCTCTAGCTCGTAGGCAGTGTCACTCCAGCCCCATATGATAACGTGTCCCTGCTTGGTCACAAACGCCACGACGTCACCCTGAGCGTAGCACTGCGCAAACTTGCCTGGGAGGACGACGTTTTTGGAAAGCCGGTTCTCCAGGTGAAACACAGTTCTAGCGGCCAAATGTTAGTAGAGGAAAGTAGAGCCTCGAAAATGAGAAGAGGTGCTTGTAACGTACATGGTTTGTCCGTTATCCGGTACGTTTCGGTCCCGGTACTGAGGTGAGCTTGATGCCAGGATGACGAGGCTGTCGGTGACGGCCTGGAGCTGCAGCGGCCTTCCCGAGACGAAATCTACGCCGAAGCTGAAGCGAGCCCTCTCGCGGGTGTACAAGTCGTCGACAAAGAGGTGACAGTTGTCCGGCTGCCAGGCCACCTTGCCGTTGGAGTAGCAGATGGTCAGAGGCGCGAAGCCAAAGTCCACCTTGCGCAAGTCACCGAGCTGACGGCCCGGCGGTGCCTCTTGGCTGCTGATGAAGTAATCAGAGCTCCAGCCCACATCCCACGAGACAAAAGACCGCTTGCTGCGGCTGATGAAGTGCTTCCGCAGGTAGCGCTTGGCCGAGGCCAGAAACAGTTCGTGACGGTCGGGCACGTCGCCGCCGTAGAGCTCCAAGAGGCCGGGGAAGAAGCGGCGGCACAAAAACGTGGAGACGACACCCTGCGTCCAGGCCTCGCGCCAGTCCTTGCTGACCAAGAAGCAGTTGAGCACGTCCTGCAACCGCAGGTGAGGCACAATGGAGGCAAAGACCTCTGGCGGCAGCTCTCTCAAGCCGGCGAAGCCCTCCATCTTGACGTGGCCGTCGCGGAAGCGGTTCCGGATGTAGAGCAGATCCCAGGGCGAGAGGCTGTCGAGAAAGGCGTCGAGCGACTCTCTCCTGCGGCGAGGCTTGAAGCTGGGCACTACGAAGCGGTGCTTTGGCTGCTTGAGCTTGAGCTGCTGTGTCTCCGCCAGGGGTGAGAAGGAAGATGACGAAGAGGACGGAGAGGGAGAGGGAGAGGGCGAGGAGGACGGAGACGAAGGCGAAGGCGAAGGCGGAAGAGAAGTCATGGTCATTGCATCATGATACTCCGGGGTTACAATAGCGAGAGAGAGAGTCAGAGAGAGAGGGAGAGAGACAGTCAAGGCAGGGCGTCGGAAGCTGAGTCAAAATGAGATGAAAAAGCAGCAAGGGAACAGAATCAATCCCCCGCCGCGGAAATTGGGCAAAAAGAAGAGGCAGAGGCAATGTTTGAGACAGGTCAGCGCAAAGACGGGACAGAAGATGGCAGAGGAGAAACACAGGAAATGAGAAGATGAGAAAAGGAAGGAAAAGGGAAAAATGATGGATGGATGAGCTGAGAAGCCTCGTTAAGCCGCCTGCCGAAGTTGAGACTGAGCAGTACCCGTACATGTACATGCGCAGTACCGGCGCGAGTGTGTGGACGCGAGAGGCTGATGCGGTGCGGCAGAGTGTCACGTGTGGGTATTGGTGAGGTACCGCACGATTGATGCGTCGTTAGCGGGTGCCATTCGCTGCAATGGAACCAACAGAGGCAAAACGGGAGAAGAGGAGGATGAGATGAGAAGAGGAGAGGAGAGGAGAGGATAAGACCAGATAAGAAGAGGGAGAGAGTGGATGAATTAATCAAAAAAAGATGGTAGTTTGTAACAGCATCAATATTTAGAGGAGTAGTATTAATACTATAGGTACCTACTGGGTATTAATATTAATTAATACTACTAGGTAGTTTGCTCGATCAAGCCTTTACATACATCTGCTCACCGAACTTGGCTTTTTGCTTGGCTTTGGGCGGGAACAGGGCCCGAGGAGGGGTACAATTCCATCCTTCCATCCATCCATCCATCCATCTAATGCAAGTCCTCGCCCAATGGCCCCAAGTACAGCGCAGTAGATGCCTGTAACGACAGCCCGAGATGCAGCAGCAGCCAAATCATCTATCCATTGGGGTTGATCCATTCCATCCATGAATGCATCAACATCAATTCATATCCATTGGATGGATTACACTGAATGCACTGCACTGCACTGCACTGTAAGAAAGACGCTCCAACTCAAAAGCAAAAGCAGGGCAAAAGCAGGGCAAAAGCAAAGCAGCGTCCCAAAATCCATTCCGTGATACGTGGTTCCACTGCCACGGTCTGCATCCCTGCCAAGATCAGATAAGCTGCGCGCCCTTGCGTCTTCCTCCGCTTTTTTCTTTCTCTTCCCTCTCACGATGCCTGTTCCCTCGCCAATGGATGGATTTTGCCTCGCTCGTTGCTATGTACTGTACGGTGCAGTGCTCTTGCGATCGGCACAGCTGCCTTATGGGGGTCGGGATCGTCCGCGCCTAGATTGGAAGTGGCTTCACTTTTGGCTGTGATGAGCAGTGTCAATATTTGGAGCCTCTATTGGCATTTGACTAGGCCAGCTGGTGGTGATGGGTGGATGGAGCTGTCTTTGTCGTATGTAGCATGTCGTATTGATCTGACTTGTTACCCCGGGTTTTTGTGTTGCCGCCACGGCTGCTCCCTAGTAGTACGTACGAGTAATACTAGATTGATCGAGATGTTGGCAATAGTAGTTTGTCCGCTAGTCATGACACAAACAACTACTCGTGCTGCTGCTGCAGTGGCCATCTCGAAATTTATGCCGGTATTGTGCAAGCCTCGACCGTCTCGGATGCAGCAAAGACGCCCTCCCGCCCTCCCCCCAATCGTCCAAGACATGCAGCCCAGGGCAATTAAACAATGCCAGTCCCGCCCAGATGCCGAGCACTAGTAGTGAGTAGTACTAGTCGTAACAGAGAGTATGAGTAGTAGTAGAATCCAAAGGAAGAATGACGAAAAGAAACGGCAAAGGGGACAAGAGAAGAAATCGTACGATCCCCACGTCTCCCCCCCTCCAGCCGTGATTCGATTCGATTCGCTCGCTCGCTCAACCACCCGTCCGGTAATACTCCTCCACGCCCTGCCACCAGCTCTTGATCCCTGCCACGTCCAGCCACGACAAGTCCCACGGGTCCTCAAACCACCACCGCCTGTCGCCGTCGCTGGCGTACTTCTTCAGGCTGCCCCCGTCGAACCGGTGGTTCTTGACGCCGACCAGCAGCACGGCGCTGCCCACCCGCGGCGTGAACCCGTCCGGGTCCAGAAACACCGTCAGGTGCACCTGCTTGGCCGTCGACGGGTCGGCGATGCGTGCCGTGCGCTGCTTGCCCGGCGCCAGATGCGACGGCTCCACGGGCGACAGCGAGGCCACAATCGCCAGCACGTTGACCGACCAGTTCTGGGCATAAGGGAGATGCGGAATCAGCCGCAGCGTCGTCAGCTTGAGGGGCGTCTGGTGGTCGTGCCAGTCCCTGGGCAAGGCAATTGGCTGCTGCTGCTGCTGCTGCTGTTGTTGCTGCTGCTGTTGCTGCTGCTGCTGCTGTTGTTGCTGCTGCTGTTGCTGCTGCTGCTGCTGCTGCTGCTGCTGCTGCGGCTTGTCGCTGCCCGCTGCCGTCTCCCTTGCGTTGGATGCAGCCGCCGGCTTCTTGCGCGTCGTTTTCCGCGCCGGAAACGTGCGGGCTTCAAAGGCCTCGAACGCGTTCTCCAGGTCCTCGTCGTCCTCGTCGTCGTCCTTCCCGTCCTTGTCGTCCAGGGGTCGACGAGTCTGGGCCTTGCCTCTGTCTTGGAATCTGGCCTTGGTGGGAGTCTGGACTGAGGGCGAGGCTTGCACGTCTGCGAATCGGACGACGCCTCGCCTTGGCCCGGATGCCCTTGGCGTCGTCTGGGCCTCTTCCGATACCGTCCCCTGCTTCTCTGCTGCGAGTTGCTCGTCTGTGCTCACCTTGGCCGTGACCGCAGCTGGCTGTTCAGCATCCTCAGCATCCTCAGCACCCGCGACGTCTTTGCCCTTTTCATGCCGACGCCACATGGCCATATATGACTCGTTCCATCCAGCCGTCTCCAGCTCGTTGACAATCAGATACACCATGCCCCTTTCGTCCTCTTTCTCTCTCTCCTCCCTCTCATCTTCCTCTTCGTCCCCTTGGTCAACGAGATTCTGCCCATCGCCGCCAGGCTCCTCGAACCGCATAACAAAGTCCCCCACTCGCACGCAGCATCCGACAAACACGTCTCTCTTTTCCACTAGGTAAAACATGTCGGGGTGCAGCAGGGCCTGGATGCACAGCTCGCCGTCCCCCAGCACCAACCTGACGGCGTGAGAGTCGTCGTCCTCGGGCGTCGCAGCCGGCGCCGGCATCACGTCGATGCCCTCGACGATGAAGATGGAGCCTGATATGCAGCGGCGAGTGCTGAGCATCTGCCTGATCAGTGGCTGAAGCGTGAATGGCTGCTGGCTGGGAGCGGTTGTTATGGCGGCAGGATTGAGGCGAGCCATCGTTTGACACCACTTTTGCGCTGTGGCATCTTTGCAGAGGAGAAGCCCGAGGTTTATTTGCCGCCGCAGGTTGCGAGCGCCATTCCCAAGGCCCGTATACAATCGTAAATTCACGATCCAGAGCGTAGATTCAAACTCCGTAGTGCAAATGTACCACCCAGCCAACCCAAGGGCGATGGCTTGGCAGCTAAAGGCACGATGATGCATCTATCCGGGTTTGCCTCAATCGGGGCATTCCTTACCATCTCCACCAAAAATGAAGGAACAATGAAACTCGGTGTTTTGGTGCTCCCATCTTGAAACTATCGTCTTCGTCTTCTTTGTCCAACAAGGAGACAGTCTCAACGCCATGAGTCACCCTGAAATACTCCAAAAAGAGCTGGAAACGGCGTTTGGGGCCCTCCGCCAGGCCTCCAAATTAAGCCAGCTCATCATCTCCTCTCAGGATAAAGGAACCATCACAAAGGACGACTTTAGCCCCGTCACCATTGCAGACTTTGCCATCCAGGCCCTCTTGATTTCCACCTTTAAAGATGCATTTCCCGAGGATACCTTTGTAGGAGAAGAAGACGCCGCCGATTTGCGAGCCAACGAGGCATTAATGAGTCGTGTCTGGGATCTTCTCAACACCATTGCCCAGGACGAAGACACTCAGAGGGGCGCCTGCAAACTACCCCAGACCAAAGACCAGATGTGCGATCTGATCGACCAGGCGGGCACGAGCCATCCAGGGGGGGCAGGATCTGGCAGGGTTTGGGTGTTTGATCCGATTGACGGCACCAAGACATATCTGAGGGGCGAGCTGTACGCCATCAATATCGGTCTGATTGTCGATGGCAAGCAGACTCTGGGTGTTGTTGGTTGTCCCAACCTATCGTTGAATCACAAAGGCCCCCTTCGAAATAGCGATATTGATCCTGAAGGCAAGGGCTGCATCGTTTATGCCATCAAGGGCCACGGCGCCTTTGCGAGGTCTTTGCAAAGTGAATCTCAACATGTCAAGCAGCTGCCTAAGCAACCTGCAACTGCAACACAGGATCTAAGCTTCGTCACATGCACTGGTCTCGTCGATTCAGCCCTCGACGGCGTTCATGAAGTGGTTGCGGAGCGTCTGGGAGTCGCATTTCCAAGAAGCGATCTTGTTCCTTGGGTGCTTCGCTGGGCCGCCATGGCTCTTGGTATCGGCAACACGACTGTCTGGGTGTACAAGCGCCGAGACAGATTTGCGAAATCCTGGGACCATTCAGGCGCCATGCTGCTCTTTGAAGAGACGGGTGGAAAGATTACAGACGTGCACGGCAAAGATATTGACTTGTCGGCTGGAAGAAAGTTGAGTGCCAACTTTGGCTTTGTGGCAGCGCCGGTAGCAGTCCACGATACAGTATTAAAGACAGTCCACGATGTATTAAAAGAGCAAGGGAGAGACGAGTTCTTGCAATAGGTGTAAATTGTATAGTGTAAAATAGGAAAAGCACGAGGGTGGCATTGCGACGATTGTTACTGCATCACATCTGAATTAGAAGACTTGTACAAGCTTGTCATTACAACTATTCCATATCAACAAACATATAATATTACATGAGTAAAGTTGATTCTACAAACTATTTCGTATACACACCGTGACTAACGGCGTGATATCCCTTCTTTCCTACTATCTCGACCAACTCGCTGCGCCAATCCTCACCGCGAGCCAATTTCTCAATGATCCCTGCAAACGTGTATTCGGGCTTCCAGCAAAGTTCTCGAACGGCTTTTCCCGAGTCGTAGACACGATCCATTCGATCTAAATAGTTCCATCCTTTCTCCCGAAACACTTCTGCGGCTGCAGGAACTACTTTGTCAAGCACTTCTCCTGGGTTTCTGTCCAGGGCAGCCAGCGTCTCTGGATCATTCGAGAATGGCGGCGGCGCACTGATGATGTACTTGGACCATCCAATTTGTCCAGCCTTTTCCATAGCGCATACCGTTGCCGAAACGATATCCTTGATATCACAACGACGATACGCCATCTCCAAGACCTTGAGATTGTCGTCGCTCATCGCATTCCGTCGATCCTCATCGTCATCTTCCTCTGGAAAGAAGCGGCTCACACGAAGAACCAGAATCGGAAGGTTATGCTGCTTGTGGAAGAGCTGGCAAACATCTTCAGCCGCAATTTTAGTCACCCCATAGATGTTTTTGGGAATGGGAACGACCGTCTCGTCGATCCAGGCTGCGGGGGAGCCTGGCTTGGGGCTGAGCGAAGAGCCAAAGGCGCTGGTGGTGCTGAAGAAGACGAAGCTTTTGATTAGATCGCCGAGTTTGGCTGCTTCTTCGAGAAGTAGCAGAGTGCCTGCAATGTTTGTCTGGACAAAGTCGTTTTTGGTGTGGGATCCGACGTGAGGCTTGTGGAGAGTTGCCGTGTGGAGGACGTGCTTGATGGGGTATTTTTGAAAGATGCTGGTGATGAGGGCTTCGTCTGTTATTGAGCCGACGCAGGTAGTTGTTGGAGAAGCGAGAATGTCGATTCCAATTGGTGTGAAGCCGAGTGATGGCAGAGTTATCATGAGGGCATGGCCCAAATGGCCAGATGAGCCCGTGACAAGAACATCGTATTGGGTGTCTGTAGAAAGCGGCATGTTGACACACTTATTCCTTAGATGTATAGGGATTGACAGAACGAAAAGAGAGAGAAAAGAGGAAAGTAATGAGAGACTAGAGATGCTTAGATTAAATATTAGACTCAACATAGGTGCATACATGTTTGACACACGAAATCACAGGTTGAAAAACGTTTGTTCTGATATTGTCGCCAAGAATTCAGAGTAGTGAGTGGGGTGCGCTGAGGGTATGCGGCGAATGAGTCGAGAAGCCGGCCACGTTAGTCTAGAAAAGGCAAAAAATGAAGTCGGCGAAGAGAGACGGGGTTAGAGCAATCTCGTGTTTAGCTTGATTCATAAAGAACGAGGTTGAGCGTTAGTTTGGTCTTGGACAGATGTGGAAATAATAAACGTTGAAGTAATAAGAATGGGCCCGTTGTCGGATCAAGAGATGGATTTAGAGGTTAGCTGTTTGCTAAGAGCGTGATGACGTGAAGACGTTAACGCTGATTCGGGTGGAGTTGGGAAATCAATACTGAGGTGAAGCCTAATGACTCTGCTGAATACCTGTAGTAGTTCTAATGGAAAGGTACTTAAATGGTCAATGTCAATTCTGTTTGGGTTGAAACGCAGAGAGCGTTGAGCTGCGTTTGCAAGGGTTTTTGTGCCAAACATAGCAGAAAACCACAAAGTGGTGTGAAGTGATATTTCGCTGGATGAAAATAATAGCTACTATGGATGCCCAAGGGTTGGCGTATTCCAGCTTCTTCAATACAATACCCAGCATTTGACTGTCCTGCTTTGGTGTGATGCAAGCTGTTTCTAGCTGTGTGTTCCCACCACCTATGAGTCACTTGAACTACTTACTTGGTAGATGATCCAGCCTCGAATAGTATCTAAACCTAAACAGAATGAGATCTTCAACTCACTACGCGCGCATTCAATGGCCTGCAGGCAAAGATCCTCACTCTCATCTCTTCACAACGTCCCCGGCCATTCTAATTCTCACGCGCACTACAATGCCAAATCCCGTCAATGTCTCCCATAACCCAAACTCGTTTTCCTTTCTAAACGTGACTTGTTCGGCTTTGGCAGTCATCACCACGTCATCTTTGGGTTCCTCAGCCGCGGGGGGTGCTGGCCGGACAGGTTCGTCCGATTTCTTGAACAGACCCCAGATACCGGATTTCTTGCTGCCGTTGGCTTGACTGGCGCACCGATCCCTAATCGATTGCGTGTTTTTGGGAATAGAGGCGGGCCGTTGAGGTTGTAGATGCTTCGCAAGCCGCCGCGCCATGTCTTCGTTTTCCCACCAAAGTGACGGACTCGTCCCATCATCACCACCCTCCGACAGAGCATAGCCGTCTGTTTTCTTTTTCGTTTGGCCGTCGCCTTTCTTTGTATTTTCGCGAACACGAATCAGCGTCCTAAACTCGCCCGCACGCCTTTCATCCTCGTCGCTAAACTTCCAGCCCTCGCCGATGGCTGCATCGGGCACAAACGTCGCTTCCGCAAGCCTCGGCGTCGGATGGATCTCTGAAATAGAGGACAAGAAATATTCCATGTATGGCACGATGAGCGACAGCACGTAGCTGTCGCGGTCATCTCTGGCCGAGGCTCGGGCAGCCTGCGAGGCGGTGATTTCGCTTCGAAGGCCGGCTACGTGAGACGAGAATATGGATGAAGGCCTTGCGTCTGAGTGTTGGGCTGAGGCGCTGCTGGTGGGATTCGCACTTGGTGAGTACGGAGGTGGAAGGTCGTTTCCATCTTCAAAGTCAAGATGGTCGTCCATGGTAAAAGCAAATGGCTGGTTGTAGCTGTGATACAGCTACACGTCAATCACAAGTACTTGATGAGCACAGGTAAAAGTGATATTGTTAAAGTTACATTGTTCAAGCAGCCTGTCTCTGCGGCTGAACATTAACACACTCAAAGTGAGGCGGCTTAGCGCCGAGACAGAAATCCGCCTTGAAAAAGCCTTTGTCTGCACTGCCTTTGCATTTAACTTGCGCTTTATTCGCAATCAGCCTAACGAGGCGTAGTGCAAGTATCGCTCAGAGGCCCAAGTCGCACTGTGTTTGATATAAATTAGTGCCTCAAGAGGAGGTCAGATAGAGCAGGACTGGAAGATAAATAAATGCAAACATTCAGCAGTATAAGCACCTAATTAGATCATCAAGTGATACTTTTGTAAGGCAACGCCTATTCAGCCACACCTAAAGTTGACTGTATAACTATAATAGCAGTTACTACAAGATAATGGACAGAGTAGCAGATACTTTATTAAAGAACAGGCGTATGTTTTAGCGCGTGGGCGTTTATAATTTTCCCAGCCTCGGGTTTTCTGCTTCTGCTTGTACCTATATGCTCTTTTTACTTTCATGCCGTCACCTTACCATTAAAGCCAATTTTCCTCTGAATGCAATCTTTTGGGTCGTCATCATGATTGTAGAGATTAATCTAGACGAGAAGCATAAACATTTTAGATAGTATGCATGGAGAATACTTATGTGGCCCTCGACTACTTGGAGAAGTAGTTGCTCTACTGTTGCTGCATGATTTACTCAGTGCCTGATGGCCTCATGTGACACTTCACCCTTCAGTAGTTGAAGATTTTTATTCAGGGGCACTGCCCATGAATTGAGGTTCTAGAGCCTTATATCGAAGATTTGTGGCTCAGGTAGACAAGCTAACAGACCTAATGGTAAATGCTCGACGCTTCTCGTTTTCATCCGCAGCACAACTCGTCCATGTGAAAAGAGCCTGTGCTCATCAGATTAACTATAAGATAGCCTAGTATCCACCCCATCTCTGACGATATCAACGCCGGTTTTAGTTATGATCAGCGCTCCAAATGCGTTACGTGTCCCAGGCTTCCGAGGTGTCTTATCAGAAGCGATTGACACAATGCGATATCTGTAACCTTCATATCTCGATGGCGGCTTGGCAATCTCACTGCGGCACTCAAAGGGGCTTCCCATACCTCATCTTCTCAAGGGCTCGTTGTAAGATAACATATAATCAACAATCTATCTTGCTCTGTTAGCATCTTCCAACATCTGAATGATTGCATTGTTTCTGTTGATGAACGCAAGTTGGAGACGAATCATGCCGGCATTGAATCTGTTTTCATGCAATCCCTCCCTGCTGTCAATTTCCAATGCGCTCCTCCTTTTTTCTTCCAGGCGCTTAAGCTCTGCATTTTCATTTTCTCTCTTAATCTTGGCAGCTTCCAGTGGTGTGAACTTGCAGCCACCTACAAATTCAGGATCAGCACCGTATCTGAGCAGTAGGTCTACTAGTTCGACAAAGGCCCAGTCAATCGCGTATAACAATGGTGTCTTATACGTAGAGTTAGTAACTCTATCGCGATTTTTTCCCAATAACATTTACTCACAATCTATCCGATTCGTGAAGATCAGCATATCTAATGTAGATATCAACAATATAGTTAGCTTGACTGAATTCGCTTACAGGCTATAATCTCAATGTTAGCTTTATCAATTGTAGCTGTAGCGATATCAATGATAGTAGGATACCTCTACTTGTTACAATAGCAAGTAATCAACTTCAATGTTGTAATACTTGAATACCGAACGTAAAGAGATGTTGTATGCTTACCTCGTTCCCATCGCCATTGAAAGTACCACCCGGCAGGTATACGTTCTGCATATCAAATAGTGGCATGTCAGCTATCGAATACGATTAGTTGGAGTGGTGTATATTGCTCACCGTACAAGTGTAATCCACTCTCGCTCCACCTTTCAGCAGCATCTCAACCAGCCGGGGAATCATTGGATCATCGCATCTTTCCATAGCGAACATTAAAGGGGGTTTGCCATCCCGATCGCCCTTATTCACGTCGGCTCCCCTCTCTACCAGTAACTCAACAATGTTTGTTTCCCTCCCTTCGGCAGCTGATATTAATGGGGGTTTTCCATTATGATCGCTTTTATTTATATCAGCTCCTTTCTCTATTAGTAACTTAGTAATATTTATTTCCTTCCTTTCAGCAGCTGCTATTAATGGGGTTTTTTTAAGATAATCGCTTTTGTTTACGTCAGCTCCTTTCTCTATTAGTAACTCGATAATATCGATTTCCCTTGATTTTGTGGCCAATAATAATGGGGTGGTTTTGTTATTATCTCCCTTGTTGATGTCAACTCCCTTCGTAATCAATAACTTGATAGTGTTCGTATTCCCCTGGTCAATGGCCAACAGTAACGGGGTAGTACCTTTATAATCGCACTTGTTGGCGTCAGCTCCCCTCTCTATCAGTAACTCGATAATATTCGGTCTCTCCCGTTTGGTGGCCAAAGCGACGAGACTGATGCCTCCGTCATCCGTCACTCTTGGATCAGCCCCACTGTCGAGCAGTCGCTTGACAACGGGGTCGTGGCGACGCTTCACGGCAGACAAAAGCAGTTTGCGGCGAATCTCATCTACCGAACTAGCTGTGCCCCCCTCATTAATTTGGTTGCTATGTCCTCTTGTCTATAGCAAAGAGCGTAAGATATTGGCGTTCCTCCAATTGTATCCACCATGTCCACACGGGCTCTTGCTTTAAGTAGCCTCTTGACAATAGTCAGATGCCCATTCCATACAGCATAAAATAACGCTGTTCGGCCATCCCTGTCTGTTTGGTTGACATCTGCGCCTCTCGCGAAGGATAGACGGATCGCGTTTTTGACGGCCCTTTTCCCATAAAATTTGGGGCCTTTAATTAGTAACCGTACAACACTATCAAATCCGTTCTCCGATGCAAAAGAGAGCGCCGTACGATAATATGATCCGTCGACAGAATCTATTTCAACGTTTTCTGATTCGATCTGTAAGGTTACGATAATTTCAATTCCAAAGTATGAGGCAATCATAAGTGTTGTGAACTGTAAAGGAAAGTCCGTGTATATGTCTGTCCAATATATTGTGAACCAAGCCGGGCAATGATGGGATGTAGCATTGCAAAGTCGCTGTAATTGCTCTAGAATTTCATTTCCTGTGATATTTGACTGTCGGATATGTGAAGCCCAGTTTTTTGCCGAGTATCCAAAGAATATATGATCGCAAAGATATTTGGGAACATCTGCTGCCCCTGAAGGCGGCCGAGTTTCAAACTCTGTAAAGAGCAAATGCCAAATACAAATCTTGCAAAGAATGCGATGAGATTCCGATGGTATAAGTGAGAATTTCCAAGTAAGACTCCTGGTGCGACCTTTTCGAAGAACCTCTTCTGGTTGTGCGGGGCTGTATTCTTGGCTGTTCGCATTGTTGTTGGACACTAAAAATTCTTTCGCCGTCTGATGTAAAAGATAAATTTTCTCATCTGTAATATTTATGAAGAGACCACAGAGGTCTCTGATGTACTTGCCGACGCGATCGCTGGGTCTAAGAGCCAAGTCTTTGTAAAACCGATGATGCGGTCGAATTACTAGTGCCAGCTCCATCTCCGCGAGGGTCAAGGGCCGCTCAGCCGCTACTACAATATGTAGTAGTTTCTTGGTTTCTTCCACATCTGTGCTCTTAGATAAAATCTTGTCGTAAGCCTCGTCAACTGTCCGCGGAAGGGTAGAAGTGACTTTGCGTATCTCGACTTCATTGATCTTGTTGTTTATTTCGGTTTCAATCCATTCAAGAGTGAGAAAAACCCACAAGTATGTCTGATTATGGATAGCTCCAAGTTCTTCCAGAAGGATTTCCTCCTCTTTTCGCGTAAGACCAAGATTTGCTCGAATGCGAGAGACTCTGTCTTTGATATAGAGGCTGATCTCGCCAGCAATTTTCTCCACTTCGGCATCGCCATCGCCTTTCAAGTGAATTACAGGGCATTCTTGAATATCGAAAGGCCTGACCAAATCTCGTCGGATCGTATCATAGGGACGACTGGTGATAAGGAACTTTAAATTGATAGTGCCTTTAGTATCATCGCGGAGGCGATAAAATTCGCGCAGAATTTTTGCAAGGTCTTGCCGTTCTTGACTTGCACATTCATCGAATGCATCGAGGATGCAGATAATCTCGCCTGCCGTTTCCCCCCGCGCAGTCATAGTTAAGATGTCCCAGAGCTCCCAGAGTTCATAATATGAATTGGCAAGAGGTGCTTTGTAAGACTTAAATCGCTTTATGACCTCGGCAGATAGAAGATTCTCTCTTTGTATAAAAAGTTGATGCAATATGCAGCTAAGAGCACCTCTGGCGCTCCTCTGATCTTCAAAATCGTCCTTGAAGAAAAAATAGCAAGTCATTCTTTGTTCTGTGCTTTCAAGCTCCTCGATCAGATATTTAGCCAAGACGGACTTCCCACATCCGGGGTTTGCAGATACCCAGAGCATAGAGGAAGATGTGTTGTCTCGCCAGTGGTGAAAGTCGCGATGGTTCATAAACCATTCACATGTTCCTGGAACACGGTCGGGATTGCGATTTTTTCTCTGTAGGTATGGCGATGTATAAAGTGACTGTAGTATTTTCTCTCGAGAGTTTTCTGTATTGGTAAACTTGGTCAGTGGTGTGACCCTTCAATGATTTGGCGGGTCCCTACCATTGTTGAAATATGCTGAGTTATAATTATGTATGGTACCACTGCCTACCATAATTTGGTGGCTTCGCCCACCATAGTAATTCTGATGGCCGGTTCCATTCGAGGTGATGTGTTGAACAAGGTCATTTTCATTGCCGCGTTCCATTCTGGTCTTCGTAAGAGCCACGGCTGACGCCACCCAAGAGAGACGGGGTATTCCCTGGCTCGAGTTCTGGGCCTCTATGCTACCGCTTGAACGTGAAGAATATACTGTAAGGCGAGATGGTCTTGTCGCAGGTAGAGCAATATGGATCGTGGCAGGAAATTAAGATACGTGTAGTCTAGCAAACATGCCATAAACCCATATTTTGGCGAAGGAAAAGGACAATGCAAATGCGGTATGAGAGATGGAGAGGAATTATGCCAGATGAGGCTCCAATACCAAACCCAACGGCGTTCACGTGCAGGTACCCTTGCTTCCAGGTTGCGTTCGTGTGGTTGGAGGAGTGTGAAGAGTGGAGCTACCTGTACACAGAGGAAGAGTCCTCTCCAATGACCAATGTGGTTGGATAGTATGTGTACATGTAGATACGTAGGACCGCTGCCTTTCTCTCGGGTCAGATGGTTGGTGGAAGGACGATACAGCCCAGATCTTTGGAGCCCAATAGATGCCCGACAGGAGCATCAGGTTGAGGAACGTCCAAACACACAATATCTTCTTTAGCCGCAGTGATGAGGCTCTTCTTCGTTATATAGACCGTATGCTGTAGGAGAATTGCGCAAGGACTATTGCATTCTCTGATGATGAAAGCCTCTTCTATTTGCTACGAACCATATGTAGCTGTGCACACTCTATATCTACAGCATGCGCGTATGGAGCCATCCATTCTTCGCTAAACGAAACCCCTACACAGTTGCAATTACAGATTCTCGCAAGAAGATCGAATAGGTCCTCCTAACACCAGAAAGAGTAACATTGGATTTTCATCTATCTGTAATAATGTATCGCCCAAGCACAGCCTTCATAACAGAAGCAGCCGTAGCAGCAGCATACCGTTGCCACAAGTCATTCTTGTGGCTATCGGCGTAATCACACACACCCTTGACGATAATGCAAGGAATCTCATCCCAGACACCCGCCCCCTCCATCTCAAGCGCAATTACCTTTTGTTCCTCGGCAATCTTGTCTCTGTGCTCACCAGATTTCATCACCGAGTTCCCAGAGGCTATTCGCCCAACGAATATTTCTGGTTCTCCAGTCAAACCTCTCACCTCTAGGTCCGTTCTCTTCACTAGTTGTGTCTGGTCGCAGCCAAGGTCAATGCAAGACGCCTTGGCAGCCTGCTCACAAAAGGAATCAGTCTGACTGTCACAGAAGATGCATGGTCGTGGGCCTCGATGCTTGTGTCGATATGCGGTAAAGAAAAGCTTGTCGTTGTTTATCCCAGGATACTGATAATTCTGTGGTCGTCGCTTCTTTGCGGCTGCACTCTGTAAATCTTTTAGATACAAGCACGCTTTTTGTTGTAGCTGGTCTCTTATATGCTCCGTCTCGAAACTTGCGACTAAACTGCGAATGTTCTTATTCGGCCGACCGAGGCTGTCATCAACGGTATCTTTAATCACAAACGCCTTGTGATATTGCTTGCCCAGGTCATACTGAACGGCAGATTTGCTGATAATGACATCGCCTAGGTGAATTTCATTCTCACCACTTCTTGGCACGCCACCACAGATCCCAACTAAGAATGCAAGCTGCAAGTTTGGATAACTAGACCGAAAGCTTGCTGCTGCTCCAGCCGCAGCAACTGTGCCCATGTTGGGAAGAAGTGCCAGCACAACGTCGTACTGACCCATGCGGCCGTTTGTGTAAGAGTTCATGTCTCCGCGGGCGCGGCCGTACGACTCATCATCGTCCCAGAACTTGTCGAAAAGTAAAGAAACGACGTCGTACTCGAGTGGCAGCGCACAGATGATGGCGATTTGGAAATCTTCACGGCTACGCGGGCGACCTCCAGCTTGCGCCTGGCTAGCGGATCGGCGCTGTAGCTGATCACTTCCTACGGTGTTATTCGCATCCGCATGACATGAATCATGACCGCTTTGACCTTCGGGATAAGGGGACACTTATACACGAAAAGGGTCAGCTTGATTGAGAATGGAATTTGGATATTATATCTATGGCCCCGTACCGAAGCTTATGTTTGTTGCGTGGTAATTAGTAATAGCGCCGTTGCCATTAAAGACGTGATGCCCCCGACCACCATAGTAAGACTGATTGCCCGTTCCTCCAGAGGCAACATTCTGCGTGAAGTTGGCTCCCGAGGTCTTGAACTCATCATCTGAGACGGACGATTCCACCTGCGACATTGTGTCAATAGCCTCTTTTAGCTCGTCAAACTTCATGTAATCTTCAGCTTTGAGCAAGTCTCTGGTAAACAACGTGTCCAGGTCCTGTAGGAGGCCGAGCATGACGACCTCGACACGGTACGATTTTCCCATCTTGAGCAGAGTGTCGCGATAGCAGTCCAAGACGGATCCATCGTTTGAGTCATTCTCCATCTCCTTGCCAACTTGACTGAATATTTTTTGCAACATTTTTGCCTTCTTTTCGAGACTAGTAGCTAAAGGCTGGACAACCCCCGTAGAAGATTCATCCCAGGCGGTGTTTTTGCGGGCATAGCTGAGAGTCTCCCCCGTAACTGGGAAGCACTGATTGACTTGTATAAATTCGTCGGGAAGATTGTCCAGATCTTCTATATCCCGCCCATATTGTGCAGATGTGTCTTGAACCGTTGCAAACGCGGGCTTAAAGACATCGCGACGTTTCGATTCAGCCGGCATGCTGTTGGTCTGTCACGGCGGGCAGGATTAATGTCGGAAAGGGTATTCTTTTCTACATGTTGTGTCAGACGTTTATAATTGCTTATCCGCAGATGATCGTACCTTTTGATTAGAAGGCTCGTTTCTTGACTCTCTAGCACCTGACTGTTGGCTAGTGAATAGAGACTCTCCATTCACTAACCCGCAATATTCAGCCAGACTATGGGGGGATGGCGGGAGCGAGACGACAACACGTAATTAGAGAGTCCTTTACAACGAAATCAAGGCAGGAAGGACATGGAACACACGGAAGGAGAGGGGTTTAACAGACGAGGCTCTAGGCGCCCTTATGTCAGCTACAGGATTGCAGATGGGTGTAGGAGTTGTGATCATTTCCGGGTTAGCGTTCTGCATCTTGAATCTCGGTGTTTCATGTCGACGGATGAGTGGCCAGCCTCGCAGTTAACCGCTCACGCGTATTAGAGGGTGTGCTTCAACACACGAGGCTCGTTGCCCTGAGTGGTCCGCGGCGTGCGGCTGAATACATGTACATGCAGTCCAGTTTCGCCTTATTACAAGGTCCATATACATACAGTACCAGTCTTACTGACGAGAGGTGGAGTATGCCGGGACGGGCCGGCGCCAGAAGATTCGCCAAACTACCTAAGGTACATGTAGTTGAGAACCGTCTTGGAATTGCTCACACACGGAAGAAAAGAAAAGCCTAGGACTTCGTGCCGTGTTGGCATCCCCATGGCGTCAAGCATACAGTAGTGTCTTTAACAACGCCTTGGCAGCCTCGAAGCGCCTCAATCCGGTGCAGCGAGGCAACCCAAGGCAGCTCCAGCTTAAATCCGGGCGGCTAGTGAGCTGGCGATGCATTATTAGGCTCTGTTAGTAGAGCAGAGCAGAGCAGAGCAGAGCCGCAACAGTCAAGACGAGGGCAGCTGGAGGGCCAACAGCGGCTGCTCTTTCGGGCTCAATGTGTGACGATAGCCCGCATGTGCAGACGCCATATAACTTGCTTGCCAGAGGAGGTTTTGCATCTCATCAACGGCTAGTTTGACGAGAATACTTATCTGGAATCGAAGCTGAAGAGTACATATGTAGGTCACCAAACTTCAAAGGTGAGTGCTTCAACCGCATTGAATCTGTCTTGTGCGAGATGCAATTTGTGACGGCCACTTTTACCGCTCCCAGCACAAGCGGGCACCAGCATGAGGGTGGCGCTCATGTCAGTTATCTAAACCCTAACAACTAATAGGCTCTCGATAAAGTATTCAACTCATTACAATAAATAAGGAATCCGACCTTTCTATCGTGCTCCTCTTACATCTACAACTCCAAGTTCCCATTCGTTTGCGCCGTCTTTCCCACCACGTCCTTGAGCTCCGTCTCTGGCTGGATACAAGCAACAATCGTCTTGCGCAACATCGTCGCCTGCTCAAACGCGTACGCAATCTCAACGAGCACCTCTTCGCCGAACCGCGCGCCGGTAAATCCCAACCCAAACGGCTAGTTCGGACCCTTGAGATTCAGTGTTCCAAACTCATTCCTCACCAACGGCGCGTCGTCGGGCGTCCGTCCTACGGGGACTGGTTGCCTAAAGGAGCTGCAAGCATGCTCAGATACTCCGTGGGGAGGACCATGGCATCGAGAGTGTTCCTTGAGCGCGCCGGCAATTCCTCGAGGGCCAGCGAGCTCTGCCTGGGCGCTATGATTCTCCCACCACATTGGCGAAGTGTTGTCGTAACCTCTGCTGATGCCTCTGTCCCAAGCCTGGGTGCCCTTTTCGGGATACTCTTCGCGGACGTCTCTCTGGATAAACTCGCGCAGCCGAATCATTGTCGTGATGTTGTTGGGGTTTGTCTTGAGCTGCGAAAAGTATCGAGGTATGTCGGCCATCATGTCTGGACCCGTGACAAACGGGCTATATTTCCTGCTGGCCATGTCCGCTGCGCCGGTCAAGAAGATGTCGTCCACAACTTCGGCGCCCTGCTCTCTCAATACGTCCAGCGCAGAGTTGAAAGCCTCAATCGTGTGTTCCGTGGGCTTGTCTGACCCCAACTCCAGCATGTGTCAAGGAACACCAATCCGCGTCCCATGCAGGCCCTTGCCCTTACAAGCGGCGGCGTAGTCTGGGGGTTTCTCTCCAAACGGCGATGCATACGTGTAATTGTCGTTCTTGTCTGATCCGGCAACGGCCGATAACAGGTATGCGGCATCCTTGACAGTTCGCGCCATTGGTCCAACGGTATCCTGATGCTCCGAGATGGGAACGACGAGATACCTGGACGTCAGCCCCATGGCGGGCTTGATACCGACCAAGTTATGCTTGCTCGACGGATCCGCAATGGAACCAGTCGTATCAGCGCCCAAAGCCGCCCAGGCCAAACCAACCGAGGCCGCGGTTCCGCTGCCAGACGACGAACCATCGGGATTCATCTCAGGGAATCACGCGCCGATACACTGCCCGCCATACGCAGATCATCCTTGGGTAGTGGCCCGGATCAAGTCCACGCTGGTGAAATGCCCGGCATTGAGGCCTGATTGTAGTTCACCAAGAGTCGCGTCGAGCGGAGGGGGGGATTCAACGCGGCCATTTCTGGACGCACAATGGCTAGCTGGCAGAGAGGAAGCCATCATCATCATTTTGCTGGGCATTGTTAATGATTGTCGTCCCTGGCGGAGAGGTTGTTCTTATCAAAGTCCAAGCTCATGTGATGATGAGGTTACCGCCACCCATGGTATCATTACATCTCAAGTGGTTTCTTGCTGGCTAGTTGATTCTAGTGGTGGTTGTACCCCCCAGGAGAGAGTCTTACGTACGAGCCTACCTACACAATCTCTGTGACCCCAGCTAGCGTGGTTTATATAAATAAATACGCGCGTCCTGAGACAACAGTTTTGACGGCAGACGTGCAAGAAATTAGAGACAGAAGATGATACAAGACAAGAGTCTTCCTCTTTTGATGCCCTCACAGCGTCTTCGTGCTCGGTGCCATGAGACCTCCGACAACAATCTCTCCACCTCCAATCGTCTCATCAAGGGCATCAATTCACTTTCGATCAAAGCCGCTTGCTGACCTTGGCCACAGCCGGAGAGGAGCGTCAGCATTGGTCAAGTCTGAGGTACCTACAAACACGTGTACAGCCGCAGCGAGTGATGGGTACCTCTCTCTTGGCAACCATCATCGCCATGCGCCGAGGACTGCGTCTCTCTCGCATGGGTTGCTTCTCTGAACCTCGCGGAGCATAACGCCGCCGCTTCCCTTCTCAGCCAGCTAAACAGCAGATAGCTTTTGGCACTGTTGTTATTTTGCCTGTAACTGCGGCGCGATGAAATGTGGCCTTGGGTGCGATACAGAGAGACTTTCCCTAATCTTTGGCTACTGAATTGATTGGTTCCGGTAATAATACTACCTAGTATTCACTGTAGTGCCGTGATGATTTTCGCGACAAGGCGAACCAGTCATATTGGGTAGATTCTCATAACTGTGCCACCCCAATTGAATGTCAATATTGTCCGTTTCTTGACCTTTGCCTCCTGGCTTTCTGTGGGCAAACTCCATAACTTATATTAGCTCCGACCGGCGCGCCTATAAAGATACCTTTGACGTGAAACCCGACATTGAGTCGAGGCTTGACAAATTCCCCAAATTGCCTCTGAGCCTATAAAGATTCCAAATCTTTACTTTATTAGGCAAACCTCTATCTGGTATAGATTGCGCAGCGTTTAATCTTGATTAGTAGTCTCTACGATCTTCTACTTAGAATCTAGATCGGTTTCTCCAGCGCAAATAATAATCAAATACTCCGTACCTAGAGCTACTTTACAACATTGGACACATTACACATTGTGAGTTGACCGCATAGCATTATACAATACGACCTAGTAATTAAGATTCCAAACCTCTAGTTTAGGCAAGCCTATATCAGGACTCAACTCCGTAACCGCAAATATATGTTCAATTCCACAGAACGACTACGCAGTTTATATTTCAAGATAAATTTACCTTTTTCTATAAGCATCCCACTATATTATATCAGGTATATTGCAAGGACAACTTTAGACATGGCAGATGTAATCCAAAACGTCATTATAGTCAGGGTATGGCAGTGCAATATCTCTACCTATTTTCGATATATTTGCCGATGCATCGCAGGCCGGTGGTACCATTGGCCCTACTTTGCTTGCCAAACTTCGCAATGCAGGCTTCAATGTTTCGATCCTTGCCTCGTGGGGCTTCCAAGGCTACCTATCTAACCGATATTCCTGTCCACCGGACAGATCTTAGTCATTCATCTCTTGTGACGGCTTTTCATGGTATTTATGCCGTCGTCTCTGCTGTCGCAACTTTCGACGTCCCTGATCAATTCACTATGATCGATGCCGCGGTTGAGGAAACGCTTCCTGCCAACTAAATATGGTGGCGATGCCTCGCTGCCTGATCTCGAGAATATTGCTCCGTTTGCGGTCTAGAAACAGAAGGTTGTCGAGTATATGAAGACAAAAGAGTCGCAGGGCCTTTCTTGGACTGCCATCAGCGTCGGAGCCTTTTTTGATTATGCAAGTGTCTACATTTAACACGAAGAGGTTTAATCTGACATGTGATTTCCAAGCTTTTTGGTCATGGTTATGGCCTGATGGGCTTTCACTTTGACGAGCCAAAAGTTCAGCTAAAAAAAAGGTTGAGAAAACTGAAGGAAGCACTAAGGAGTTGATTGCCGCTGGCAAGGCGCATATAAAAGAGGGAAGCTGGGATCTTGGATATCCGGAATCTGTCACAGCGCCACTTTACTTGGACAAAGTCTTTGGCTACTCTTCAGGACATGCATCTGAATGGAACAAAACTTTAGGTCTGTCTGAAGAGAACTTGGACATATGTTGCAAGGAGCCTTCGCAAAGCAAGGGTTGGACCTAGATTCACACACCAAACTATATTCCGAGTAAGACTATTTTCACTGTGAAATATTCTCATTCTCACCGTATTAGCACATGCCCATACTACACGTAATGTACACACACCACCAATTCCATCAATTTAGACTGAATTGCATTGTAACGCCCTAGCGTGTCATATAGTTTATAACACACCACAAAAGTATAAAATTGTACAGTTAAAAGCTCACACAGCAGTTGTTACAATCAATCAAAAGCTACCAATTACACACATATTCACGGGCTCCAAGGACTACAAGAGGGCTATCGCGAGGATCAGCAAAGACTTCCTCTACAGCGATGCTCACAGCGATTGCTGCAGCCGCGCCGTAAGAGACCGAGGCTAAGGCTAAGAAAGTTATCAAGCGGGTAAATTTAACCTATAGTATGGAGCACAACGATAAAAATCAGGATATTCTACAGCGAAAATAGCATTGCTCTATATGTTTATAGTTTATGACTACGTAATACCTCACTGTTCGTATTCATTTAGTCAACACGTCTGCAAAGCTAACAAATGCAAATCATTGTACTGTGAGGACACCTACACACCGAAAAACTCAAAACCATGAGCGAGCCTTTCCACCGACAGCTTTGCTCTCTTTGCCTTAAGATCCTCTATCTCTGTTTCCGCCTCACGTCTGCCTGCCATGAATTCTTCGTACTCCTCATTACTCGCGGTCTTCTCCTCTTCGATCCACCATCGATCACTCAGGTCAATTCGCCTTAATTCTTGATTAGTAAAGAACTCTGGCAATATGTTTTCTGCGAGGAGAGCACTCCAGCCTGGGAGCGGTGGGGGCGGCTGGATGTATATTCCCTTCTCGATGGGGAGAGCGATGGATTCTTCAAGCGGAAGGTGACGATATTTTTGAAATTCCGTATGAGCATCCCAGAGGTCTGCGCCAATGTCAAACGTGCATTGAACAAACCCAGATGGATTGTTGATCATATCTTTAATTGCCTCTGGGAACCCATCGAACCGGTCTATTTAAAGGCGAATTAGAAGACCAATCATTGACATACAATATCAGGATGCTTACAACAACGATGTAATCTCTTAGTGAAGAATGTTTCTTCCGGATAGCTCTCAGATGCTATCATTTCCCACGCCGTTTGCCAAGCAGCATCGCGCTGGACAATTGTTTGAAAGATCTCGGCGCATTCTTTTTGCGCTTCTCCCGCATCAAGAATCAAGGTAAAGGATTTCTTAGGCATACCAAGGCCAACAAGGGCCAATGCTTCTGTAATCCAGAGAGCGACGCTCTCCGTGAGAGAGTAAGAGCATAATCCTCGACCTCTGCCGGTATCATCGGGATTGCTCCATTCCCATTGGTTTTCGAAGATGAAGACCAATATATCCATCGCCATGGATGGGGACTGGAAAACATTTCTCCATAAATCAAGGCGGCGCTCGATGTGTAGTTTGGGGTTTTCAACACAGAATTCGATAAGACCTTGGGCATGGCATTCGGGATTAGCCACGCTCACTGCATCCTCGCGCAGACGAATGTTCCGTAGACAAAGCCGTAGGGATTTGGGCATCCTGGAAAGAAATCGTGTGGCTACCGCTGCCGCCGAAAACCGATACTTGCCCTGGGTGTATTGGCGTTGTCCATTTTGTTCAATATGAGGTTCTTTCCAGTAGCAGCAAAATTGCTTCCTGGCAACAGGCGGAGAACTCATTTCGTGAATCTCATCTTCGGTAAGACAACAGCTCCACGGGGGAAACTCCTCAAAAAGAGCCAGAAGTTCGACAGGATCATTATGTCGGTTTCCAAGCCAGTCCTTTGGAATGGTTCCTTGCCTGATAGCCAGTTCAAGCGTGTACATGACCGCCTGCCGCCTGTACGAGGGTACTATACCATAGTAGCTCGTAACCTCGGAAGGATCCATGCCTTGTAGAATTGCTTGAAGAACCGGTTCGAATTTTGGATATCGTTGTGCCACCTGCTCGGCTATTGTTCTTGAAAAGGATGGTACTACCATACCTTGACTGTCGCCCTCACTATCACTGTCGTCGCCGTCCTCATTCTCGTCTTCATCTTCCTCTTCACTCTCGCTCTCGCTCTCTCCAAGCTCTTCGCCGACGATATTGGGTTGATCCCCTGCACTGGAGTCACTCCCTTCCTGCCCCTCACCTCCTCCCTCTATATCCTCCGGGAGAAAAAGCCAAGTGAGGAGCTTGTAGTCATTCCAAGCATGACAAAAATGGAACGCAGCTGCGCTGGCACGCCACTCGTCAGAGTAGCCAGTCGAAAAAGTAATGAGATTTAATGCGAGATCCAATCCTCTCATTTCTTCCGCGACTTGCCTGCATGTGAATTTCAAGGCCTGGTCGATTGGTTGCGTGTCCCCCTCGCTACCAGCAGCCACCAGTTTGCCCGACTCAAAGTTGAAGACATAGCCCCCCTTGACAGTGACATAATGCGCATAGATCCTATTCCGAACCTCCGGTGGGAGGTGAAGGAATGAAAATGTCGAAGACATGGTGCGCGCAGGCAGGGATGATGGATGATGACGTATTGATAAGCCGTTGCCTAGATTGATAACTTGCAGAAGAAAAGAAGAAGAAAATCAAAATCAACAGCCCGGCAATGAGTCGGCCGGCTATTAAATGGATAGGGCGGTGAGTATTTGTGATGTTTGAGGATGTCGGAGAAGTGGAGGGGTTAGGGAGAGGGCAGGTGCCAGTTTATGTAGATTTGCGGGAAAGAGCACCTGGGCAGATGGATGAAATAGAGTTTTGGGAAAATCCCGGAGCTGACTCACGCGGCAGGAGCGAGGGAGTTTAAAATGTGGGACTGTGGGACCAAGGGCAGCAGCGAACTGAAGCCTATACCTACCTAGGAGCCCGGGGGTGGTTTTTAGTCAGTGGTCTAGTCAGCCTTTTTAGGCTAGTAATTGTTATAAGCAATAAAGTTAGGGTAGAAAACTATTACGGAAGTACAAAAACTATTACCAGAGCCCTTACCAGACGCTTTTCACAGTGCAAACCCTTACCCAAAACCCCCCCGGCGCCCGATGGTAGATACCTTAGTACTTAGTACCTTAGTAGGTACCTATAGGTACTAACCTACAGGTAGGTACCTACGCGCGGGAGGGTGGTTTGTGGACAGTGCTAGTGCATGATTTTCGCACCGTGACAGCTTGTTCGCGCTCGAAAGGCCGATAACAGAGATATACAGCTGTTTTCAAGCTATTAGATTTTTTGCTTAAACAGCGTTCCTTCTAGACTAGATTACCTTGCCAGATACAGCTTTTTCAACCCAAGACCTTTCGTCAATAGCAGCTTTTCAACCCAACAGCTATCTAGTCAGCAGCAGCTATCAGGGCCGGTAGCAGCTTTCCAATTCAACAGCCTTCTATCAAAAGCAGCTATCAAGCCCGGCAAGCTATCAGGGCCGGCAACAGCTTTCCAGTTCAACAGCTTCCAAGCCCGGCAA